CCATACACACCACAACCATATTATTACTTATGCCATATCATACCATACCCTGCAATACCATACCATCTCATACAATGTCTTGTCATTCCATGCCATGTCATGCCGTGCAAATTATGCTATGCCATGCCATGCGATGCCATGCTATGCGGTACCGATTGTCATGCCATGCTATACAATGCTGTGTCATGTCCATGCTATGCCATGTCATGCCATGCCATGCCGTGTCTTGTCATACCATACCATGCCATGTCATACCATGCCGTGCTATGCGGTACCATTTGTCATGCCATGCTATACAGTACTGTGTCATGTCGATGCTATGCCATGTCATGCCATGCCATGCCATGTCATGTCATTCCATACCATGCCATATCATGCCATGCCATGCTATGCGGTACCGTTTGTCATGCCATGCTATACAATACTCTGTCATGTCCATGCTATGCCATGTCATGCCATATCAACTTCATTCATCAGAAGTAACTTTTGTAAACTATAGGTAATTGAGGTTTCGTTTGACTTGAAGGTAATTTTGTCAAATCCAAACGCAAGTTCTTTAGCACCAACCTCTGTTTTATTTTTCAGGTGTGAAGACCAAGTGTATTCCATCTATGGACAAACCTACCCAACCCTCAACAAGTAATTCCAACAATCGCAGTCAAGGTCATCATTTGCATAATGCTAACACTGCCGCGACCTCAGGGCATCAGAGTAAGAAGGGCTCGGGAAAAGTCCACTACTACCAGTGTGCTAACTGTGAAAAGGCCTTTCTGTACAAATCAAAACTGCTTCTTCACGAGATAACCCACAGTGGAGAAAGGCCTTTTAAGTGTGCAAGTTGTGACAAGACGTACAAAAGGGAGTCGGAGCTTGTGGTTCATCAGCGGGTTCACACCGGAGAGCGACCCTTTCGTTGCAGAAAATGCGAGAAGGCGTTCAAAACAAAATCAGAGCTTGTGGTGCATGATAGGTTTCACACTGGTGAAAGGCCTTACAAATGTCTCCATTGTGAAAAATCCTTCAGAACAGCTTCCGAGCTTGGTTTACACAACAAGGTCACTTCAGGTGAAAGGTCTTTCAGATGTGCCAAATGTGACAGGGGTTTCTTTCGGCAGGCCGATCTCACCATTCATGAACGAAATCATTGCGGAGAGAAGCCCTACAAATGCAACCATTGTGAAAGAAGCTTCAGGACTGAAGCCGAACAAGCAAAACACGAGAAGAATCACAGCATCGTCAAGCTTGTTAAATGTACAGTCTGTGACAAGTCATTTAAATCAAAAGACCACCTTGAAGCCCACGCAAAAACTCACGTCGTCGAGAAGCGTTTCGATTGTTCGACATGTTCACTGTCCTTTGGCACATCAGCCGAGCTCTCGGCTCACAACGACACTCACGCTGGGAAAAGGCTTTACAAGTGTTCTCAGTGTGATAAATCTTTTGCTTTCAAGTCCAAACTCTTTCAGCACTGGGTGATTCACACCGGGGAGAGACCTTTTAAATGCGTCCAGTGCAATAAGTCTTACGGAAGGAAGTCAGAACTCGTAGTGCATCAAAGAATACATACAGGTGAAAAACCTTTCAAGTGTACTAGCTGTGAAAAGTGCTTCAAAACAACATCAGAACTGGTCGTGCACTGCAGAACTCACACTGGTGAAAAGCCGTACAAGTGCACCTATTGTGAGAAGCAATTCAAGACTGCATCTGAGCTTGGCGTCCACAGAAGAAGCCACATCGGCGACAAGCCATTTTCCTGCACTCGATGTGAAATGTCGTTCAAGCGAATGGCTGATCTTAACACTCACAAAAGATTTCATTTGATCGATTTGCCATTCACTTGCCAACTTTGTGTCATGGCGTTTGGAACCGCCTCAGAACTTGCCATCCACGAGCAATTGCACAGTTCCATTCTGCAAAACAGCTTGAATCAGAATGGAGGGGTACAAGGTTCAGAAGTTGGACTAGCGTCTCAGACTAACGGACAGCCTTCTGTGCAAGGGCTCATTTCCGATCAAATGTTGAATTTTGGCCAAGGACTCAAGATGGCGCAGCTCTCTGTAGCTGACAACAAGGCGGATGCTTCTGAAGACCGTAAACATGTCCGAGCCAATGGAAAACTGCACAATGGCGAGCCAGATCTTGACATGAACAAGCTCATGAAAATTGTGAACAAACCATTCAAATGCAGCCAGTGCGGCAAAGCTTTTGTTTCCACCACCGAGTTGGCCGGGCACGTAAGAATTCACACTGGTCAAAGACCATTCAAGTGCAGTCAGTGCGACAATTGCTACAGGACGCAGTCAACACTTTCCGTCCACATGAAGAGCCATGAGAAGGAAAAGCGCTACAAATGTACCTACTGTGAGGTGACGTGCCCAACGCTCTCCAAACTGTACGATCATTACATGCTTCATCAATCGGAGAAGCCTCCTGAAGGTTCACAACCAAATAACCACTGCGCTCAAGAACGGGTGATCCGCATAGACGATGACGATATTCTACCATTTAGATGTTGGGTCTGCCAAAAACGTTTCAGTGATCAGTCGGCTTTAGATCATCACATTAGTTTACATCGAGACAGGAGTAGTACCCTTGAATCGTGTGTTAAGAAGTTGAAAAGCTCCATTGCAGAAAAATGACGAGGAGATAATGACGTTCCCAGAGTATAGTGGTCACCAAAGTCGCAAAGCGCACAATAGAGCACTGGAAAACTTTTCAAGTGCATGATTGTGTTCTTTTGGTAGACACGAGACTACTGAGCTGGCAATTGAATCCTTTGTCCAAAATGAGACAAAAGCAGGTTTGTTTAGTTGTAGATGATGAATTGCTTTGAATTTCGTCTTGACTGCGAGCAGGCTCTTTAAAAACAATTATTCCACGGGCGCGTTGGATATGAGATGATAGATAGTCAACGAGGCGCGTAGTTGGCTATAATCAGCTCATATCCAACCAGCGCGAGTGAAGTAGTCGTTTTATTAAAAACGCCCCCAAAATAAAGAAAACTAAAAATTACGACCCAAAAATTACGCGTACGCTTACCATATTTGTAGAGCATGGTATAATGGCTCACATAACATGATGGCTAAGCCAATGAAAATTCTTGAATTGGATTATCCAATGGTCTAGTTTGTAATAAGTCTTATTATCTATAGTATTTCTTGAGAGTGTAGCGACGACTGTTGGTCAAATATTGCGAACGTTACTCGCGCGCGGTGGATCTGAGCCTGGAAAAAGTTGAGAGACTTCTCGTAACCTAAATTACGTCAGTGAATTTCAAGTCTTGTGACATAACAAAATGCGGTAGATATTTTTTTACATGGCAGTGAAATCTTGTGGATGTACAAATCGGTAATATTATGATTGCTTGATTTACAATTATGTTATTATTATCTTTTTTGACGGGAAACAACAGCAAGTTACGGCTGCTGAAGATTGGTCCTGTTAATCCTGTCATTTACTTTTTGGCAATTTTTTTTGTGACAAAAGACGAATAGCAGATAGACAAAACATATTATAGGCTCGATTACCAGCCGCTGTTCAGGAAAGGAGACCGGACACGAGAGAGCGGCGGAAATCGAGCCTAAACATATTATGGATAACAAAAAAGAAGGACCTTGACCTTAAGGGTGTCGGAGTGTGTACGAGTGTGTACGAGTGTGTACGCCTTTCTCTGTAGCTCTTCCAGCGAAGGCAATGTAAGGAAATTAACAAAAATTGAATATCGATTTCCAGCAATTTGGAAATTTTATATGCTTACCTCAATTCTGTTTAGAATGTAAGAAGCTTCGCCGCAATATTTCCGAAGCGCGACAGGTACACCATAGTTAGCATAGTAACTATGGTTACACTAAGTACTACGGTAGTTTAGTTTCTATGAAAAATGCTGCTTTAAGTTTTAAGTGGCTCTTTCTACCTACATGTAATAGTGTTGCAGCGAAAAACGTCTTGATAAATTGTATTGCTAGTATTATATTGTTTATAAGAATTAACGGTGCTTCTATTAAACAATTAGATTATGAGCTGGAGATTTCAACTATCGCGTGATAGTTGACAAGGGCACAGCCCGAGTCAACGATCGCGCGATAGAAATCGAGAGCGAATAATCTAATTGTTTTAGTATAAATCTACTAGTCGTTCAACACTTAATCTAAATCCTCTTCACAGACTCTTCGAAAACGCCAAGAAGCGGCCGTCATTTTGTTAGCAAGGGCACACTACTATGCTACTCACTATCTATCAGAGAATAGATAGTGAGTAGCGTAGCCAATCAGAGAACGGCATTCGTGATAGAACGCTAGAAGATTTACACTAATAGAAATTAGGTAGGAGAGCACAGTATTTCAATACTAATTATTACAATTTTGTATACATATATGAGCTCCGTTTCCACCAAAACCCACATCATGTTTAGAAACTGCTTACGTATCTGTTAGTAAACTTGCTTACTGACTTGAAAGTTCCCAAAGTTCAAAACTACAGAAAGTGTTAAAGTTCATAGACAGATTCGGCCTACGTGGTGTCATCCTTGTTGCTACACAATCCAGACCGCGTGATGATTCATTTGGGAAGTTACAGTGGCGCAATTTGTCACACGCAACTAGTATGTGCAAACAGAACAATTGTAACATCGCAAATGAATCATCACGTGATTTGAATTGAGTGGCAAATGACAAGGATGTGAACACGTCAGCCGAATCCGTCCATTTTGTGCGATAACTACTTGAAAGAATTGGTAAGTGGCTTTCGTGGTCACACAGTGGAGATTCTCTGATTGAAGCTTGAACTTGTTTAACTAAGCTGGTTTAACTAGACATGTCAATGTGTAGTTGGTGTAAACGGGGTATCAGCATTGCGGGTGATCATGAGAATCACGACTGTCAAGAACGCTACATGAATGTTGTAAAATGTTCTTGACTGTCCGATTCTCCAAACAATGCTAAAGCATAGTTCATTATATTTTCTTAGGCATATTTTAATACACGCATGTTCTGCATGATTTTCTCATTTTAGTACTTCAATTTTGTACGATTTTCGTATTTTTGTAATTCCAATTGGCCACGTTCATCACAGTGGTACTTTTGCTGTTTGGTATACTCTTTTTTAAGACGTAGTTAGGTATTGCTTATTGGATAGGAGAATGACTTGTCGAAGATATTTACTAAATACCATTACATTACAGAGTAATTATAGACCTATTTAGCCTCGTCTGCAATGGTGGTGTTGCGTGATGTACGATCAGTGTATGTATTGGGTGACGTGTCCAGTTGAACGTCCAAAAAGTCGAAATTTGATCCTGTTACCCTCAGAGTCAGTCACGAATTTTGACATGCCGTGATATTCCTGCTTATAGATGCATTTTCCAAAATAATTTCCTATGGGGTTATTTGTGGGAGGGCGGGAATGGGAGCTTACTATCCGAAGGAATTCGGCGCTTCAAAATACAAAACAAGCTATACGACAGGGGACCTTTAATTGGACGAAGTTATACCTTTCTTTGAGAGCTAGAACTCAATATCGGCCCATGGGCTTATGTTCGGGGGATGAGAGTTTATTTTCGAAAGAATTTTTGAATTTGAGGTTTGTATGGGGGAAGCTAAACAGAGATTGAACCAAGAGACCTTAATTCATTCCACCAAGTTGTGATTGGCTCGTTTCCCCGCGACTGATCCAAAAATGCGAGGAAAATACTCTTGACTCCTTTCCTAGGACCGCTAGCAGGATACGTGAGGTTCTTACTCCTGGTCTTTGTAGATTCGTTGGCCTTTATAGGCCTTAGACTGTTCATACCACAGAGTGTGTGCAAAGCTTAGAAACATCACCACTGCAGGCTGGAGGATGACACTTGGTAATTAGTTTTGTCAATCGATGAGCTACGCTGGACGTTTCTCCAATATTTATTACTCTGTTTGATAATAAAACGATATGTTACGAAAGATTTGCGTCTTCAGTTTTTTGACTTTGTCAGAATAACTTATTGCCATACTTATGGGTAAGTTTGGCCATAGTAAATTCACTAGCCAGCAGATGTTCCCCATCGGCAATGACAAACCCTGGAAAAGGCAGCCTCTGACAAAAGATTGCGGCAGTAACTTCAGTACATTAGATAGACATATCGACTCACAATTCGCCCGACATTTTGTACCAATGTCGCGAATACATTGGCGGTATATATTTCTCCACATGTATTCTGGAATGTCTGGAGATCATTTGGTGTCAATTGACAGATTACGAGACTGGGACGAGTGAGCGTTCATTGACACATCAAGTCAAAGAACAACCTGACAATTTGGGAGAACCCGAAAAACTGGAAAACCGGCCCCACCTCGGCCTCGGTTGTCGGCTTGTGTCCCGAAAACACTTCTCTTTCTTCCGAAGTTCCACTCGTGTTTTTCGATTTATACTGTAATAAGAGGAAAACGTTTTCTATTTCACAAACAAAACACCTGATTTAAGTAATTTTTACGATCTGTTACGTTCCATTTTCTACTGAGTTTTCAAGAGGCCGGTGCGTTCGTCGAACCGCGACCTCTGCTCTAAAATTTGGTCAGTTTGAAAGAATGACAACGGTTTTGCAATTGTAAATCTCGGTTTTTTAGCAAATTGAACCTATGCATGCGCAGCAGGCTTGATTTCGGGTCGGGTCGCGTTCCTCTACGGGAAGAGACTGGTTCTCCGCAGGCGTTGCCTTTCAGGACGTCTTTCATGTTCGCTTTCAGTATATCACCACTCATAAAACTAAAACATTTCAATCTGACCTACTCCATGTAAAGCGTATTTCAGTGACGAAGACTCACCGCTACAAAACAGGGTTCAATAGTGCTCAAGTATTTTCCTATTCCTTTTCTCAACTTCTCCTTTTTCAGTAAATTTAAGCCCGTGATTTCAGCCACGTCTTCCCTAGCCTCTCTTTTCCGACTCGAATGACATCTACACCATCAGTCTAGAAAACATATTTTAAATTTTCACAGTCATGGTAATTAGTTTTGTTTGCTGTAGTTACGGATCTACAGGAATTATGTATTCCCGAACCATATATTTACGCTCATTACATAGGACCGCCATGCTCCTCTGCCCTTTTGCGCAATCTCAGATCCACCATTTACATATATCCGGGGTTTTCCGAGAATCATTGTCACTTGTGATGCCTGAAACATGGCGGATCCTGGCGAGAATGTGAACGAATCTTCACATTTTCACATGAAGTAACCAGTATAATATGCCAAGAAAGCATTTTATAATAGTTGTAAATAACAAAGCAAATACGTAGATAATGTCTATTCATCAGCAACAGAAGTCAGTGGTGAACTCCAGCGCGGTTTTTCCGAACGAAAGGTCGCCATCGATTTCGGATTCGTCAGACGAGGAAGATGATGATTTGGACGACGAAAGCGCCGAACATTCAGCGGTAAGGTCGATTTGTCGCTGTTTAGTATTTTTTATAAAATCTTTTGTCTTAGTTTTATTACGTACAGCAATCTAAAAGGACATTTTCCCTATTTGAACGGCAGAAAAAATGTTCTTGGCATGTTAATTATTCTAACTCCATGATTAATATTAAAGCTATGAAAGCTAACCCTTCGACTTTATGATGGAAAATATTTGTTTGGTAGGAAAGAATTGCTCAGTCGAATGATTATTTAAAATGAAAATGAGCCATTTCCTTGGGAAATGGTCGTATGATCCGTAATAAAATTGATCTACGCGACAGTTTCGGGAAAAGGCGAGCGGTTAGCTATAAAGCGGTTATGTGTTCTTTGCCGCAATGCTCGAGACCAAGTTTGTTCAGTGTATTTATTTTGACGGGTACATTGTTCGCTTTTTATCAAGTTTTAAAAGGGAAATTTTTGATGCCATCGCGGGGAAAAACGGGAAGAGAACACGTATTTTGAGTACATTTCACTTTAAATAACTTAAGCTACGAGTAGTCACAGAGTGCGATGCCTTTCTGCTGAAAGAATCTCTTAATTTCAAGAGTAGGAGGGCATCGGCTTATGAAAAAGCCAAAAGTTTATATAAGACTGATCTTTAATGCTTTAAAAACTGCGACCAAAGAGTCCCTCGCAAAAGCCTCTTGAAGAACAAGGTAGATTTCGTTTCTATTGCAATGTTTGGTTTGTGATCGCTGCCGATCTCTACGGCGGTCAGTTCCGAAGCCTAAAACACGTGCCGGAGGAGTGGTCTAAACGAGAATCGTAGAACTTAAATCGCCATTCGATTGAAATCATCAGTTATTTCTTGTATTAGCCGTTTCCTTTTACAATAATTTTGTCATAAATCTGGCGAAAATGCAAATTGTTTATTTCGTATTCTCAGTTATTTCCTAGCAGTCAAGTATTTAATGACTCAGTGAGCGTATTTAACTTGTGTATTGTGTTCTTCAACCTCATGTCTTGGTGAGCGCTGTCAGAAAACAAGCAAAAGTGTACATTTGTATCGAGAGAAAGTATCAAATTGATGCCCATGTCAAAATGATGTTGTACTGTGATTTCAGCTACAAATGTATGCAATGAGGTTTGTGGCCTGTCCTACACAAGTATCTTTAGTATTCTATTGTTTTTGCCCCAAGGGGATAACTTGAATTACATAATCATGTTACAACATTGTTGTTGTTGTTTGCACATATTGTTTTTCAAGTATTCCTTTTCAGTACTTCTTAGTTTTAAGTCCTGTGAAATCAAGAAAAATGTGTTTTTTATTTGTCGAGCACTGTAAATAATAGAGTTAGTTTCTTTAAACTTCGTTAAAAAAGTATAAAAAACATGTCTGAATTATTGGTCGACCAGTCATACTTTTAGCTTTAGGAGAATATATTTTAAATGACAAGAGTTTTAATGACAAGTCTGTTGTTGTCTCCTTGTTTTTGTCTTATTCTGCATCCTCTGGTTCAAATATTTTGCTAAGAACCTGAGCTGTATAATTTTGTTTATTTGTCAAATTTTGTAATCTTGTATCTTCATGTGGACTCTCCAAATGGCACATCATAGCTATAGGTCAGTTAAGATTTCTAATAGATGAGATTCACATAAGAGGCTTCATCAGACTACATATAATGTGGAATTTAATTTGTAAATGTGTCAGGATAATGAAACTTCAGTGGTGCATTGGTTAGAAAATATTTTAAGAAAGATTAATCTCCCAAGTTCTGTAAAGTTGGGAATTGAAATATAGACCACTAAAGTTCAGAATCTGTTTCAGAGCTAAACTTTCATTGACATGTGCATGTACACTGTCTGGTTTTAAAAAAAAATTATTTGCTTTACATTCAGGCTAGAAGGTTGAACCCTGTCTGTGGAATATATGATGAAAATGAGCTACTTTCTACTGTAGGCTTATGAACCTATTGTTTAAATCAAAATATATACATGTTTAACTTACCAAAACATTCCCTGCATATCACCTTCAGATGGAGTACATTCTTAGAGCGAAAAGGACTGAACTCACATCGAAACTGATGCTGTCAGGTTCAGATGGTCTGAGTAATGACTTACGGAAGATGGACCCAGAAACTCAGGCTCGTTTAGAGACTCTTTTAGAAGCCGCAGGTATGCTGATGTTTTATCTGGCTAGCTTTTAATCTGCACATTGTTATTGTTATCTGTTTTTTTTTATCGCACTATTTCTAAATTGTACGTCAAGCAGTACTGGTCTTATGTCACCATGACACAATTTATTTTTCTGCAAGGTGTTGGTAAACTGGCAGATGGGAAAGCATTCACTGATCCAGAAGTTCTTCGCCGGTTGACATCATCCGTCAGCTGTGCACTGGATGAGGCTGCTGCTGCTTTGACAAGGATGAGAACTCAAAATAATGGCATGCCATCTTCAGCTGGTCAAACTACTGCAGATTCAGGTTTGTTGGAGAGTTGCATGCATTTGCTTAGTGTTAAGATACATTCTTACAGTGTCATGGTGTAAATGCCTTTGACTTGTCCAATTTATTTTCGTAGCAATGTAGTTTTCTGTTTCCTCGGCGTCAGATTATGGTAATGAATAAGAGACCAAAGAAACGAAAACTCACACTATTTGGAAGGCTATCAAACCAAAAAGAAATTTGAACTACAAGAATCACCTTAGTATGGCTTGCCAAAGTGTCACAAGTCATGATTTGTCTGTAGTCAATTAGAATGAGAATCATGACTACCTTGATCTGTTGGGGCTGAAAATTGACCCTAGAGCCTGGTGGCAACTTTCAGTTAGCTTCCTTGAATTCTTAGTAGGCCAGTACAGCATTAGTGGCCTTCAGTTTCTAACTAAAAAATATGGTATTTACAGTATGTGAATAAGAATCTCAAATCTCTTGCTGAATCTATAAATAAATAAATAAATAAATANATTATGAAATTAGAGTTGCAAAAAAGAAAGGGAGGGTCCACCAATGTACCTTTTATTATATATTTCAACTTTAAGTGGTTCCTGTCCACATAATCGGCTTTGGCAAGCAAACTGCCATTTAGTTTTAACCCTGCTATTTCTATTAAAGCTTACATGTGAATGTACTGTAGTTTCAACAAGGCTGATTGTTACAGTACAAGGGTTTTGCTTGAATTTATTCTTTGATGTTTCAATCCAGGGGCTCGAAGCCTTGCAGAAGCTTGCCTGGAAGGTGATGTCAGTGCTGTACGGAAGCTGCTTGAAGAGGGCTGGAGTGTACATGAACCAACTGATGAAGGCGAAAGTTTACTCTCTCTAGCTTGTTCAGCAGGTACTAAATTGGATTGAATCATTCGCAGAGTTATCACTTGTGAATCATTGATGTGTTTTGACTTGATTATTTGTACAGTGTAGTTTGTGGAGACATACTCAATCTAAAGTATACATTGTGATGATGTGTACATGTAATGTGAAATACACAAAATAGTATCACTTAGTTTTATTTGGAAGTTCACGTTTTTCACAGCGTTTGTTTTCTCGATTTATAGAAAGTCATGAAAATTGCAAAAATTAATTGTTGGGAAAATAAGTACATGTAACAATAAGGTACATGCAACATGGCAGCCACACTTTTGTCATTTCGATCTCTCAGGATTGGCTGCAAATTTTCAATAATAAGTTATGACTTGTAACTTATTTTTCTCCAGTTGTATAGAAGTAACCTAGCAGTATCTCAATTCATATACAACCAGGTTATTATGAACTTGCCCAAGTGTTGTTGGCCATGAATGCAAGTGTTGATGATCGTGGGAGTAAAGGAGACTGCACCCCTTTGATGGAAGCCTCCAGTGGTGGCTATATAGATATAGTAAAGTTGCTACTTGAGAACACTGCTGATGTCAATTCACAATCACAAGCTGGTAACACTGCTCTCATCTATGCCTGTTGTGGTGGTTATGAGGATGTTGTTGAGGTGCTTTTAAATCATGGTGCAGACATTGAGGCTCATAACGAGAATGGTCACACACCCCTTATGGAAGCCGCAAGTGGTGGACATGTGAACGTAGCTAAGATGTTACTTGAAAGAGGAGCTTGTATTAACTCTCATTCAAATGAGTTTAAAGAGAGTGCTTTGACCTTGGCGTGCTATAAAGGTATGAAAATGAATGGTTTGAAAAGCAAAAACATCAGTGCACCATGTTGACTTTTATTTTCTCACTTCCTGAAAAAGGCCAGTCAATTTTGCTGAAAAATTGATTTTAGAAAAAAAGAGTCTGAAAAACAGAGAAGAACTGTTCATCATAACGTAATAATCACAACAATACAGTGCAAATTTAAATGCATAAATTATGTGTTATTCAAACATAGGTCACCTTGAAATGGTCAAGTTTCTGCTTGATGCTGGAGCTGATCAGGAACACAAGACAGATGAAATGCACACAGCACTGATGGAAGCATCCATGGATGGACATGTGGAAGTGGCAAGGCTTCTTTTGGATCATGGAGCACAGGTGTGTATAGTAGAAACCCAGTAGTGTGGCTACCAACAGGCTACTGGCTGTAATTTGACTGATGTTTTTGTGAACAAAGGGGTAGTAATAGTGAGGTGGAAATGCCATCGGGCTGGTTTCACTCTACATGAAGAATCTTACAATTTAGGACTGTCGTGATTTTCAAGGAATTAGCTTCATATTATTATATTGTCAAAGTAGATAATCTTTGGGATGGTATCAACAGTGCAGGTCTTCTCTTGAAGTGCCAGTATGAAGTATAAAACATTACCAAAATATCTTCTGCCCAATAGTTCGGTTTTGATAATTATTAAAATTCTGACTTGGATATGAGGATTGGGGGAACAAAACAAAGAAATTAACTATTCATTTCTTAACCTTGATGTAATTTATTTTGCTTTATTGTCGTGAGCCTCAAAGACAAGTTTGAAATTTAGCATATCAAAATTGGCCAATTAGCCAGGGTAGCAGTGAATGTTCACAGAATTCTAAATTAAACAATTGTAACTTTTTTCTTTGAAATACTTCATGCCATGCCTTGGTTATTGGATGTGATGATTCCCTATCATGCCTTCTTATGCCTTGGTTATTTTCCAGGTTAACATGCCAGCTGACAGTTTTGAGTCACCTTTGACATTGGCAGCCTGTGGTGGCCATGTTGAGCTTGCTGACTTGCTCATCAAAAGAGGTGCATTCCTGGAAGAAGTTAATGATGAGGGGTAAGTAGGCGGTAAACAATAGTTGTTTTATTGACAATGATATTACAGGTATATGTAGCGATGTTTTGAAGCTTGAAGCTCTTACCAAGACATGAGTATAATTTCATATTGATTGCACTTGTTTTTTAGGTACACACCTCTCATGGAAGCCTCCCGGGAAGGACATCTGGATATGGTTGCGTTACTTCTTGAACATGGTAAAACTAAAAGGAGATTCTGTTTCAATTTGACCAGTGTGTTGCATGTATGTTGTTTTGTAATATCTGCTGTTTTCTGCTATACTTTAGGAGCTGACATTCATGCACAGACAGAGGAGACTCAGGAGACAGCTTTGAGCTTGGCCTGTTGTGGAGGTTTTCAAGATGTAGCTGCATTTCTTCTTCAAGCAGGTATAATACATGAAGACAGTTTTCCTTTACTAACTGAACAATGTTGTTAAACCAAAATTAATTCTTTCTCATGGAATTATTGCTTATTTTATATTTTATTTCCTTTGTCATAGGTGCCTCCATTGAGCAAGGCTCATCAACTCCTCTGATGGAAGCTGCACAGGAGGGCCATGTTGACCTGGTTAAATTCCTACTGGAGCAAGGTATTATGTTTTCTCAAATTTAGGGCATAACTGTGAACTGAAGTGCACTGGAAACCATTGTTTGCTTGTTTGTTTGATTTGTTGGTTGATTAGTTGATTGGTTGAAAAGACAGACAGATTGTTTGACAAGGACAGACATACCTGTACTACTAAGTTCATTTATCTTAAGTCTTAGAGCAAAGATTCTCCCACTGGTAATTGCGCAAAATAATGTACCCTGTGCAGTGTATAACAAACATTAATAACCTTGGTGAAACGTTTTGAGAGTTGTTTGAGTGATCTGCTTTTGTTTTAACTATACATGTGTAAAATGTGAAGTCTTTCTCATATTCTGCCCTGTCAAAAATGTACCAGAAGCAAGTAAATCATTACAATAGATTACTTGTTATCTTCTTCACAGTGGAGTTCACTGGTCGTGGCTAATAAAAAAACCCTCTCTAGCCTTTATTGCCTTCTACCTCTCTTGTCCTGTCTGCAGCTACAAAATATTTTGACAGTGCTGATATTGACCATTTATTGCAGGGGCTAATGTTAATGCAACAACTGCTACTGGTGATACACCACTGTCTTTTGCTTGTGAGAATGGTCACACTGATGTTGCTGATGTTCTGCTATCAGCTGGGGCTGAACTGGTGAGAAAGTTTTGTTAACTGTATTATGTTTTCGTGTATTTTATTGCTCTTTACATGGGGTGAAATTTAATTTAGGCAAGGTCCTTCACCAATGCAGATCTCAGGGCTTTTGCCAGGCTCAGTAAATATACAGCTCTTCCATTGGGGGTTGAACCATTTTACTCACATTGCCTTCACCTTCAGTCTTGGTAAAAGCCTTTCACTCCCATCCCTACCCTCCCTCTAAGTAAGTACATGTATGGGTAAGTTTTAAATTTTTCACTGAGAAATTCATTGTGATTATTCCCGGTGGTTTTTTCTTTGGCTGTGCTTTGAAAGAAGTTGGTAATATTAACTATGTAAATAAGTACTCTTCCTTTGCAATAGGAGCATGAGTCTGAAGCTGGTCGCACACCTCTCATGAAAGCTGCAAGAGCTGGGCATCTCTGTACAGTACAGTTTCTTATCAGCAGAGGTATACCTGCAACTTATCATTACTTTAGTCAAGTCAAATCTGGCATCGATAAGATGGGAAATATTGATTGTTTGTAGTTATTTGTATCAGCATTACTTTTTACACATGAATGTGGGGTCAACCACATCTTTGTGAATGAAACTTATGAAGCAAGTGATGATTAAGAAATTTCCACTTCTGACTTTGTAGGAGCTGATGTTAGCCGGCAAACCACTGTCAATGATCACACGGTGCTTTCTCTTGCTTGTGCTGGTGGGCATTTGGCAGTTGTAGAGTTACTGTTAGCACATGGCGCTGATCCCTTGCATAAGCTAAAGGTGAGAACTGACAGAGGATTTCTCTTTCTGCTTCCCACTTACAAAGAAAATTAAATCTTTTTGAATTCTGGTTCTGTTAATATTGTCATGTTTTCTTATGAGGTTAGATGATATGCCATACATGTGTATATGTAGCATTCATTTAGTTGAGTGGTATTTTATTTTATTTTATTTTTTCCCACAGGACAATTCCAACATTTTAATAGAAGCAGCAAAAGGTGGCCATGCCGCAGTAGTTTGCTTTCTCCTGGAGAATCCCATTGTCTCCAACCCTCCTGAACTACCACTTCATTCATTGCCTGCTACCCTTCCAACTCCCACTGTTCCTCCACCCCGGGTGCCTCCTGTTCATGCAACACAACCCCCAGTCATGGATCATCCAGATATGACAGATATGTCAGCTGAAGCCTTGATGGAAAACCAACAACTGATGCTGAACCAGCTGTCAAACACTCCCTTGTCACCACAGTCCCCTCTAATGTTGAACACTCCTGCCAACTTTCTCATGCCAGAAATGCCAACCACATCTTGTTCAACCTCCTCTACCAGGCCTTCTGTCAGCCAGTCCATGTCTGATATGTCAAGCAATATGACATCAACAGCCGTGCAGACTGATAACAAGGTTGTGATTTGTGAGAAGCTCCAGCTAATTCAAGGCAAGCTAGCCAAGGCCCTGAAGAGTGCTAACCTCTCGCTGGAGAACATCCCCCCTGAGCTGCTTCAGAGCGTTAATGAGGAGGTGTCAGCACTGAATATTGATGGAGAGGAAATTGCAGTGCCTCCATCACCTTTCTCTATGCCTGTTGGCACTGGTGGAGTGATTGGAGATCAGGATGGTATTGAAGGTTTGATGGTTGCAGAACCTGCACAAACTCTACATGACACTATTGGAGATATGCTTTCTGAAGGTATACCTTTAGTCACCACAATATTAAAAGAAAGAACAGTTAGTACGAAACTATTTGATTCAATCTTTTATGTTAGTCCCAAAAGTGAGAAATAGTTTTGTCTTATAATAATATTATACTATAATACTGTCAAAGCTGTGACTGTTGTGATGTCTGAACAAACTCTTTGGAATAGCATTAAAAGAAATGACAGAAACAGCTTGGGTTAGTAGCAGTGGAGGTTTCATTATTAGGGAGTTTTAGCAATGATGACGGCAACGGCGGGGACGAAGCCTTGTAAAAAATGTATTTTTATTTCACCTTCGAATGTCACACCTTTGTAAATCTGTTCAGGGTGCCTATCGGTCTAAAAACTTGCTCAGGCTAAACATGCACCGACAGCGTTCAATTCGAAAAAAAAATACCAAAAATTAGCCATTGCGGTTTGCTTTCTCCAAAATACGTAGAACTTAGTCATTTCATGTTGTTGTTTTGTAGAGGATGGCAAAGAAATGTACCAAGATTCAAAACGCATGTGCAGAACCATTGTTCTGCTAATTAAACCTTTTGTTTGGGGATGCTCTCGTCGCCGTTGCCGTTGTGGTTTGTTAAAAGTCCCTAATGTTTTAAGCAGCAGGGCAAGTGGTTTCACAGGCGGGCAAAACATTTCGAACTGAACTTCTTTATAACAAAAACTGTCTTCTACATAACGTAGATGGTCAAACCAGGTGGGCAAAATCATCCTTTTAGCCTGTCAATTTGGCCGGTGCCTGGCCCTTAGTGAAACCCCAGCAGTAGACAGTTTTCATTTAGATAATACAGACCTAAGTGCACTCAGTTCTGTATGTATCAAAGTAGTGCATTCAGCTGGAATGTTTGACGACGTTAAAACAATGAATTTTTACTTGTACAACTGTAGGTATTTTAAAGTTACATGTATTGTGATGGGAATTGCTTTAAAAGGTTTGTAAGCGATGGTCTGGCTCGGGCACTAGAACATGGCAGTATTTTAACAGGTTCATGTATGCGCAATATCTTCTCAGATTCAAGCAATAATAGCAGTCCTCCTACTCCTCCTGACCTCAGTACGTCATCCTTGCCACTGACCCCCACCCCATCACCAGCCTCACCTCAGTTTCCACCTATGATTGATGTGGATCAACAGACAGACAGTAACTCAGACACAGCACTCACTTTGGCAGCTGCTGGAGGTCATGATGAGCTTGTAACCCTTCTGCTAGTCAAAGGCTCTGACATTGAGCACAGGGACAAGAAAGGTACTTACAGAATGCATGGGCAAAATAATTATCAAAAAATAAAGATCAGAGACCACTAGAATTAATCTAGATGTACAGTACACCAGTGCTAGATCCATTAGCTTAGGAGAACACCTATGGAGTGTTAGTTGTTGAGCATTTAAACTGCGTACATTAATACCATGTTTTTCTCTATGATGTACTTGTAGGCTGCACCCCACTGATTCTAGCAGCCACAGCTGGCCATGCATCCACTGTTGAGATCTTGTTGGATCATGGAGCAGATATTGAGGCTCAGTCAGATCGCACCAAAGACACTGCACTTTCCCTGGCATGCTCTGGTGGTAGGCAAGAGGTTGGTATCTGGTATTGTAGTTATTTAACAATAGTATTACTAACATTTTGTTTTATATTTGTTATTTCTTTTGCATTATGAAGCACTGATTTGATTTCTAAGTAAGAAGATAATGTAAAGAAGATCATGAAAACTGAAAACCATGTTAAACATGGTTAGTTTAAAAAATTTCTTTACCAAAGGGAGGTTGGTGTTCCATATTCTCCAAGAAAGTTATTCACACTTTAAGTCTAGAAAAACTGCAAGTGCGCATACAAGCAGAATGCAAGTGTGTTGAGTAGTTTTTAGAGATCTCAAGAGTGCATTATCTTTTTAGATAACATTCTAACTGGTTTAGAATATAGCATGAAAAGCAAGAATATTTATATCTGAGAAGGGGCAGTGATTGCGCTAACAAATCAACATCTGGGACATAAGTGCTCTATAATTTCTAGCCCTGCATCTATTAAAAAATAATGCGTGCTCAGCTCCTTGGGATTTTAAGGAAGAGAATGGCAATCAAGCTTTACATGAGCTTTATATAAAAAAATACAAGAAGTAAAAAGATGTGCATGTAGGAAGGTGGTATCAGTATTTGTATGTGTACTTCAATATGCATGTCAAAAATGTCTTAAACGACAAGGATGTGATTGCACATCAATGAACAATGTTTATATATTGTCTCCATGAAGTAAAACACCTAAAATGATCATCTTTCTCATCAGGTGGTTGAGTTACTGATTGCTAAAGGAGCAAACTTTGAACACCGCAATGTGTCTGATTACACTCCACTAAGTCTTGCTGCATCTGGAGGTTATGTTGGCATCATCAAACTTCTGCTGAGCCATGGTGCTGAAATCAATTCTCGCACTGGGAGCAAACTTGGAATATCGCCATTGATGTTGGCATCAATGAATGGCCACACAGCAGCTGTTAAACTCCTGCTGGATATGGGAAGTGACATAAATGCACAGATCGAAACCAATAGAAACACTGCGCTGACTTTGGCCTGCTTTCAAGGACGACATGAGGTTGTAAACCTGCTGGTGGAAAGGAAGGCAAATATAGAACACCGTGCAAAGGTAAAATTAATAGGCCATGTCCGAATTACCTTGTGCCTCTGTTTCAAAACGAATCTTCATGCAAAACCTTCACATGAAAATGAGTTTGATTTGCATGAGGATGAACTTGTAGGCAAACTAATTTTAATATGAATGGTTTCACATGAAGTACCACTGGGTAGTTGGTATTGGGTCTTGTGGGCTTGGATCTTTGCAGGTTGAAACAAAAATCGTTTAATGTCTATTTCATGATTATTTGTTTTATAGACTGGTCTGACTCCCCTTATGGAGGCAGCATCTGGTGGGTATGTGGAGGTGGGTAGAATCCTTCTTGACAAAGGAGGTGATGTTAATGCTCCACCTGTTCCATCCTCTCGGGACACAGCTCTGACCATAGCTGCAGACAAAGGACATTACAAGTTTTGTGACCTGTTACTTTCACGTGGAGCCATGGTAGATGTGAAAAATAAGAAAGGAAACTCGCCTCTGTGGTTGGCAGCTAATGGTATGTAGCTAAGAAGTCGTCTTTAAATCTTGATATTGGTAATGGTGAATTGTTTGTTCAAATTGAAATATTTGATTATGGCATTTTCCCCAAAGCTATGACTGTGGATATAGTCCTTTGAGTTCAAGTTCCAGCCCCCTGACTTCTTGCCCTTTTAGTATGTTTGGTGTGAGAGTTGTGGTGCTACATTGTGTCCATCAAGATAATGTACCCTAGCTGACACTTCTTTCTTTTTGTTGCCTTTCTACCAAACAGTGCAGTGATCTCTACAATACATTGTTTTTAATCGCTACATTAGATGTTAAACAAGGCTGGAACAAAGCAATTAAATATCTAGTGTAGACTACCTGCAGCTACAGTACGTCCTTATTGTTAAGTCACTATAGATTTCTGACTGTCTCATTGAGTGTACAGAAACATGAGCAATCCATGCTCTTTTAAGTCATTGTTGATTGATATGGCAATGTTTATTTTTAAGGGGGCCATCTGGAAGTATGCCAGCTGCTCTTTAGTTATGGTGCAGATGTTGATAGTCAAGACAACAGAAAGGTGTCCATTCTTATGGCAGCATTCAGAAAGGGCCACATAAAAGTTGTCAAATGGCTTGTCAAGCATGTCCATCAGTTCCCCTCTGACTCTGAATGTACACGATTCGTATCCACTCTTTCTGATAAGGTATGACTCTGCTGGAGATAGTTTCAATGCTTTTTGTAAACAGTCTCTGAGAATGCATTGATCCCTCAAACACTGCAATCCTCAACAGACCTAGAATTAACACTCAAAAGAAAAATAGTATTTTTGGGAACTCATTTTTAAACCTTTTTTGATAACAGTCTTTTGTGTAAGCAAGTGTTTACAGTGTGCCCTCTTGCATTTCAATGTTCAATCCGTTATGGCTATCTCTTTAGGATTCATTTTGTGATGGCAAGGAGGGAACAAAGATGTAATGGTGTAAATCATGACAACTCTTTGGCCTACAATTGTAGTTTAAGAATGGTTTAAGAATGTTTTAGGTTGCGTTTCTATCAGAAAATCCAAGATTGGATTCTTAAATCCGAAAGAATCTGAAAACGGATTTTGCGTTTCTTTACTAAACAGATCAATCCAAGATCTGTCGGATCATGATGAGTCAAAGGAACCGAAGAATCCACTCTGCGCAAGGATTCTTTGGTTCTTTTGATGCCCCATGATCTGAGAGATCTTGGCTTGATCTGTTGAGTAAAGAATCGCAAAATCCGTTTTCAGATTCTTCCGGATTTAAGAATCCAATCCTGGATTTTCTTAAAGAAACGCACCCTTAGTCATTTCTGATAGTTGCCATTATGGTTGTTCTGTAATTCTAGTAATTTATTACTGTTTCTGTTTCACTGTCAACCAACTTGTTCCTCGGTTGCAGGAACTTTTGAACAAGTGTCACAAGAATATGGAGATAATAATAACAGCTAAAGACCGCCAGGCTGCAGAGGCCAACAAGAATGCGTCCATACTCCTGGAGCAAATTGACTTGGAGAAAGAACGCGAAGAGCTGAAGAAAGCGGCTGCTGCCCGAAAGAGAGACAAGAAAAAACAAAAGAAGAAGAAGAAACTCCAAGCAGAGAAAGAGACAGAGACAAATGTTAAGAACATGGCTGAAAAAGAAAACAGTGATGATAGTAGTGAGCCTGAAAGGAAGATTTCTGCTGAAAATAGTGGTATGTGTGGTTTGTGAACTTGTGAATTGTGAATAAACCACTCTTTACTGGGTTGTCAGAGAATTCACTATCTGATCAGGAAATGGTAAATTTCTTGATGAGTTGATCCCCTTATGCATGCCTATTTGTGTCATTGCCACATTATGATATAGCTTTTACAATCTAGTGATCTAGTGCTTACAAGTAACTCTTATTGGTTGTGTTTTTTACATTCTTATTTATAGTGAATACAAGTGTTTTGCCACCACCACTGAGTACATCTGCAGTGATTGACAGCAACACTGTTAGTGGCGTCAGGACAAGGAAATCATCGACTGGCTCCCTGGATACGCTTACAAGTATTGCGATCACTGCTGCTGTCACAACAACATCGACTGGAAAGTATGGACACAGTCTCACTGTTTTCAATGTTTTCCATATTTTTTGGACAGTAGAAAACTGGCTTTCAGTTGTAAGCCATGTGATCTTGTATGATTGGGGTCTTAGCTTGACAAAAAGCACTTAGATGGGGTAGAGGTTGTGCATGATATTAAAAAATGTAATATTTTCATACATAATATTTTATATTAAGGAATGTTTAAACAATGCTTAATGTAGTGTTGGAGTTTTAAAGTGGCTCGGTCGCAGTAGTTTGAGTAAACACCAAAGACATAATAATAAACCATAAAGGAACAAGGATGGTTAAGGATGGAGAAGATTTACACAGATTACAAACGACAAACTTCCAAAATTTATGCTTAAACTTTTCAAAATAAATGTACAGACTGTGACGTAGCTCCTTTAAGAGTGTCTGTGACTAGTTTACTAATCACTTTAAAATTTTTCTTATATGCCTATGGATGTGTCCGTACTTAGGGATATATCCAAACAAGAACGCATAATTCTGGTAAGGAGAACCTTGCTTTCTATTTTTCTCAGGTCTACTGATGTGATCAGTGTTATGAAAACTGCTGAGATCACCAAAGTAGTGGCCAGTACCATCATGACTCAGACTACTCCCCACAGTGCTCTGTCGCCCATCACCGTGGCCACTGCTGCAGCCCAGTGTCTCGCTGTCACTCTCACAACAACAACGGCTACTACTAAAATGTCCACCTTGCCGAGTCCTAAGAAGGGTAAAAAACACGAGGATGGCTGGAAGGAGGTTGTAAGAAGGTACAGTATGTCTTTAGAATTGATTAGACAGAATAACCCTAAATTCCTAAGCGTGATTAACTATAAATTCCTTTTTAAGTGGAAAGCTGATGAGAACTATGAAAATTTTCAGCCTCAGTTGAACATCGCTATCTCGAACTCCCCGTTATCTTCACCTGCACTCTGTAAAATTTTTGAGTGGCTGCCAAATTAATTTCAAAAATCAGTAAGAAGAATTATTTGGGACTGGAAACGTTTCAGCTCTTAAAACACCTAATACAGGTTTTTTTTCCATCTTTTACTGAAGTGTGTGTTCTGGTCGCTTTTTATCTTCTCTTCTGGAAAGACTTCTGGGTCACGCCTTCTGTTTCGTTTTTTGATGTTGTTTGGCTTCCTTTTTCAAACCTCTCTATTTGTAATGAAGACCTTTATTGTAACTAATGGTTTTGCGTTGTAGGTCCAAGAAAATGTCCGTTTCGTCTTCTGTGATCAGTCGTGTGATTGGTCGAGGAGGGTGCAATATCAACGCTATCCGTGAAACAACTGGAGCCCACATTGACATCGATACCAATCGGCAGAAAACAACCGGCAGCTGTATAGTTACCATCAAGTAGGATTCCTTCCTTTTGTTCTCTCTAACTGGCGCTCTTTCTCGCCTGAATTTTTTTATTGCTGTGTTAATCCATAGTTAATAGAGGGAAATGGTTGAGAAACCTGGTGAACATCAGAGAAGCAAACAAACAGGCTAAGATTTATGTTGGAAGGTCCTTGGCCTTGCACATCTTTTGTGTCATGCTCATAGACTATGCATGAATTACATGATCGCAACGCTTCGATTGGTTAGTTGTATGAGCACACAGAACCACCTTTTGTTTTTTTTGCCAGGTTTTGTGCAAGGTAAATCCCCAAAATAGCCAACAAAAACATACAGCAAAGACCTTTGCCGGGTTTCTTATCAATTTATCTTCATCAACTATGGTTAATCTATTGGAGTGCTTGCGTATCTCGTAAATAGAGTATAGGAAATGCTCAAGAAAGTCAGTACTTTGTTAGCTTGCTTGTTACATCACTGATCACACCGTTTTGTAATTTGCATTTTCCAGGGGACCTGCTGATGCAACACGACAAGCGCACCAGCTCATCTCGGCCTTAGTCAAGGACCCTGAGTGTGATATTAATGACGTCCTTCCCCGGAAAAAGCACCTTCATTCTCCAATCAGCCGTTCATCGGTCGCTACAACAATCACCACCTCAGTCACCTCCACAGTCTCTCATCACAGAACCCTCTCAGAACCTAAACCCATCACTACATCCTCTAAAGTACCTTCGACAACACAGTCCACCCAAACACGAACCACAACGAAAACCACCACAGCTGTTGGCCCTCAAAGCTTGTCCAGCTCTTGGCCATCTACTAATGGTGCCCCCGTGGCACAGGTTACCACATCCGTCAGCTGCACCACTGCGAAGAGTACCGTAACTTCATCAACCCATATGCCGAGCACGGCACGTTGGGCGACTACAACGCAAACTGCATCTAACACCAGCAAGAAGGCACCACTGGCCGCTGCGCAAGTTGCAGCAGCAAGTTCGCATTCCAGTGCTGTTCCTGTGGCTTCCGCGTCTGTCAGGAAGACTTCTGGTGGAGCCGCAAATATTAGTGGTTCTTCTAGTTCCGGTGTGGTCAAGCCCCCAACACCTGCTAAGCGACAATTGTTTCCTGAAACACCAGCTGAGGCGTCAAGGAAAAATTCATCAAGCAAAACGGCCAGGGTAGTTAAGGGATCTCCTTCCTATTCATCTGTTGCAATGGGAGTAACTGGTGCCACTGGGGGTGGTGCACTGGATGGCGTACTACCAATAACAACTTCAGCTTCATCCTCAGTAACAAGCTCTGTGACTACATCCTTGGGTTCTTCAAATCTTCCAGCTGCTATTAGCAATATCCTGTCACACGTCGGCCAGACGCTGAGTCCCAGTGTATGGAATGATATAGCGCATCCCAGCATCCGACCAAACGTCGGGCCTGTCTCGGAGCTAGACCATCCCTCATCAGCATCTCCGGCAGATCCTATCACGCAGCCCCTGTATATCACAACTCCAGGGGCCCTGTTTACCCCTCTCCCACACGAGTCTGTGTCATCCTCCCCACCCAACACCTCTGGTTCCCCGGTGCCGACTACAACACCTTCAACGTCGACATCACCCAACTCCTCCCCCATAGGGACATCGCTTGCCCCTGGTAGTAACACTCTGGTCGAGTCTGGTGACAAACCATCCCTGAGGCCAATAGGAACTGAAAGAGCATCGAGGAGAGTGTGCGCAAGTCCACTTCCCTCAGTACCTGGAATATCACCGCTAATAGGAACAGGTATTTGAGACTTTGATCTAGAAATACTCTGAAACGCTCTTTACCCATTTAAGTGTTGAGACAGTTTTGCAAATCGGACGTTTTTGAACCTAGATGCGTACTTTCCTTGATAAAAGAGACACCTTTTTCGTCAATACCCACTCACACCTAAACAATGTTGAAACGGGCTTTTGCGACGCAACCATGTAGTTACAACATTGCAACGGGGAGAAGGGGGCGAAATATGAGGAGAGTAGGTAAGACAAGTTACACTTGAAAGCCGAGAGTTTGCTTTCGAGCTGTGTCTCAACTACGTTTGTCCCAGATTGAAGAGGAAATGCCCATACTTTGGTTTAGAGTGACCCTAAAATGTTAAAAACGTGCGAGTGTTTGAATAGTGATGCTAAATGGTAATTGCTTGGGATTAAGTGATAGTAAACCACGCTATGAATCAGCGTAAACTTATAACATGTACACAGACACATTGATGTTCTATTCACGTTATTGTCTGATTCACAATTAACTTTATTATGAAGTCCGCGAGAAACCTATCGAAGTAGAAGTTTTTCAATTTTAAACGTTTGAACAAAGTTTCCTTCTTTCAATCCAGAGGGAACACAGGTCGCTGGAGTTTGGAGCTACTCCTATGCCCCAGATCCCACGCTGTCAGCAGGATGGTCGGCCGCACCCTCAGTTTCAACAGCGCCGTCACCCCCTCTAATCAGCGGCAGTAACTCGTTACCAGGCTCAGAGGAGGAGCAGTTTGGTGTGAACCCAGGGGATACGCTACAGACATTCTTGGAACGGCTGTCGCTCTCGAGCCATCTTGGTCTCTTCCAGGTAAAGATAGATATCTCATATGTCACGCTGCACAAAGCATTCTACTGTGACACGTGCAAATGAAGTGCTCTGAACTGTAAAGTTTCCTAATTCTGTTATCATCTTCCTGCCGTCACTTGTTCTTACTGTTGACGTTAATTCAAATTGCGCGCGCCAACCTGCGATTTTGTAGTGTGTGCTCTGTTACAACACGTGAATCCATGTTGGCGTCAAGAGATTTAATATGAACGATATCGTCACACGTCTTTGGAAAAACTGCATGCAGTTTACGGCTGCACTGGAGGATCTGGGTAAAACATCTTAGTTCAGTTCTTTAACCCCGTACTGCCGCAAAACACTTGGACTTTGTATTTTTGTGTTGTATTTTGTTACGTTACGTTTCGTTGCTTCGCTTTGCTTTGTTTTGTGTTGTTTTATTTAATGTATATTGTTTTCCTTTTCTTTAGAAAAACGAAATAGACCTGGACGCCTTACTGTTGATGTCGGAAAAAGACTATGCAGATATCGGTCTGCCGAAGGTGAGAGAGCTCAGGTTCTTCTTGTATATGTATATATTTGCATTCCGTGAACTGATGTATCGCCTAAATATTTCTGATATTAGAAGATATAGGCGCGATCTCGAGTCCGGTCTACGTTCCTCACCGTGCCTTCGGGAGAGCTTTCCCGAACAGCGGCTGGTAATCGAGCCTATAGAAGATGCACATTATCGTACCTGTTATTTCACTTTGACTCGTCAAGCAAACTAACAAGTGACATCTTTCTTGGTTTCCCTTTCAACTTTAGGGACCTCGGGTGAAGCTATTGAACAGCACTCGACAGCTTTACACCAGCGACACACCAGAGTTCAGTACGGTCCCACCTGGTGCCTCCCCCGGTTCAAGACCCGCCGGTCGAAATACTGGGTGGAGTCCTCAGGGGGGAATCATCGCGACCTCAACGACAGCAACGACTGTAGCTGCCGGGGTTCCGTTTGGGGCGAAAAGGGCTCCGGGTCGGAAAGTCGATCCAAGCAAACGAGTAAGTGAAAGTCTAGTCTTCTTTTTTCATGGAGGAATCAAAGCGAATGTTAATTTGTAGTGACTAGATTTGTTTGATGTAAACTTTGTAACTGTGTCTGGTAGAACATTCTTTCGAAACGTCGAAATGCAGTCCTGGGCAGGAACTCAACTACCTGTAGTTCTGTGGATTAACTTTTCTTCTTTTATCCTGCAGCAGGGGTGGAAATCATGGAGTCGGACAGCGGTTTAAATCTAAGCGGTAAGTTTATTCGCTTTATTTAAACATAACTGAAGAAAATCCAATATGAGTTTCTTTTTTACTGTATATGTTGGAAGAACACGACAAAATTTTTACAATAGCTTTAGCCATTGTCGCGCCGTTTCCCACAATACTGGTTCGGCCGGTGCAAACGCGCTCTCGAATTTTAGTTTTTTGAGCTGGTTTTTGATTCGAAGAAGAAGAACAACAGACAAACAAATTAGACGAGGAGAGATAATATCGATGGCAGTTAAAGAGCGAGGAGAATTTAGACTTCCTGGGAGCAAAGGGTGAAGGAAGGACCAGTACTTCGAAGCAAATATTCTTTCAGTTTTCGCTGGTTTTAGTACATTATATCATGGTGGGTACGTCTTGACCTTCAATTATACATTCAACTGGAGTTTAGTGCTCGTTTTCCCTCAGTATGGCAAGGGAAAACTAATACGTAGAGATACACGTTGTGCCCCTAGTCTCTTTACTAAGTACATCATCTCTTATCCTTTTCAGGGATCACCAAGTAAACTTCGACATTGTCAAACTCTGGACAACAGAGGACTCTTGAAAAACGGACCTAACTTTATTTTGGGTTAATTGGAGCTATAAATGATGAATAAATCTTAGGTTCAATCGATATTGTGAAGTGTGCTTGATTAAGACCGGTCTTGCATGTGAGGAATGTGTTAGATGAGAATAAGCCACCCATTTGTTTGTTTAAATAATGTGAAAATCGTTAAGAAAAACCTGTCAGTTTCATTTGGAACCTACCACGACAAACGTTATAGTTTCCATAAAACCTTGAAGAAGTAATGAGAGGGTGATGCGTCTGAGAACCATATCAACTGGTTAAGGCTAACGGATATCTTTAGAGGTGTTTCGCGTCCAAGCGATGTAGTCTGTCCGGTTTAGACTGTGGTTACACCTAATCGTACTCTTTTGGAACACTTTGGTGGCATAGCAAGTTTGGTCCAGCCATGGATCGTATGTTAGCGAGAGAGCACTATCTGCTGCCGAAGCGTACCTAAAAGGTACGATTAAGTATTTTACCCTACCCAAATTCGGCCTATTATAAGGTTGATATCGTAAACATATCAGGTCAGTGACTTGATATCGTAGGATATCAGGACTGTAGACACGGCTTTTGATTGGCTAATTTCGAATTTGAGTGCGGTAAATAATTGAGCTGGCTATCAAACTAAACTAAAATCAAAGGTAACAGCAGTAACTTTTAACTAAAAGTAACTTTACCAGTAACTTTTAACTAAAATCAAAGGTAACACCGGTAACTTTTCGTCAGCTAAGAGAAGCGAAAAGTTCTATGGGGACGAGAATGACACCCTTCAACTTGCCATGTACAGTATAGGGTTTCCTAGCTCGGTTTACGTTAGCTCGTCTAAAAATCTAATTTTGTCTGGCTTCACAGAGACTGGTTTCGCTTTTATTCAAGAAGACTATAGAGCAATTTGACTTAGTGTTTTGTGTCTTGAGCTCCATGTTTTCATGGAAACGATGCATTCACTGTTTTGATGCAAAAAGTACGAAATTGCGATTTACTCGAGATCAAACATAATTTTTTTATTCTCGTGTATTCTACTTGCCTTGGTCGTGATATGGTGTTCAACATCATGAAAATTTGGAATCAGCAGATGTCATACAGAGTGGTTTATGAGGGTCGGCCCATTGACAGCTGCAGCTGCTTGGCATGCTGGGATGAGGCAGGAAGGTCTGTCCCCTTTCCTTTCAGTCTCTTGCCCATTGACCGGAGCGTGAAACCTAGCTCTGTTATAATTGAGAATAGAAGTGAGGTCAAGTGGGCTTTGTACTAACAGCTGGAGGACCTCGATTTTGCTTCTAAGTTGCACCCCCTTTCTCGCGGCAACGGTCGGTGCTTAAGGTCATTCTCCAGTATTGCATTGCGCATCCTTACTGCGCATAATTTATGGCGTCATTAGCGCGCGTTCGTGCACGCGCACATTGAAAACAAACTACTTACCGAAATAATTCGTCGAACGGATGGCGAACAAATCCTGAGCGTTACTCTGAATCAAATAAACAACACTCGAAGTCATTCCAGAAAACAACTCGGGTCTTGTTGAGCTTTAACAGTTGTACGATTCAATCACAACAAATCCAAGATGTATACGCCTCAAAAAGCAGAATAGTAGGCAAAATACTTCCGCATGCAGAAGAGCTGAACAAATATCGAAGCCTCGTAACGTCACAAAGAAAAATAGTGTTCTGATTGGTTCGTGCGACATATCGACAACATCCGGCTACATCCTAATGTGGCCAAAAAAATATCACTGACGGAACCGGATTACACGAAAATCGAGCTGAATGATCTGAGATTGTTTCTGCATAGCCATCAAACTACGCACGGCTCTATATTCTGCCGCCTCGACAGGCTCGCGTTTTCGCTCGCCTGTCTCGTTGGCAATAGCCAAAACATCAGTCTCGGGACGTCTCTGCCTTGCCAATATTTATAAATTGACGGAACTGAGTAAACCCGATTTTGTTGAAGCAAAACGAACGAATTAAAGGACGTTCTTTAATCCTTACTGTTTTTGTCTCTTTTTTATTCTCTACTTCATCATTTCCGGTATGATTTGTTGTCATTTGCCTTACTAATGACTGTTTAATTATGTCATTTTGAAGCTGAGTTTTCAAAACTTTACAACCTTTTTAAAATGACCTCTCCAGGAGGACCTATCATTATCATAGCTTCTACTTACTAGACCTGACAAGGTGGCCTAGAGACTTCTTTCAATATTACATTTCAAATATCAAAAAATGTTTCATCAAAAATCTTAATTCCTGGAATCTGTTTTGGAGTATAAATGCTTACATTCATTCGTCCGACTTCCATCATGGGGGGCTCAGGTATTAAAAACTTCCAGTAAGGTAACTCACGGAGTTTTCCTGTTCTTTCAATGGAGGGAGTTTTGCACATCGAACTTCTTGATCTTGTAGCATTCAGTCTCGATGAAGAACGAGGTGCTGCGCTTCTTTTACTGAAACAATTCGGATCTAACTTATTGCTTTTTCTATCTTTATAGTCAGTTCTGGGCCAGTCGAGTTCAGGAGAGATTCTTACTCGTGGTTTGTTCGGAGTGACAACTCGTTCAACAACTTCGTCGGAACCTTCCTCTCTCGCGCACAATTCTTGACTTTTTGAATCCATCAAATTCCTCGTTATACTTGATCTTCTCGAGCTACAGAGCGACGAAATCGGCGTCTCTATGCGAAATTGATGATGAGGTTCTAAGTCCTGAGTGCTACTTTCGTTCGAAATGCAGTGAGCATCGAACGTTGACCCAGTTACACGCGTTTTGACATGGACGCAACTATTTGGACGCGTTTTCAAGCCGTTTATGTTGTGAGTGGGTGAGACTGTTGACGGTCTTCTCCGTTGGAGCGGATCGCATTCTTTATAGATTGAGAACGAGGTTTTTATTTCTCTTTCGCTTTCTTGCGGTACGCATAAAACGTACGGCGACACACAAATGTCCGGAAAGCTTCGGNCTGGCCGCTGCGCAAGTTGCAGCAGCAAGTTCGCATTCCAGTGCTGTTCCTGTGGCTTCCGCGTCTGTCAGGAAGACTTCTGGTGGAGCCGCAAATATTAGTGGTTCTTCTAGTTCCGGTGTGGTCAAGCCCCCAACACCTGCTAAGCGACAATTGTTTCCTGAAACACCAGCTGAGGCGTCAAGGAAAAATTCATCAAGCAAAACGGCCAGGGTAGTCAAGGGATCTCCTTCGTATTCATCTGTTGCAATGGGAGTAACTGGTGCCACTGGGGGTGGTGCACTGGATGGCGTACTACCAATAACAACTTCAGCTTCATCCTCAGTAACAAGCTCTGTGACTACATCCTTGGGTTCTTCAAATCTTCCAGCTGCTATTAGCAATATCCTGTCACACGTCGGCCAGACGCTGAGTCCCAGTGTATGGAATGATATAGCGCATCCCAGCATCCGACCAAACGTCGGGCCTGTCTCGGAGCTAGACCATCCCTCATCAGCATCTCCGGCAGATCCTATCACGCAGCCCCTGTATATCACAACTCCAGGGGCCCTGTTTACCCCTCTCCCACACGAGTCTGTGTCATCCTCCCCACCCAACACCTCTGGTTCCCCGGTGCCGACTACAACACCTTCAACGTCGACATCACCCAACTCCTCCCCCATAGGGACATCGCTTGCCCCTGGTAGTAACACTCTGGTCGAGTCTGGTGACAAACCATCCCTGAGGCCAATAGGAACTGAAAGAGCATCGAGGAGAGTGTGCGCAAGTCCACTTCCCTCAGTACCTGGAATATCACCGCTAATAGGAACAGGTATTTGAGACTTTGATCTAGAAATACTCTGAAACGCTCTTTACCCATTTAAGTGTTGAGACAGTTTTGCAAATCGGACGTTTTTGAACCTAGATGCGTACTTTCCTTGATAAAAGAGACACCTTTTTCGTCAATAGCCACTCACACCTAAGCAATGTTGAAACGGGCTTTTGCGACGCAACCATGTAGTTACAACATTGCAACGGGGAGAAGGGGGCGAAATATGAGGAGAGTAGGTAAGACAAGTTACACTTGAAAGCCGAGAGTTTGCTTTCGAGCTGTGTCTCAACTACGTTTGTCCCAGATTGAAGAAGAAATGCCCATACTTTGGTTTAGAGTGACCCTAAAATGTTAAAAACGTGCGAGTGTTTGAATAGTGATGCTAAATGGTAATTGCTTGGGATTAAGTGATAGTAAACCACGCTATGAATCAGCGTAAACTTATAACATGTACACAGACACATTGATGTTCTATTCACGTTATTGTCTGATTCACAATTAACTTTATTATGAAGTCCGCGAGAAACCTATCGAAGTAGAAGTTTTTCAATTTTAAACGTTTGAACAAAGTTTCCTTCTTTCAATCCAGAGGGAACACAGGTCGCTGGAGTTTGGAGCTACTCCTATGCCCCAGATCCCACGCTGTCAGCAGGATGGTCGGCCGCACCCTCAGTTTCAACAGCGCCGTCACCCCCTCTAATCAGCGGCAGTAACTCGTTACCAGGCTCAGAGGAGGAGCAGTTTGGTGTGAACCCAGGGGATACGCTACAGACATTCTTGGAACGGCTGTCGCTCTCGAGCCATCTTGGTCTCTTCCAGGTAAAGATAGATATCTCATATGTCACGCTGCACAAAGCATTCTACTGTGACACGTGCAAATGAAGTGCTCTGAACTGTAAAGTTTCCTAATTCTGTTATCATCTTCCTGCCGTCACTTGTTCTTACTGTTGACGTTAATTCAAATTGCGCGCGCCAACCTGCGATTTTGTAGTGTGTGCTCTGTTACAACACGTGAATCCATGTTGGCGTCAAGAGATTTAATATGAACGATATCGTCACACGTCTTTGGAAAAACTGCATGCAGTTTACGGCTGCACTGGAGGATCTGGGTAAAACATCTTAGTTCAGTTCTTTAACCCCGTACTGCCGCAAAACACTTGGACTTTGTATTTTTGTGTTGTATTTTGTTACGTTACGTTTCGTTGCTTCGCTTTGCTTTGTTTTGTGTTGTTTTATTTAATGTATATTGTTTTCCTTTTCTTTAGAAAAACGAAATAGACCTGGACGCCTTACTGTTGATGTCGGAAAAAGACTATGCAGATATCGGTCTGCCGAAGGTGAGAGAGCTCAGGTTCTTCTTGTATATGTATATATTTGCATTCCGTGAACTGATGTATCGCCTAAATATTTCTGATATTAGAAGATATAGGCGCGATCTCGAGTCCGGTCTACGTTCCTCACCGTGCCTTCGGGAGAGCTTTCCCGAACAGCGGCTGGTAATCGAGCCTATAGAAGATGCACATTATCGTACCTGTTATTTCACTTTGACTCGTCAAGCAAACTAACAAGTGACATCTTTCTTGGTTTCCCTTTCAACTTTAGGGACCTCGGGTGAAGCTATTGAACAGCACTCGACAGCTTTACACCAGCGACACACCAGAGTTCAGTACGGTCCCACCTGGTGCCTCCCCCGGTTCAAGACCCGCCGGTCGAAATACTGGGTGGAGTCCTCAGGGGGGGATCATCGCGACCTCAACGACAGCAACGACTGTAGCTGCCGGGGTTCCGTTTGGGGCGAAAAGGGCTCCGGGTCGGAAAGTCGATCCAAGCAAACGAGTAAGTGAAAGTCTAGTCTTCTTTTTTCATGGAGGAATCAAAGCGAATGTTAATTTGTAGTGACTAGATTTGTTTGATGTAAACTTTGTAACTGTGTCTGGTAGAACATTCTTTCGAAACGTCGAAATGCAGTCCTGGGCAGGAACTCAACTACCTGTAGTTCTGTGGATTAACTTTTCTTCTTTTATCCTGCAGCAGGGGTGGAAATCATGGAGTCGGACAGCGGTTTAAATCTAAGCGGTAAGTTTATTCGCTTTATTTGAACATAACTGAAGAAAATCCAATATGAGTTTCTTTTTTACTGTATATGTTGGAAGAACACGACAAAATTTTTACAATAGCTTTAGCCATTGTCGCGCCGTTTCCCACAATACTGGTTCGGCCGGTGCAAACGCGCTCTCGAATTTTAGTTTTTTGAGCTGGTTTTTGATTCGAAGAAGAAGAACAGCAGACAAACAAATTAGACGAGGAGAGATAATATCGATGGCAGTTAAAGAGCGAGGAGAATTTAGACTTCCTGGGAGCAAAGGGTGAAGGAAGGACCAGTACTTCGAAGCAAATATTCTTTCAGTTTTCGCTGGTTTTAGTACATTATATCATGGTGGGTACGTCTTGACCTTCAATTATACATTCAACTGGAGTTTAGTGCTCGTTTTCCCTCAGTATGGCAAGGGAAAACTAATACGTAGAGATACACGTTGTGCCCCTAGTCTCTTTACTAAGTACATCATCTCTTATCCTTTTCAGGGATCACCAAGTAAACTTCGACATTGTCAAACTCTGGACAACAGAGGACTCTTGAAAAACGGACCTAACTTTATTTTGGGTTAATTGGAGCTATAAATGATGAATAAATCTTAGGTTCAATCGATATTGTGAAGTGTGCTTGATTAAGACCGGTCTTGCATGTGAGGAATGTGTTAGATGAGAATAAGTCACCCATTTGTTTGTTTAAATAATGTGAAAATCGTTAAGAAAAACCTGTCAGTTTCATTTGGAACCTACCACGACAAACGTTATAGTTTCCATAAAACCTTGAAGAAGTAATGAGAGGGTGATGCGTCTGAGAACCATATCAACTGGTTAAGGCTAACGGATATCTTTAGAGGTGTTTCGCGTCCAAGCGATGTAGTCTGTCCGGTTTAGACTGTGGTTACACCTAATCGTACTCTTTTGGAACACTTTGGTGGCATATCAGCAAGTTTGGTCCAGCCATGGATCGTATGTTAGCTAGAGAGCACTATCTGCTGCCGAAGCGTACCTAAAAGGTACGATTAAGTATTTTACCCTACTCAAATTCGGCCTATTATAAGGTTGATATCGTAAACATATCAGGTCAGTGACTTGATATCGCAGGATATCAGGACTGTAGACACGGCTTTTGATTGGCTAATTTCGAATTTGAGTGCGGTAAATAATTGAGCTGGCTATCAAACTAAACTAAAATCAAAGGTAACAGCAGTAACTTTTAACTAAAAGTAACTTTACCAGTAACTTTTAACTAAAATCAAAGGTAACACCGGTAACTTTTCGTCAGCTAAGAGAAGCGAAAAGTTCTATGGGGACGAGAATGACACCCTTCAACTTGCCATGTACAGTATAGGGTTTCCTAGCTCGGTTTACGTTAGCTCGTCTAAAAATCTAATTTTGTCTGGCTTCACAGAGACTGGTTTCGCTTTTATTCAAGAAGACTATAGAGCAATTTGACTTAGTGTTTTGTCTCTTGAGCTCCATGTTTTCATGGAAACGATGCATTCACTGTTTTGATGCAAAAAGTACGAAATTGCGATTTACTCGAGATCAAACATAATTTTTTTATTCTCGTGTATTCTACTTGCCTTGGTCGTGATATGGTGTTCAACATCATGAAAATTTGGAATCAGCAGATGTCATACAGAGTGGTTTATCAGGGTCGGCCCATTGACAGCTGCAGCTGCTTGGCATGCTGGGATGAGGCAGGAAGGTCTGTCCCCTTTCCTTTCAGTCTCTTGCCCATTGACCGGAGCGTGAAACCTAGCTCTGTTATAATTGAGAATAGAAGTGAGGTCAAGTGGGCTTTGTACTAACAGCTGGAGGACCTCGATTTTGCTTCTAAGTTGCACCCCCTTTCTCGCGGCAACGGTCGGTGCTTAAGGTCATTCTCCAGTATTGCATTGCGCATCCTTACTGCGCATAATTTATGGCGTCATTAGCGCGCGTTCGTGCACGCGCACATTGAAAACAAACTACTTACCGAAATAATTCGTCGAACGGATGGCGAACAAATCCTGAGCGTTACTCTGAATCAAATAAACAACACTCGAAGTCATTCCAGAAAACAACTCGGGTCTTGTTGAGCTTTAACAGTTGTACGATTCAATCACAACAAATCCAAGATGTATACGCCTCAAAAAGCAGAATAGTAGGCAAAATACTTCCGCATGCAGAAGAGCTGAACAAATATCGAAGCCTCGTAACGTCACAAAGAAAAATAGTGTTCTGATTGGTTCGTGCGACATATCGACAACATCCGGCTACATCCTAATGTGGCCAAAAAAATATCACTGACGGAACCGGATTACACGAAAATCGAGCTGAATGATCTGAGATTGTTTCTGCATAGCCATCAAACTACGCACGGCTCTATATTCTGCCGCCTCGACAGGCTCGCGTTTTCGCTCGCCTGTCTCGTTGGCAATAGCCAAAACATCAGTCTCGGGACGTCTCTGCCTTGCCAATATTTATAAATTGACGGAACTGAGTAAACCCGATTTTGTTGAAGCAAAACGAACGAATTAAAGAACGTTCTTTAATCCTTACTGTTTTTGTCTCTTTTTTATTCTCTACTTCATCATTTCCGGTATGATTTGTTGTCATTTGCCTTACTAATGACTGTTTAATTATGTCATTTTGAAGCTGAGTTTTCAAAACTTTACAACCTTTTTAAAATGACCTCTCCAGGAGGACCTATCATTATCATAGCTTCTACTTACTAGACCTGACAAGGTGGCCTAGAGACTTCTTTCAATATTACATTTCAAATATCAAAAAATGTTTCATCAAAAATCTTAATTCCTGGAATCTGTTTTGGAGTATAAATGCTTACATTCATTCGTCCGACTTCCATCATGGGGGGCTCGGGTATTAAAAACTTCCAGTAAGGTAACTCACGGAGTTTTCCTGTTCTTTCAATGGAGGGAGTTTTGCACATCGAACTTCTTGATCTTGTAGCATTCAGTCTCGATGAAGAACGAGGTGCTGCGCTTCTTTTACTGAAACAATTCGGATCTAACTTATTGCTTTTTCTATCTTTATAGTCAGTTCTGGGCCAGTCGAGTTCAGGAGAGATTCTTACTCGTGGTTTGTTCGGAGTGACAACTCGTTCAACAACTTCGTCGGAACCTTCCTCTCTCGCGCACAATTCTTGACTTTTTGAATCCATCAAATTCCTCGTTATACTTGATCTTCTCGAGCTACAGAGCGACGAAATCGGCGTCTCTATGCGAAATTGATGATGAGGTTCTAAGCCCTGAGTGCTACTTTCGTTCGAAATGCAGTGAGCATCGAACGTTGACCCAGTTACACGCGTTTTGACATGGACGCAACTATTTGGACGCGTTTTCAAGCCGTTTATGTTGTGAGTGGGTGAGACTGTTGACGGTCTTCTCCGTTGGAGCGGATCGCATTCTTTATAGATTGAGAACGAGGTTTTTATGTCTCTTTCGCTTTCTTGCGGTACGCATAAAACGTACGGCGACACACAAATGTCCGGAAAGCTTCGGGTGTGTTCGTCGATGACAAATTGCTGCATTTGCGACTTTGTGCAAAGGGTACACAAACCAGGACCTAGGACGTCGCAGAATTGTTTGGAAAACTCGCCTTTATCCATGTGTACCATATGATTGAAGTACTGTACTCTGGGTGCAAAGCTCATCAAAGATCTACTGTTAAAGTGTTTTTCACCGTCAAGTGTAGCTGCGCTGTTTTGTCTTTGTGATAAACTCGGCGAAGATAATGAGCTTTCTTGGTGAGCATTCATCTCGTTTTCCACCCAATTTTGCTGCTTTACTTCGCGTATCAACCGTTCTCTTGTCGACTTCTCAAGCTCAGTTTCTTCCACAACAACGTAATTGTATTCCAACTTTTCGCTTTGTTTCTGTAGCAGTCTCGTATCGATCGCATCTGTGATTAGGGACTGCTTCCGAATTCGTGGAGGTTTTTCCACGGGCGAACGGATCATATCCCGAGAAAATTCCGTCCTGTTGTAATTGGCGAAAAAGCCGGCTTGAGATTTTGTTTCCCTTTTCCGATCTGCGAGTTTAGAAAAGGCTTCAAACTCAGAGAGCTTCTTGTCTTTTTTCAACCTGTTTTGTTTTCCTATGAAGTTTTTGTTCACCTCAGTTGAGAACCATCTTATTCCATGTGCCGTTGTCGAATTTCTTCCTTCGCCCACAGCCATATCTGCGTGTTCCAATCTTTCTTGATCACAAGTCTTTCACAGTAAAGTAACAGTTCATATCACGAATTATAACGTTAATATAGTTGTCCTCTTCTCAATTCAAATATTGATTTTTCTAGCTGAGTGTCAAACGAACTGATGAGCCGCGACCAGTTGAGTAATCATTCAAATGTAATTAAAAGCAGTATCTTGTCGGCCAAGCAGCAAAACAAGAAAGAAGCCGAACACAAAAGCTTAAGTCCCTTAATAACAGTTATTCTACTATTATTTTAATCGATTTGCATCTTACGGGCGCGTTTTTGTAATCACGACAAAGCCATTTGTGTAGCTCTAAATCCCTTGGGTGGTGCAGGAGGTAATTCTAAAGATAACTGTTCTTGTAGTTTCTATGGTAACCTGGGTAGTCCGCTACCGGTTTGTTTCAAAACAAGGTCAGATTTTAATGTTATTAAATTCAGCCAGCAATTAATCAGTTATGTTGGCTTTTACATCGAGAATTGATTTCGTTGTTATACAAGCCAAGCTAATCCCCAAAAGTCATCACTTGATACTCCTTGCGGGAGTCCATCGTGACATCAAGATCATGTAGGATTTTCTTTTTCTTAGTTATCGATTACAAACACTTAAAAACGAGGAATTCAGAGACCCTTTTGAGGCTAATAAGGTTAATTATCAGTTTCCCTATTGTTCCAATTCAGTTTATAGGGAAGATGAAGTGTGTGCATCATGGTTAACGCACAGGAGAAAAAAAGGATCAAGTAGGTTTTCTTGATTAACTGCTTCAACTTTGTTCTAAACCAACGACCTGTCAACTCTTAAGGGTTTTTAAATTCCTTACTTAAAAGTATTTACTTAATTAACTGAGCTTGTAAGACCCTTGTAAGGAATAATTGTATGTTATTGGTTTAGTGTTTCACTTTATTCTTACTGAGCGCGTTCCCAGGACATGCTGGGTGTCTGGAAAACCCGAACAGCGAATAGCGAATAGTCGTGAATAGCGAATTGCGAAGAGTCCCGAATAGTGCGAATAGTCTCGAATAGTGCGAATAGTGGCGAGCAGTCGCGAAAAGTGGCGAATAGTGACGAATAGTCGTCAATAGTCACCGCTTTAGATCTAATATCCAGCGTTAATTAATTATCCAAATAAAAAACAGAATCTCAGTGAATTTATTACCTTTTCTTCTCCGGACTCAGGCTAGTAGGCTGTCCATCGCCAACATTAAGAAAACAGAAAACACAAGGATAACCTAATAAAGACGTATTAACGCTTTTGCAGCGGTTAAAACAGAAGAAATTACGTTTAGAAACACCTTTTGCCCTGATAAGCGTCTGTGCTATTTAGCGGAAAAATCCCATCCCAAGTTGCTACCAGGTTAACTGCGAGATACTGGGTACCCTATTTGTTACTATTAGTCACTATTTGCCACTATTTGCCACCATTTGCTACTATTTACCACTATTCGCCACTATTCGAGACTGTTCGCCACTATTCGCACTATTCGCACTATTCGTACTATTCGCTATTCGCTATTCGGGACTATTCGCTGTTCGCTATTCGCGACTATTCGCTATTCGCTATTCGGGTTTTCCAGACACCCGGACATGCTTGTGGTCAAGCAATATCAACTGGGTAGTCCAATAAACAAGACGAACCGCAAATTTTGTTTGAAATTAATTCAGGATAACGACACCCCTTCTCTTTCCAGTGCACAAGTTAAGAAAGGCAAAGAACCGTGAGCGCGCCCTTTAAGTGTCGATTTCTTGAAAACAACTTCTAGTAAACTCAATGCTCTTTTTCAAGGCTACTGATTTGTATGAAGTTTATCTTAAAACAGCCAAAACAGTCACATGTTAGCTCTCTCAAGCTTTCTCTGCCAGTGTAGCTGAGTCGCGCTCAATTTCTTCGTGAGGTGAGTATCGTTATGAGGTAATGATGGCCTTGAAAAGACAGATAACTGATCCGTCTTGGGACCTATCGTGAATAAATAAGTCTTCCAGCAAAAGCAAATCCCACTTGATCTAGCTACCCTGATCACTTTTGGAACTGCATTGGACTCTTATCCTTATTCTTAAAAGGTTGCTTCCGTAAGAACTGTAACAATAAGGCACTAATTCGATCGAAAATCGACGGAATCACTACGGTATGTTCCAATAATTCTGCATTTGCGCGCGGCACTCACATGGTGTGTGTCTAGGGCCTCCTGACGTTTTCACTAAAACTAAGGAGAATACGAAGAAATAAAATCGTTCAAATTTGTGTTCATTGGGATCAGATATCCAAACAACGTCCGGCTGCGTGTAGCGTTTCCCACGAAGTTAAACGAACTTTTGTGATGGCAAGCAGGTGAATCACCAAACACTTCGAGACAATTTTAATTTTAACATCACATCATCATTAACCGCCAGTTTTTGAATCGAACCGAATTTTTGTAAATATATGAAATAATATATCAAAACTGCTGTTGTAGCATAATTTCTCAATTTTTAACGTTACACCTGACTTGACAGCTTGTGACACGAGATTTACTATATTTTGAGATTTTATTTCAATTTTTATGTTTATTTTTTTTTTTCACTTTCCTTAATATAGTGTATAAAAGTATGAACAAAGGTCATCTATGTATCTTCTCACTGGTTTTAAGCATAAAAAAACAACATAAGGGATGGTGTAAGTCCATCCATGAAAGAGGGTGGTAAAGGGTATTTTCGTGACCCGTGATCGGCCCTTTTTATTTCCTGTGAAATGTGAAATAGCCATTTTTTCCCCCGTGAATCGTGATTTCCATAGTCGCCGTGAACCGTGATTTTCCAAAACGTTCTCTTTTATTTTCCGTGAACCGTGAAATGCCAATGTTGTATTTTTCGTAAATTGTGAAAGGGCTGCTTTATTTTCCGTGAAACATGATCTATACCCACCTTTACCACCCTCATGAAACAGATCAAACATTCACAGCTCAACATGTGGGAGTCTTCTGACAATTTAAAATTTATTAAATATTTGCCTTGGAGAAGGCTGCCACATCAACAGTTTAATATTAACTCATGAAATTGATACAATGTGCACTTAACTAATTTTGTCCCCTATATAAGGATGATTAAATAATTTTTTTTAACATTTTCGTCATTTTTTTTCTTTTCCGATATTAAAAGCACTAAATTGAGTTTGTACAGTTCATTTGCTGAAAATAACTGATATAGTAAAATACTTTTTTTTGTCGCTGCCTGTCATAAATAAATACATAAGAAACAAACAAACACCAACCAATCCACCAATCAAATACCCTACAGGCAAAGTTGCTTTCTAGATTGAAAGCTACTCTGCTCGCAGGGTACCAATCAAAAACCCATGGGATGTGGCAATTTGAACTCTTTACAGCTAACATTGTCTGTTTCCTAAGATAATTAATGGTAGTGTAAAAGCCAATGATTGGTTGAGTTCTTAACTGCGAATCAAAGGTGCAGGAGAAAATGTTTTAGCTGCAACCACATAAGCAGAGGACAATAAGCCTATGAGTAAGCTGCGAACACAGACAGATTCCTGGCTTTTCCTTCACACTGCTGAAAAATGTGGATATCTCTCTGTTACTGTGTTCACAGGCTACAATAGCCTGTGAGATACCCAATATCTCATTATGACAACAGTAAATGAGCATGCATTGGTAATTTAGACAGCGCAATACACGATCATTGTAGCACGTACCAAGCAAAAATTTGCATTGCTACCCCCATGAAATCTTACTGAAGGAATAGGTATAGCACTAAAGGGGTGGGATGGGAGGGGGGGTCAGAGTCTTTGAAAAGGGGCCTGCCATGCCCCCAAATCAGCCAGTGTGGACAAGCACAGTCGTGGTTCATTACTTAGGGTGAATATGACTGTCCAGTCAGTTGATATTTTGAACCGTCATTACCTGCTTAATTCAGGCATATTTATATAAAGTTTCTACTTTGAGTCGCTTGTGGTGCTTTCCGTGAAGGTGTCAAATTCTATTGTTTTTCTTCTTGAGTGACTGCAACACTTCCTGCAACTCAGCAGCTTCGCGACTGCCTTCCTGAAATTCTCAAATCGCCACGCATAGACAAAGGGGTTCACCCCTGAATTGGCGAGAATCAAAAGAAAATGGACATCTCTGGCCCAGTGAATAAAAGTACAACTGCAGGAACTACAGAGATTAGTTATGTAGATACAAATACACGAAGGCAGATAGCACGCCAAAAAGAGGGCCAACATTATCATGAACGTCTTGGTCACTTTCTGTTCCCATCGTACAGCCTGCCTCTTTGCATGATTATCTTCGTTAGACTGATCCAAGGAGTCCCACTGTTTTACTTGATCCTTAAACACGCGAAAAATTTTAAGATAAGTCAATAACATGATCAGAAATGTGGCAATTATGACTGTATGAGCGAAGACAAAAGCGTACGTCAGGTAACCAGTAACAAGGTATACAAATGGACAGCTAAGTGAGAATGCCCAGATGCCAGCCGCCACAAAACCAGCTCGCTTAGGATTCAGTTTTGTTCTGTAAGATAGCGGAGAAGTAATCGCCAAAAATCGGTCCACCGTCAAGGCAGCGAGACTGAGAACTGAAGCTGTACACGAAATGAAGTACGGGATGTGGAGATAAACAAGATCGGTTGGATATTCTTTCGCAACTCCTTCGCTTACATGGAACGCCACAGACATCGGATCGACAACAAAGCCAACTACAAGATCACTGATGGCTAGGTTGGCCACGAAGTAGTTAAACGGCGATTTAAGATCTTTGTTGGGGTCGATGAAGATAGCCAACACGATAAGAAGGTTCCCTGGTATGGTAAACAAGCACATTCCAACAGATATCGTGGCCGAAGTAAACGAGATGTAACTTGGAGCAATCGTTTGATTGATGCATGGATATTCACCAAACAAAGACATCGTTCTCTGTATAACTCTGGAACCAGAAAATGAGTATAGTTTGATATAGAACTGTCAGAACTTTTTCAAAATTCTCTTGCGTAGATACTTGTTCCGGTTCGAAACTAGTCGAAACCCGCGCGTTGCACGTGTTATTCATCATGTTTCGCAATAGTTTGAGGAGCCCTTATTGTGCGGGGGACTCCCCCGCTTCAAAGCCATTGGTCGCCGGCGAGTTGCAACCATGCTCACGGACGATTTTGTTTCAAAACAAATCCTTACTGGGCGACCACGAGTATATTTTGGGAGTAATTTTTAAATTTAATCAAATATTTTTAAATATCAAAATACAGGTTTCACGTTTGAACGAGTCCTTAGTATGTTTGGTATGCTTACTTTCTGAACTTGCCCTTGCAAGTCACGAAAGTGCAACCCTTTCATCAGAAAGTAATGATCTTAAGAAATCTTTCAAGGTGAATAAGTTGGAAAAACAGAGTTGACTGACTTACAATTTCTGATAAATATTATGGGAACATATTGGACTGAAGTGTCTTTGCGTGTCCTGACTATTTGTCATTAGGGTAAATCTATTAGCGTTCTATCACGAATGCCGTTCTCTGATTGGCCACGCCACTCACTTTCTATATAATTGAACAATAGAGTGTTTCTGTCGAGGAACTATCGGCTGATAATTGCCCCGCAGAAATTTGATGTTCTTAAAACAAATATTTGCCCGAGAAGCGAAGCTTCTAGGGCCAAATATGCTAGTTTTAAGAACATCAAATTTCCAAGGGGCAACTATCAGACCGAAAGTTCCGGGACAGAAACACTCCAACACTGCGCTCTCGTCAACTATCGCGGCGATAGAAATCTCGAGTTCATAATCTAATTGTTTTTAATAGATGATATTTCAGTCTAATGCGTGGTTTGTGGGCATAAATTTCATTTAGCTATGTTTAAGCAAAGTGTCCTAGATTTGTCCGAAATGAGATAAAAAGTGTTCGAAAATTTTACATGTAACGTCCGAATTTCTTTGAAGTAATGTACTTTGTCAATTATCTTAGATTCTCGATAGATATCACAATTAAAAAATGGTCATAGAATCAAAACAATGACTGAGACAGAGAGACATTCTTTATACGAAACGTCTCTTAATTATTATAAGTTTACAATATTACCAATCATTATTTTATTGCTCGCCTGAGCTCCTTAGCATTGAGGTGCTTGGAATGTTATGGTTATGGTACATTGTACGTTTTCAACGCTTTCAGTTAGCTGCAAATAACTGGGAATTGGTTGTCATTAATTCTTTTTGGGGTGACCTCGGGTGATCAATGTATTGTATCTCAAATGCCCATACAGGGCTTTCTGAGCCGGACCAGCATAGCCCTTATGCCACTTGTGACGTCACTTTTAATGAAGGCGACGAGCGGGTTTCCGGATTATTAGATGATGGAGTAGAAAAAGTTCTTTTAAAGCATATTGAGTACGATCAAGAGGATCATAATCTCTTGCTTTCCAGAAAAGATTCCAACGAGTAGAATGGCCACTGAAAGGCCAACTATAGCTAGGGTAGAATAGAATGGCGGAAAAAAAAGGAAAAGGGGGAGAACGCAAAGTCTAAACTGGTCTATCTTTTTCTCGTTCAAATCTTGAAATTTGCTCTTTGACTACAGTGTAACTGCCTTTTAAGAGTTCAGCTTCAATTTTAGGTAACAAGAAACGGAAGTAGAAATCTCTTTTTTCAATTTGCCGTTTTGGGACGGGAATCACAAGCGATAATTAAGTAAGTGCGTACACAGATCACGGGGGAGCATTTGTTGGAAGAGTCATGATATGAGAGAGGAAACTGGTGCTAGTTCTATTCCCAGTACTCTCGCAATTTTCAATATGGCGGGACAGGTAGAAGGGTAAACGTGAACGCTGCTCCTGAAAGCAACTTATTTCTGTCATTTCTTTGCTTAAAATGAGAAATAAGGAATAATTTATGCATAAAGAAACATGAGCACAGTGTCCTACAAGCATTAAAAAGTATGGACGGAACAGACCTTCGGCAAATTCGTGTTGTACGTCAAGTCACTGACGTCCGCAAACAACTGCAGACTGAAGACACGGTAAGCTAAGCTCATACAAATGAAGTGGCTGATTTCTCAGCTATCGTTCATGGCGAATTTCGTAACTTTTCCTTGGTAGGTTTTATATGTATTTAAGCTCTAGTCTTGGTAAACTTCCCGAAAATTGTTAATGTAGCTTTAATCCTTAGTTGAGGATGCCTTCATGCTCGGCATTTAATTCCGACTTGCTAGCTTTTTTTAGCCTTAGCTTTTTCTTCTCACCAAATATTTACAGGTACATGGAAAATTAATGTTATTGGTAAGCTTGAGTTGACTGAAGCTTATGTGTTTTATGTTTCATGCTTTACTGCAGTTTACTGCAGTTACTGAATATAAGCTAAAGATAGCTACGTTACTCTCTAATGGCAAAATGCTTGTCTTTTTTAGTTTCAGTTACGTGACTTTCATGATGCAGGATATACAGGAGGAGGAGATACATTCCTCCCTGGACCTTGTCAACACAACAAAAAGTTTGCCTGTGTTTTTCTCCCCTGTGCTGTGCCTTTGTTCTACATTGGAGGTGAAATGTATGTACAAGTGTCTCCAATTAGTAGGCTCTCTCTAGGGACAGCCAGCTAGTAGAATTTGACAGAAATAACACTGTTGATTTGATTTGATGTATATTATGTATATTAAATATTTTAATGGCTTCATGTGTACAAACATGATCTCCTGTAAGCATATTTTGGGAGTGTACGAGGCATGCAATACATTTTCCACTGTGCCTTTTTACTGCTTGGTTTGTGTTTCTATTACAATGTGCATAATTTATTATTTTGTTCTCCAAAACAGCTGTCACTGTTAAAGGGGACACCTCCCTCAAGCAGACGTGACTGTCTCATTTTTTCCGACTGTCACTAGTTTCCGCATAACTGAACTCTCTGTAAGGTGGATATATCTCAATAAGAGACAGCTAAAGCTACTCCTGAAGGTGTCTGCCTTACAAACAGAGTTCACTGTACAAATTGTGTTTTCAGTCTCCCATTCAGAACAAAAATATACTAGATGTCATCAAAGCCTGATTTAGAATGTCATACATGTATATACAAACCCTGTTGGTGTCCACTTCTCTAATTTTTAGGAACCCCAAGCTGGTATTTCATGAACTATTCAGTTTAATTATTACAACTGCAAGGGAAATTTATAATTTTTTTGACTATTTTGTATACTTCTTGACACAGGTTGTTTGGATCAGCAATTTTCTGCATTTTGATTATGTATCTTGTAGACAGCACTTCAAGAACTAAAGGAAGGTAGGGTCTTGGAAATAACTGTGCCAGTGGGCTACAAATCAGTATCATTGCTAACTTGTACAGATGCTTGAAAATGTAATTGCAGAGCAAGCAGATGCTTCTATAATTAAACAATGGTAACTTGGACATTTTGCAGGGACTCCTCTGAAATATACTACGCCATCTCCACCCACTGTTTTTACTACAGTAGTTTATAAATCATTATTTTTTCATGTTTTTGTTCATCATTATTTTGGTTTTCTCATGCATCAGTTGGACAGTTAAAAATCAGTTGGGGAGTCTAATTAATTATACAGTCAGTCACATGTTTGATCAATAATGGTTGAGAAATTTGGAAAACCAAACTTAAGATGTCAAAATATTACATACTGAAGAAATAAAAGTATTAAGATAAAACTAGTTTTATTAATTAAATAACTGTAGTATGATGCATTCCTCTCTGACAGTTACATCTTCCAAGTGTATAAAATGAATTAACAAAAAAAGCATTATACTCTAAATTTAAATGGTTTGTGTTTGGTGATACAATCATTCTACAATTATTCTAGCTTGTCAATAACTTATGAACCTTAATCAGGGGACTAACAGTGATGCCTCAAGTGTGATTGTTTTTTTTTTTAAAGTTTGCTTAAAGTTTATTTACTGTGTGCTGAATTACTGGTCATGTGATCCATCAATCCAAACTGTCAGACAATGCTAATGTCAAAAATATATCTGTACTTGACAAAAATTATGCAAAATAAAGCCTGGCTACGTTGAACTCTTGAGAACCAATTTACAGTTTATATAGAGAACAATGTTGTCATTGAGCATTATGCATCTTATAAAGGTTTGCTAACAATTTAGGAGTATTCTTGTTTGTTTTTTCTTTGATTCACAGTTCTCTGGTTGCGTACGTCCTTTCAGTTCTTATTTTCCAGTTGTCGGTAATGTACTGCCTTATTCCATTTCTATGGTAAGTTTAATAAGACAAATAATGAAATGTGTAATGCAATCTCCCTTTAGCAGAAGTCTCAAGGTCAGTTCAGTCTGGTCCCACAGCTTAAGAGTACAGCCCCATTTCTCTCATCCTGAAACTGATCCATTTAAAGCACACATGTACAGTGAATACTTTAAAAGCATAATTATATTGTGCCCATCAATAATTTTCTTTTTGTTGCCTTTAGGAAATCAGTATTTAATCTAGGACTGATATTTATTTACAATGTATTTATTGTGCTATCAGGTAAGATGGATTTCATTGTTTACAAGCAATGACATTTAAAGTTATTTTGTTGTAAACTTTACTTGTAAAGTATACTTAACCACAAGAGCTTAGTATTACTGTCCATCGATATGTCTCAGCCACAGAGATGCTATTCTGTTATTGTGTAAGTGCATTACAAACATGCCAAGTAACTTGATATCATAAATAATGGACACTACTAGCTATGTTGTCTCGATATCCTTATCAACAATTAAGGTTCATGTCAATGGTATTAATCCTATCCATTACTATTGTATGCTCATCTTACGTTATCAGTTTTATTATCTGTTGCATATCCGGTCTCAACAAACAGTACTCACGAACATGTTATGCTACACAAGTCTTTGTACCAGTAGCATCCTAGGCACGTCAGCTGTTTTCCTTGGCTAGCGTACAGTGTTTCCTTTCCCTCCTCTACCCTCCCTATAAATAAACTTGGACTACTGGCCTGGATGCACACCTTCCACTTAGCTATCGCCTGCATCAGGCTGGGAGGGTCCCTTACCCCACCTTATTCTTAGCTACCTAAAGCAGCTAGGTTGGGGGCTTCATTCTCTGGGTGAGTGGACTATCACCCCGATTCATTCACTGGGTGTGTCCACCAACCGCCCAAGTTTCTGCTTTGGGGTTTGTGTCCGCTAACCGCCCCACGTTGTGTTTATGCTTTGGGGTTTGAGTCCACTAACTACCCCACTTTGTTTGCAGGGTGTGTCTGCTAACCACCCAATTGGTCCTTTTTCTTCTTTTAATTATATTGTAGTTTTGTGACCAATAAAGTTGATAGACAAATTACCTGTCCAGGGTGTGTCGCTACCACCCACTCTCATTGCTATCCCAGGAAGCACCCAGTGTCCTTGGTCCCATTTACTACCAGATTTGTCTTCTTTTTTTTGTTCATATTATTAGAGAGCGAGTTGTTGTTAAGTGCGGCTTCTCTTTCATGTCAACCAGACCATGCGAGGGGTGGTGAATAGTCCTTCATGAAATATTTATTTTACAGACTTTTAGTCAAATTTCAAGTCTCTTGCCTTCTTGAATTATCTTGTGATTCCCTCCGTCTGGGAGTCTCATTTTCTTCTGCAAGACTATAAAGGTGTCTGGGTCATAGATCAATACATGTATGTCTCACCATCTCACAAAATTTTCGATTACCATTTGCCACTGCTAAGATAAGACAAGGGTTAACTTTGAAAAAGAAATAGTTTCTCAGCTTGATAAAAGTACTTGTACTAATATTTTCTTCAGGTTGATCACTTATTTGTGTGTACCTGTCAAAGGTTTTTATCCTCAAAGTGTCAGGATCTTTGAAAACAACCTGACCATTATCTTAAGACATCCAGAGGTTTCTGACATTTTTCAAAGATGTTCCTTATATTTTGGGATTCCTAGTCCCAGATTGTTATTCGCCAAACATGACATCATCATCAGCACTTTTCCCCCTGAAAATCAGAGAATTGAGGGAGTTACCTTGTGCTCAATTGCGTGGTCTTACCTTATCTTGCATTGGTTTCAGTTTACATATTTTTCAAAAGTGTTTAGGTTGTAATAGCTCAAATTTGTTTGCTGGACATGAGAAATTGGTCTGTAGGCATGCGCAGGCATGAGGTCAGAGCTTTCATCCTGCTGGCATGACACAGACCTAAGGCTTAAGATGGAAGGTTTAAATTCATGAGAGCAATTTGACACAGTTATTATGACATCTATTTTAACTTATTTTATATGATTTGTGATTAAAAAGAGTGATGGCTTTTATTTATTAGTCAGCATCTTATACGGTCATGTAGTGTTTTACTCTCCTCTTGTTTTATTATAAGGCAGGCATTTTCTCCCAGTCCTAGAGTAACGAAAGATTTGTGCTATTTACTTGAATTAAATTTTCTTCATTAATCTTTCTAAAGGTGGAGTTGGTCTTCTTCAGTTCAAGCAACTTCAGCATGAAGAGCCTGAGTTTATTATGGTATTATTATTATTATTATTATTACTGTTGTTGTTGTTGTTGTTGTTATTGTTATTGTTATTGTTATTGTTATTGTTATTGTTATTGTTATTGTTATTGTTATTGTTATTGTTATTGTTATTGTTATGATTATTATTATTATTATTATTATTATTAAAAATATTGCTTTCCATGATATTGTGATGGGCAAACATTTCATAACAGACATTCTCTTATTAAGCCTCTTAGGTAACATTTATTTTTTAACAGGTCTCTTTAATATTGCTACTTTCAATATCAAATACATTGTTTGAATGTAATAATTATTAAAAGTCAGTATGGGTTGCATTACATTCTGTATGTTGTTATTCAGGCTTTAGAGTTCAGTATATCTTTAATAATTTTGTAATCCTATGATCTCTTTGTACAGAATATGGAGTATATTCTATATATTAGCTATCCAATAGTTGGTCAGCTGACGTTGACAGCGGTGTCAGGAAATGTGTTCAGCTGGTCTGTGACACCCTTCTTCTGTATTATATTTGGGTAGGTAGATATGATTCACTTGACACAACTATTATGTGACTTTTATTAATAAATTATGTACATGTAAACTGGCCCTATAGGGTTATAAATTTGCCTTCTGGTTGAATTTAAGGTGTGGGTTGAAATGTTTTTCAGGCCCTTGTTTATGTATGTTGTGTTTTGGGGGAGGACTCAGTTAACAGTCTTCTCTCTTCAGATGCTCAGCTTATCTCCTCCTCAAAAATTAATACAGAAATAGGGGCAAAGTTCCACAGAGATTCATGTAGTGTCTTGGAAATGCCTCTGGACCTGAATAATAACAAGACTCACTAACTCTATGAATTTTTTGCATTTCAGATTTCTTTTTCTTCAAGTTTTCTACCCACCAAGTAGATCATCTTTTATGCATCAGAATATAGTCCATAAAGCTGGAGAGGAGAGACCTCCTGAGCGTAAGTACTATTCTCTAATTGGCTGAAAATGCCTTTATACTAACAGGGAATGCTTATTTGTGTACACATAGTTAACATCCTCGTATATAGCACAGTGAAACCTTGATTTAATGAACCTCTATACAACAAATTCCTCAGTATAACGAATGATGTTCTTCACCCCAATAACAGTAAATTATATGGAAAAGAATCTCAAAATGATGAAACCTCATTATAGCAAACATATTTTTCAAGTCCCCTGGCTCTTTGGTATAATAAGGTTCCTCTGTAGGAGGGAGACACTGTGTATTTTTATTTAATAATCGGCACATTGAACTGCAGGTTGAGCCATCCTGGTGTGAGTGCTGACCAGGTTCATTATGTTGCATTCTTGTACAAGACATTTTGCTTTCATACTGCCTTTCTCACCCAGGGCTAACCTGCAATGGACTAGCATTCCATCCAGGGGAAATATAAGCAATACTCTTAGTCTTGTTAATTATAGAAACTGGGATAAGCTTCTGCAGTGTAGGTCAGTGGCCTGCGTGTGACTTAAGCCTGCCCTGTAATAGAAATTATTTGAATTATATTGTTTTTGTAAAATCAGAAAAATCCCTCTCTGCATAAATATCAGGTTTTATGCCATGCCATAGAAAATACAGCCAATATGAATACAGGAAAACTATTGTATATTTGGCAGTGTTATACCCAACCTTTCCATCTTGTGCTGCGCTTATGTTGCTGCATTGATTGTGTTGGCCTATGTATTTTCTGTGGCGTGGTATAAAATAGTTAAAAGGATCGTGTGTACACCGAGAAAATAGAAAACTCTGTTTTGTGGGACATGATTTCCTTGGTATACCACACAAAAGCATTGTATAACAAGTATATCTCACTTTAAATACGTGTAGTTAACCAGTCAGCTGTGAGCTTTAAGTGTCTGGTAGTTGATGACATTTTACATTCTCCATGCACTTACTAATAATAACTTTAGATTTGACTCTATTTTAGGTTTTATCCTAAGCAGTCTTGAAAAGACACTTTTGTTAGTAAACCTAGTCACTGTTCCAGGCAGTATGTTTCTTGTGATCAATTTTCTGGAACTCTTACATCTTATTACTTGGGTGAGTATCTCTTTAATTTGGCTACATACCGTAGCTTGTGTGTTATTGAGATCAAATGAATATTGCAACCTGCTTGTTAAGTGAGCTTGAGGTAATTCCTTAGTATTGCATCCCACATCTCTACTGCGCATGATTTTCGCATCCTTAGCGCATGTGCATGAGTGCGTGCGTGTGCAAAACGTAAGAGATTTCCCTTAAACTAACCTCGATAGCGAAATAAATGCTCCTTTTCTCTTAAACGAGCGCTGTGACCCCCGATTTTTTTTTTCCAGGTATTTGCTAAGAACAGTCAAATAAAGAACATATTTGAAGACAAAAAAAATTTGATAGTAGAACATGATTTTTTTTTGGAAAATAGTTCCATACTGGGTGTATTTTGGCCAAGGCGAGGACTTCAAGCTGGCCACGGAACTGTCCAAAAAAGCGTAATCTTCCCACAAACAGGCAATCAAAAATGGCTTAAATGAAGCAATACTGCTTATGTGAATAAAAGAAGCCTTACTTTCAAGATAAAATTTTGTGTCTTTCAAGTAACCAAGACTTAATTATGTATGAAGGTGATTCGAATTTTTAACGCGCAACCAGTAAAAATACCCCATTTTAGGAGCCTGCTGATGCGTAAACAAGCACGGTGACCCCATTTTTTTATTGCATTTTTTTAATGTTCATATCATGAATGTTAATTATGCCAAGTTTCAAAAAAAGTTTGAGAGTAGAACAATTTCAAGGGAATTACCTTGAGTAAAATAATAAAACATAAGAAAAAGGTAATTAGAAGTGGTGCATCACAGGGAGAGCCTCTTCATCTTCTTTTTTTAGATCAAATTTAAATTTATAAGCGTTGGTTTTTCTGCCGGTATTGTTACTTTTTACACATATCACATAATTCTGCTTTACAACAGCCACGCAGATCGTCCAGCATGTGAGATTTTGACACTTTTTTGCAAAATAAATTCTGCTCCTGTTGTCTGTGCGTGTTTCTATTTTTACAGAGCATTCGGTTGTCATTATGAAATCCACCATGCAGTTCTCGGAAAAACCATCGCGTTCATTGTCTCAGCAGCTGTACATTTTAGAGTTTGGAAAAATCTAAACTGAAAAACTATCTGTTAGCATTTGTGATAACATAATTTGAAATGGTGGTATGGTTACTGGGAAAGTCAAACTTGTTTGCAGGTAGAAAGCCACCAGGAGTAATTTGACAATGTGTACGCCATTCAGCAAAACCAAAAAGCTTCGAAATCACTTGTACAATTTAATTCCATGGTTGAATTTATTACTAACTAATTAAACCATGACTTAATAATTTTAATTAATTACTTTATTAATCAATCAATTGATGACCTAATTGTTTTGGGTGATCAGCTTGGAGAGCTGGGCACCCTAGCTGGCATAGGGCTCCCTGAAAATTTTCTTAGAGCACAGTCTTGATGATCCTTATGTGTATTAATTTCATGGTGTATTATCTTAACTAGTCCTAAGGCCAAGCTCATTTCAGTTGTATTGCCTTATGAAACCAGGTTAAGTTGCTGTTATGTGGTCTTCTTCCTGTGTTTCTTTGTACATGTCTAGACATCAAGGAAGAGATGGAATTTTTAGGTGGGTTAAATTATCATTTAAGAACATAATAGTGGTAAAGCATTTGTATTCCAAACTATTGTAAGTTGCTCAAATGTTGTCCAACTCCACTAAGTAGAGTACAAATAACAAGCAAAATTAGCACAAATGTTACAAGGAGGCAACATTGGTACTTGTGAAAACTGGTTAACGAGGGTGTAGTTAGTTACTTTTCCTGATTACAGGCATCTCAAAACATAGTACAAAGTCTGGTTTTAGGGTAAAGAAAATGATGGGAAAGTGTTATTGAACATTCTTATTCTCCCTCTTGTCTTCTTGTCTTCACATGTACATAAATACTGTTAGTAGTAGTTTATCTTAATCTCAGGAACATAGGAACATTTTGTTGTTTCATGCATTATCATGGATTTTTTATAACTGATTGTTAAGAGATATTTTATTTTGAACAGAACTTTCCAAAGAGACAGTAGCCAAAGTGAAATTGGGATCTGGCCTAGGGAGTCTAGTAAGTCTAATCAAGAAATAAAGTTGTAAAAGGTGAATAGTTCAGCACGCTGCAAACATGGGACAAAGAAAAAAGTCCCTGCAGGATTCAATCTCATGATCTCCCAGATAATGGTCAAGTGCTATAACCACTGAGCTACAGAGACTCATGGTGAGCTTGGCTATTTACTCGAAGCTGCATGTGTGATGTGCATCCTCTAATATCTAGTATCAGCAATGTCAATTGCATCTAGTGTGGAGAAATAATTTAAAGTTTTGCATTTCATTGACAAAGGAATCTCAAAGCAAATATATAGATGTTTTTCACATAAAGGCAATTTGTCGTAAAACAGTTGTGGGAGAACTTAATTTAAGAAGTAGATCACAACTCCTTAATTTTGTAAACTACTTTGCAATACAGCTGAAATAACGTGGCATGTATCTGGTCATCAAATGTAAAATATGTTTGTACGAAGAGCCCTATCATCATAGTTAATGATCAAGGATAATTTTTTCTTTCAGTAAAGGGCTATTTCACGTAGGGTGTTGTTTGATGAACAAGCAGCCATAAGATGTGGTTTTGCTGTCATCAATTAATGAGCAAAGCTATAGCTTGAAGAGAAACTTGATACTTACTTTAAGAAAGCTCATTAGTTAGTGTTAGTGCATTTCTACATTACTTGTATTTGAATGGCATTCCATGGTAGCATTTGACTTGTACCATAAATTTAGTTTTTTTATCTGATTGATTTATTGTTAACCACTTCAGATGCTGTTGTGTATAATGTTGATGTCATCTGGCACTGTGGGTGTACATATGCTGCCGGTTATAATAGGAAATGTCATTTGCTGTGTTTTAATTGGGCTCACAAGTGGGCGAGAAAGATGGAAGGTACAAATTAAAGTAATGTTCAGTCTAAAATAGATCCCATAGTATTTACTTCTTAATTAACTTGTGCAGGTCATGTTATAGAAAAGCTTTTATTTTTTAGCACCAATTAAATAGAACATTACATGAAAAAATGAAAAGGAAGAAAATGAATCATTATTAATTTATGCAACTTGATTTTTTTTGCAGACATACCACTACATACTGTATGCTGCACTTACTATTGCCTCTTTACTTGGTTTGTGTACATTGCCATGGTCACTTGCGTATCCTTCAGTTTTAATAGCCCAGTTGCTTGTTGATTAATTTGAATTCTTCAAACTGAAGCTGTAGTACAAGGGCTCTGGAAGAATATTTGTCCTTGGTCTTGACAGTAGGGACAGAAGGGTTTGAGTGAGGTCCACACAGGAAAGCCTGATGGCTGATATTCTTCTGATTTAGTCCTGAATGAGCTTGGTTTATTGTTTAGTTTTGTTTGTTTGATTTTTTTTTAAAGCTTTGGTTTATGACATACTCTTAGCATGACTTGAGGACTGAAAAAGAGCTGTAGAAACTTTTCTGATACTTAGAATACAGATATGGATTGGACCAACAATAAAGTACTCTGATAAGTTTGTTGTGTAATAAAACTGTTTGCAAGCCTGGAAAGCAATGGCAACTTAGAATGAATGTAAATTTTTATAACGTGGTACTCCAATACAAGAACATTGTCTCGTTTTTGTTATAATTGCAACCTTGACAATTGTGAAAGGTATAAATTTTCGTTTTTCTCTGTCCCTCTATGGGGAGTAAACTTACTTCTTGGATTAGTTACTTGTCTTTCAGTGCTGTGTGTATTTGTAGCTTCTGGTCCCAACAGGGAGTGGTTAAATCCCCTTCTGGTCACTCAATCATTAGGTGAGGCCCACTAACATGAACTGTGATGTCTGATTTCCTCAGCTGAAAATTATTGACCCTGATTGAAAGATTTGGGTTATCTAAGTTGTATCAAAAGTCAACATTGGTACCCAGTAAAACTCAGAGACTAGACAAATCTTATGTTATTCTTGAAGAAAACAACATGGTTATTTCACCATCATTTCATTTGCCCAAACAAAATTGATTAGACTAGTACAACAATTTTAATAAGCACATTTTACAATTCAATGTGAATTTCTTGTCACTGTAGATTAATTTTTCACATCTACATTGTACGGGCTTTTTCTCTCCTTCTCTCTAGTGTTTGTGCTTTGTGAAAATGTTCTTGTGACTGAAAAGCTCTATCCAGTCTACTTTCTTCTGGGAACCATGCTCTTTGCTGGTTACATTGCTGAAAGGTAAGCTAATAAACATACGCAGTAAGGCAGCTTCAGTAATTCACATTGTGCTCAACTCTTGAAGCGCACACATTACGTGTATGTCAATTCCAACTGAAAATCAGGAGTACTCAGCAAATCTGCTCCACATACATCTCTTCCTCAACTTAATTAAATGTGGCTGGCAAATTTTTATATTGGAAGTTAAAGTTCACTCGAGTTTTGTCACCGAACAAAATCTTGCCGGGAGTTAAAAATATATTTACAAAACCTTGCTAGAATTGTGTATATATAACATTATAACCCACGCTTAATTTTCTCGAAATTCTATTGGCTACTTAACATCACGTGGTGCAAATTTACTGGGCAGTTATCATGCAGTAACCTCCACCTGTGTCGATAATTGCCCCTGTGACCAGGAGCCCACCTGCGACTGTTTCTGTCAAAAAGAAAAAAAGCTAAAAAGAATAAATCCAGCTCTAGAATTTCACGTTTTCATCTCATCTCGTGGAATCCGCTGATAATGACATTAAAAGAAAAAACTGGTCGCCAGTAAGATTTAATTTCAAATCAGTCATTTCCAGACCACTCGCTCTTCATGTTGGTTTTAAGAGGGAAGCTCGTGGGATGAGATGGGTGTGTGACATGATAATGTCAAGCCTGCAAACTAGAATTGAAAAATCGTTCTCCTACTCGATCTCGTATTTGTATTCAAATCTTAAGTTTCCTAATAAAGTGAATAGGACAACCATTGACGAGAAGTTTATCTAGATTAAACTTTTCGTACCGATAATGTCATTTCTGTTGTTAGGTTGCACAATGTGGGCAGGATTCATTCTCAGTCAATGTTGCTGTGCATTGCTATCCATGGTTCCAAGTTGCCACTGTGTTTATCCATGACCCTCCCCTTCACTCAGACAACCTCAGTATTGCTGCCCAACATAGTCCTTATGTCACCTTCAACTCTGATGTTTCTCTTTACATTTGTCGTAAGCAAGATAATTGAGGCACCCAAGGACCTGATATTAAATGACGTGAGTATTCAAATTATCATTTTCATTTTATGTACAATTATAAGAGTATTTCTTTTGCGTAACGTCTTTTTAAGCAGTTTGGAATAACAAGGTGGGAGATTTACACGTAATGGTCAGTGCATCAGACTTAAAATCAAGAGGTTTGGCCTGCGGCACAAGCTGAGGTCGTTATGATGTATTCTAGTGCGAGTTCCACACTTTAACTGACCAGCAGACAAAGCAACCTGATAGAATCACCTGAAGCAACCTGCTAACACCTCATCTATTAGCAGTAACACTACTCCTAGTCTCCTATGTGTTTAGGGAGGTATGATTACCGAGATAAGCTCCAGCAGCGTGGACTAGTTTGTCCATGAGGAGGCAGTCCTTCATTTACCTTGAAATAATTGGTGCAAGTATGGACAATACAGCACTGAGGCATGTGTGTTTTAAAATCAGTGACAAACTGGAGATATGTTCATGATGATTTGTTCAGTTTGCTGTTGTTTTGTGGCTCTAGTGAAGAACCCAACTCTAACTTTTGCTTTACTTCTAGGGATTAAAGCTCTGTATAGCATCAGGAATTGCAACAGTTGGAGCATATGATGTTCTTGTGCATCCTTTGTGGTTTATGATGACTTACAGAATTCCTTCACCTGCTGATGTGTTGGGTGAGTGCAGTGTTTTTCTGCCAATAGTTTACCAGTAAGCTGCTGTTGAATATGGCAGCTGAACTTCCTACGTCTTTCAAGAATCCTCCTCACCCCACCACTTTTTAAACTGTTCGTTTTCCATTTAAAAGAAAGTGCGCGGCAGTTAACTAACCCTAAATATGCCATTTTTATATGGAACCCAGCCCGGTGTGTTTTGTGCATTGTAGTTTGCTGTCATACATGTAAGTGCTTGAAGACGCCTCTGATGTATATTAGTTATTCAAAGCTTTCCAGTGGTATACCATGAAATATCCCACAAGTTAATTGTATTTTCTTGGTACACGCACAATCCTTTAGGCAGCCCTTCTTAGACAAATGTACAGTAGTCAGTAAAGTGAAGTGGCATTTCGAGCATGGGAATGAAAGAGCTAAACTTTGGCCTTCAAGTTCATTTTACTAGAAAGTGACTTTAAAAGATGTTGAATTCGACTTTAACTTGGGATTAACGCAGCATCGAAACATATTTTTTGAACTCTTTCAGCTGGTGTGCTGTTCATTTGGGGAGCCCTTTGCCTCAAACTTTCATACATGCACTTTTCACACAATCTCTTTCTCAAGAGGCTCAACGTCCTTGTTATGTGTGTGAGTGTTCTAGTGGAAATTATCCAACCAGACCTGAATGGTTACAGGGTGAGTATTATACCTTTCTTCACTGTTTGAGATGTAAGTTTGTCCCTGAACTATCCTAAATTGAAATTGGGAAATTTTGGTGAAGAAAACTGGAAAATGAAGTAGAGAAAATTAGCGCCAACAATGAACATACAGTAGTGCTCATGTGTGTATCTAAGCAGTATGAAAATAGAACCCAAGCCACTTTGGTGGAAAGCAAATACTTTGAGGACTATAGGAATAAGTAAAATATTTACTTCTTGTAGGTTGTTATTGAGTTTTAAGAAAGTTTATTGCTTTTTGTTACTTATTTTTATCAGGTTCTGCAAGGATTTATCATGTATATGGTCTCATTGTTCTACCCAGCCTTCACAATTGACAACATTTTGTTATCAGAGTAAGTTGTGTACAGTCGGGGCTCAAGGAATAACCACTACTTTCAGCTGGAAGATTACTTTCATATAAACTGCTTTAAATATCCAACAGGCACGTGCTTTCTTGCATATCTACAGAATTGCGTTTTCAATCAAAGTGCTCTATGAGCAAACCCGTCGATTTCCCAGTGGGTGATGATTGGCATGTGTGGCTTACGGGTTGTCCTAGTTACATGAATTACCATATTGACTTCTGGCTCTACTTGTTATAACAGCAGTCTTTTTTTTCTTAAATAATAACTTTTCATGCATACTACATGAAGTATAAGAACTGGCAAACCTCCACTACATGAGCTGCTTTGCTCCAGTGAATTTACTTTTTCTCAGTTGAGTCACTCTGTACCTTGTAAACGTCTCGTCGCCTTTCCCAACATATTTTTCTTCCCGCCTGAAGACGAAAGCGTAGTCTGCTTTACGTGACTCAGTGCAGTTAGATCGAAAGCAAATATGTTGCGAATAAGATCGAAGCGACTCTGCTCGCAGGGTAGCTGCAAAAGTTCTTCAAAGAAATCGAGTTTTTTATTATGAATTACCAACGCACAACATGTAAGCCATGGGATGCAATTGGAGGTCGATTATGCAAAACAGTAAGGTCGCGTAACGTCTAAAACTGTGTTCTTATTGGTTCCAAGCTTGAAATAAGTACATGTAGCTACTTGTGGATGTCCTTCACCAAAAAAGGGTTGAACGAGAAAAGAAAAAGACCGGTGGCTTAAAAAAACAAATGGAAAAAACGCTGATGAATCCCGGAATCTAACTCAGGTCCACTAGATTGGAACGTGGCTGCTAACCATAGAAAGCTAACCATATTACCAGAGCGGTAATGTACAATAGCAGCTTCCAGCAACTTCACCTCTGTCGTCAAAAACGTTCCCAATGCGTATTACAAAAGCCAACATTTGGTCTTGTTTAGAGTTAACTGTCAATTTAAGATTAGAATTGTAACAGAAATGTGAAATGAACTATACCCAGAAAGCAAACAAAACAAGTTTCCATTTTTAGTGCGACAGTCGCAGCTAGACCTACTAGTGTAAAACGATGCACGTGCGTGCGATATTGACTGATACAGTGATTTCAGGGGCTTTATCTACTGGTCAGCGGAATTACTCCAAAACGTTTACAGATGATGGAATGACATCATTTGCATAATCTGCACCACCACCAAAACCCAATAGATTGCTTACGCAATCTCGGGGTTAATAAAGGGCGATGACGATGAAGAAGAATTTGTAATGCGCAAATTCCATATGGATATGTTCAAATGCGCATTACATCTCAAATTATCTAAAAGTAAAAGTTAGAAGCCCTAAAAAGTTACAAATAGGGCTAGCTAATCTAAATCACAGATGGGGTGGCTATCAAAGGCGGGGGAAAAAGAGTAAAACAAAAATAGGACAAAATAAAACTTAAAAAGCTAAAATTCTCAGAAAATTACAATATTATTGTAGCATGACTTAAGCCGTGTCTCTGTGGCTATTGATGTTTAGTTTTCGCTGCATTCACGAGGTTTTAAAATACAGTACAGACGTTGTTACTGACGGTCTTTAAAATGCAAATGAGCACGTCCGCCTTTCTGATTGGTCCATTCAATAAATACTGCGCTCTGATTGGTTAGGACCTGGTTGAATGTAGTATACTACCCACGTCTTCTTGAGTTCTTTCGTGCTGCAAATGAGGCTGCTTTATTGTCACGGGTGAATATGGAAGCAACGATTTTGGTTTTTCAGAGCTGTATTTCTCCCTTGGCTTATTCTTGTTGCCGTATCAGTGCTGATAGCGGTGCTAACAAAAGTAGTAACCATGGAACAGGCTCCTTGGTCGCAGAGGGTCACCATCGCTGTTTTGATTGGTTTAGCACCCGGCTTGAAGGCGTCTTCCTTGGTGAGTATGAAGTAGCCTGCGAGCGAACGAGTCGTGTTAGAACTTGCTCGCTATCTAACTGAGTGTACAAAAGTGTTAGAATAACCCTCGTTCGTAGCCGTTACTAAACTTGTAAGTAAAACTCCCTTTCCTGAATACAGTACAAGTGGTTTGTTCTGAGTCGTTCCGTCTATTACATTGAGGGAAATAAGAACTTCAGTGGATTAAAAACGTTTCAAATCCTCATTGATTGGAGTGTTAGAATGGTTCCTGTGCGGCCCAGTGCATCTGAGGTACTGTAGTAGCTTGTTTTAATTCATTGACATCACCACCCGTTGTTTTCTTTTTACCATGACAGATGCTTCCCGTGTTTCGTCCTCCTTTCGTCTGTCTCTTTTGTGGATTCTCATCCGCAATTACGTTTTATTTATTGTTGACGTCTTGGAAGCCAATTCACGGACAAGCACCTGCTAACCAAAGGTATCTAGCTAAAAATGTGCCACTGGCCAAAGAGTAAAAGCGGATACAGTGCTTGCTCGCTCTGGTTTAACGAACCCGTTTTTTGCTAAATGTTTCTGAAAGTAAGAAAATAATTTTGCGCAACTCATTTTCCCACGGAGCTGAACAAAACCAGCGAACTTTGCAGGCTTACAGTGTGCAGCTTACTCCAAAAGAATCATGGTAGGGACTGGCGAAAAAATAGCGAATTAGATCTCATGTAAATTCCTCAGATTCGCTTTGTTCAGGGTCGCCTTGCATCATGGATTGTCGATTTTGTCATTCATCACAGCCCAGTCGTGGCCTGTAGATTTTGAATTTGGTTCGCTTGTTTATTAGGAATCGCCTTTGTAAAGCTCTCACTCAATTTCAGCTCCAATAGCTCCCCAGTTTATTTCATGCCGCTGTTTGAACTAACATCTACGTTAATTTTTTTTTTAGCTTTCCTTTTCTGCTTCTTAGTGGCTGTTTTCTGGTCTGTATTTTGTCAGAAACGCTAACTTCCACCCGCCTCGATTCACGGAAAGGTTTGTTGACGCAATTCAGCAACAATGTTAATTAACCGCGAGAAATTTATTATTATGTCTTTTGTTTCCTCTTCCCTTGTTTAAGGACCTCACAAGCCCTCTCAAGTACCTTCCAGCTTATTCTATCACTTGGGCCTTTACCTTGTTCTGGGTCTTGGACTGAAGAGAGACGCTGTGGCACAGGAAGAGAGTCTGGTAACTAGTGTGAATCCATGATGCATCATAGCCCGGTTCTTAGACGGTCCAGGTCGCTTGCGGCCACGCACTGTCTCCGGCGTGAGAGTCCGTGTCCTCGAGCGACTTGCACCGTCTGAGAATCAGGCTGTGATGCATTCAGTCTTTCATTGTTTTTTATTTTTATTTTTAATAAATCGTTTATTAAAGTTATTATTTGTCGTTTTATTCTTTTTGGCTTGTACATACAGGAAGAGAAGAAAGGCAAGCTTCCTACTGGTCTTGTTCTTCAGAGTTTTTCATTTTTCTCCAACATCTCGATAATCATTTCATTTTTCTTGGCTCTGCTATGTTCTCCTTCTGATTACTGGGAATTATGGGTAGGTGGTTTGACATTAATGATAAGCTGATTACAGTTAGAGTATTGATGTTGCTTTCAACAATTTATTTTTCTCACCTCATGCAAATCTCCTTTTCTTATTCTTAGATTACACTTGCCATTATTTTATTGTTGTTTCTGAGGCCGGAAGGCACTCCATACATCCAGGGTGTTCGGCTCCAGTTCTCGCCGGCCCTACCTGCCGCAGTAGCTTTGGCTGTGTGTATGTACTCTAGGACTGTAACTGAAGCATTACCAACACAGAATACATGGTTGTCAGTGACAGGTATGCAAACATTCTTGCAAGTCGTAAAGCACCAGATTAAAACCCTGCGTAGCAGATCCAACTCAACAAAAAAGAAGGCGTTCTCCCAGTTATGTGCCTACATACTCAGACTTCATTGAGCTTTGCAGCCTAATAGGATATGTGTTATTATGAACCTTGTTGTTCCACCCAACAAGTACCTGGAAGGTTATAGGTTTGGCTACTTTTGGGGACACAGATTGTGTTGTTGTTGTTGCTGTTGTTATTATTGTTGTTGTTGAGTGATTTGACTTGGGGCTTACATGTTACTTAATTTATTGGCGTAACAGAACAAGCGTTTATAATCGTAATTGCTCGAGGTTCATCTTTCTCTTAGATTCCCTCACCTGTTGTTATTAAAGAGATGTTTGTATGACCACAATTAACAAATTAGTAATCCAACAACTTCACGAGGATGGTCCCCTTTAATCAGTCATATAGACAGGTCTTCACTTAGTGTCGAAAGTAATTTGTATTTGCTTTAGTTTTTCATAACCACACTCGAATCGACTCACAAAATCTCGCGCTACTTTGTCACCTAATCAGAAGTAAAATCAGAACCAATCGAACTTGCCCCAACATGTTTTGCCGCGCTCTGCGTCTACTACATATACATTGGTTCACTGGATTGTCTGTAATTTGTGATTGGCTAGGGTGATTGCTTTGGTTTTGGTTTTCCGACACTCAATTGAAAACTGCACCATAGGGCATCCATGCTGTGGAACTACTTTAATGAATGTCTTCAAGACAGGTTTAGGGAAATAGCAAAGTAACGAACACTTGCGCACAGGCGCAGCTTAACAATTGTGTTTTTGAATCTGTTAACAGCTTTGCTCTTAACCTAACAGCCACGTAGCAAAGAGTGAAGGTTTTCATATGGCGCCTACTGCATTAATGTTCTCAGCATTAACAGTCACTGGCCGAATTTATACTAGAGACGAAACACCCGTCTGAGACAAATTAGCAGTTTGAGGTTGGTTAATTTGTCTTCCTGAAATGGATAACTCGTCTAGGTAGAAATCCGGTGTTTAGACGAATTTTGTGGCCAAAATCGTCTTTCGCTCGCGTCTTCAAGACTTGCTGACAGGCCGAATCAGTTGAAGGCGAGTTTGGCCACATAATTGGTCTAAACACCAGACTTATACCTACACGAGTTATCCGTCTCAGGTAGACAATTCGTCTCAGACGGATACTTCGTCTCTAGTATAAATTCGGCCATTGTTGCCTTGCTTATCGACCTTCCTTTCTTTCATTTCTTCTTATCTAAAATAATTAGATCACTTATGGTTAGTAGTAGTTCTGTTATTTATAACGATCAATTGTAAAGTTCAGGTACATCCTTCTTTGTAAGTTGCAGGTTTTGTTAATGTTATGACGTTATTTTACAGGTTATGTTTTGGAGATGATGGTCCTGTTATGCTCCTTACCTACATATGTAGTCTTGGCGCATGCGTTATGGCGTGCAGGCGAGATATCACTACTTGAACAGCAGCTTGTGATGTTTACAGCTCCTAGTAACGTAGTACTCCTGGTCTACTGTAGCACTCTATCAGCAAGAATATTAGGCTTTGTAGGAATTGCCGCTGTCTATTGTTTGTTTTATTACGTAGAAATTATTGAAAGTAAATAGATGCTTTAACTGGTAACTCTGGCTTATTGTCTTATGGTCGAAATTTATGCGAATGAGTGAATGGAAGACGTAATTTAAGTGTTTAAGAGTATTTAGTTAATTGGGAACACAATTTACGCATTAAAATATATCTTATCTACATAAAATTAAAATTATCTACAAATAATGAATAAAACGGTTATAAATAAATAAATAAAATATGTGAACTTAGTATGATATAACAATAATAACAACGAATATTTAAACAGGATGACCCATTAGTGTATTCAACACTATTATCAGAGGGGTCCTGTGAAAGAAACTATAGTGAAAATAAGGTAAAAAAAAAAAGGTAAAAAAGGTAAGAATGGGTACAAAATAGTCTTTCAATTTTCAAAGATGATTACTTATGCTGATGACTCTGTAATTTATACCTCATCCAAAGACGTTGTCACGATCCAAAGAAACCTCAATGAAGACATTAACTGCTTATGTCGTTGGTTCAAAGAAAATGGACTGATAGTCAATTTTAAAAAAGGGAAGACTGAGGCTATACTCTTTGGAACTGCGAAAAGAATCAATTTTCAGGGAAATGAGCTTAATATCTCTGTTAATGGGGCATGTATCAACAATATGTCTGTTTACAAGTACGTGGTCGTTGACGTAGACCCAAATTTGAACCTTATATCATACTTTGATAGAATTTACAAGAAAGTAGCAGGCAGAGCTAACCTCTTAACATCAATCCGTTCGTCGATCGACCAAAAATGTGCTGAAACAATCTATAAAACAATGATCTTGCCTGTTTTTACATACAGCGGATCACTTGGTCTTGGTTGGTCAGAACTTACAAGATATCAAATGCACACAAAATGTAACATTTATAGCGGCCCAACAGCATATGTAAGCTGTCCACTTCATTCCCTGCCCTTCCAGCATCGTGCTAGTCTTAAAATGAACTGTGTAAGTTCTTGTTAGTCTCCTTTTTGGCCTTGTAAACCAAAGTGAGTAATCCCTTCCGCGCCATGGATGTGATATGAGGATCCCATTAGCACGTTGTTAATCACGGGTGATGCACGCTATACTCTATACTCGGCCCAAATTATGGGCTAAAATCACGCGCCAAATTATCCGCCAAATCACGTTGTTTTCACTACTCCTTCTTTGTCCATCTCAAATTTTCTAGTGGGCTGTTGAAAGTCATTCAGCTCCACTTATATGATACCGATTCATGGATCCTTTCCGTATCGGTTTTCAAGAATATCTTAGAGCTACCTGTTTGATAAGCTACTCCCACAACATCTATGACCAGGAAGTAGATTCGACAAAAATCAATTTACTTTTTTTTCAAGGAGTTAATAATAATAAATAAATAAATAATAACGGTTTTATTAGCAAATCCAAAATAAAAAATTGGCTCCTTTATGCTAATATAAAAGGCTAACAGCTAAAAATATAACTTGCTTACAGCAAAAGACACTAGAAATAGAATTTGAAATTTTAAATGCTGAAAGATTTTTTTTTAAAAATTAAAAACTGAAAATCATTTATAAAGCCTTTCTTCAGCTTTTTTTTGTTAGCAAATCAGAAAGCTGGAAATGAAATAACCGAGTTTAAGGAGTAGCAATCACCAATTTAACCATTATCCGTAGTTTTTCCAAACAAGGAGTGTTTCTCATATTTCCTGGATGAGATCCTGGTCGATACTTGGAGGCGAACCGGGCTAGAATTTAACAAAAGCTTTAAAAATTGGAAGGTCAAAACTTCAAGTAAAGCGAGTAGTAGCGTTTACATTTCCTTCCTAAATATACAGGTTTTAGAAACAAAATAAAACCCGCTAGAATGTGGAAGGCATTAACGACGGCTTGGGAAAGTTGAGACATGCGCACTACTTTGTTTCCAGTTCTGGTGTTCGCGTTGCTGTTTGTGCATGTGGTGCACGACAAAACCTTGCAAGTTTGGTCGTAGATACTCTGCCGAGACGAAATCTTCGCATTAAAATTAAAACTCCGGTAGCGAGATTTGAAGATCCTTCCCGCTCACCAAGTAATCTCGTTCCCAGACCTCTCATGACTGAATAGATCTGCCTTGGGTTTGTGCGCGCGCTGATCGCCACTTCTGAGTAAAAGTGCGACATTTTAAATCGCGATGAAAAAGCATTTCAGCGTCATTTCAAGTATTTTCAAATATATAATTGGCACTTGATTTCAAGTTAAATACGAAATTCACGACATCGATCTGAAATCTTCTTCTTAGTGATTGGCTTCCTCGGGTAATTACGCAGTTTGTCATGACATAACAATTTGAATTACTAATATAATTAATTATCTGTGACGTAAAAGTAGTTAGTGAGCAGCTTTTCAACTTGCGAGGAGTTTAGCAGCATCGCGGAGACAGTTTTCATAAAAGGAGAGATTTTTTTCGACGAGCAATGAATTTGTGGGTCGGTGTTCTTTTCCTTGTTGTGTCTTCACAACTAGGAATCAATGCCCGGCCCATCCCAAGACCAATTAATGAAGGTATGTGAACAAATCCCTGTTGTCTCATTTTTAAAGCTTCGCTGAAGGAGTACAACTTTAAATGAAGGCGAATTGAATATGCTCAAAGAAGAAATCGCAGACATTGCAATTCAGTTCGCCAAGTAAAGGGCTGCCCTTTCAAGCGGTCAATGATTAAAGCCCTGGCCAAACGGAGTCGCAAGTAGACGCAAGTTCTCGACTTTCGTGCACTTGCGTTGACTTGCCATGACTTGTGCTCACTTTGGTCGAGATCAAATTTGCACGCAAGTCGACGCAAGTTTTTCATCGTTTGGCCACCCAACCCAAGTCGACAGCAAGTTGACTGACGTCCATTAGCCTATTATTAGCCAATGAAATACAGGATATGTCTGCCTTGAAATGTTTTTTTTTTTTGCGACCTGCGTGTACTTGCGAGGAAACTTGCGAGTCCGTCTGGCCACCCAACGCAAGTCTCTACGCAAATTCAACTTGTGGCTACTTGCGACTTCTTGCGAGTCCGTTTGACCAGGGCTTAATGGAGGGAATTCAAACAATGGCAAACTTCGTTTAGCGAGGAAAGAACTCGCCTTTCTTTTAAAACTAATTTGCGAAGTAACTTTTCCGTTATTATATTATTAGGTTTTAGCAAAAGATACTCGAGGGTAAGAAAGTTAATCCCCTGTGTGGGCCTTATTCCTAAGGTAATCCCTCTCATTTTCTCTCTCTCTCTCAAGTTATTTTTAAATCACTCCAAACTCCGAAAACTCCCAGGAAGGTCCAGAAATAGCCAATGCAGTGACGCGAAATTTATTCGCGTAGATAGCCTGAGTGGTTTTACACGCATTTTCATATTATCCGTGAAAGAACTGGATACCATATCTAAATGTAACTTGACAGAGGTTACTTAGGATTAGGACCTTTATAGAGAATTAACTCTCTTACCTTTCATCCTCTCTTGGTTTCAGTGAGCCAACTGCATACCGATGTTTAGTTCCAACTTAACAAAAGAAAAACAGTTTCACAGGCAATCTTGAAGAATTCAGTTCTATGCGGAATTCTCACGTTTATAGTTAGTTTTCATGGCCAGAAAATTCATGAGTTTGTTGTTTATAATTTTTACCCTTCATTATCAAGTTTGACGACTGAAGGCTATGGTTTTCTTGTACCAGAATTTCTCACAAGTTACAGTAAACATGTAGGCACAATAGTTAGCAGGCCAAAAAGAAAGATTATGCTGAAGACTTGCCGTTGGACACTATCTGTCCCTAGAAGTTCACAGCTTTCGCTCTGAACTAAGAATGTATACGAACAAAAAACAAAATTCCAAAAAGAAAAATCTTATTTGATTAAAATGTCATTGTCTTTTGCAATTGTTCACAGCTATTGATGGCTTCCAGTCCAATTCATGGGAGGACAAACTGCGCAAGCGCAGTGACATCAGTCCCCATGACAACACCCAGGCCCTTGGCGGAAAGAGGGACATCAGTTCACGAGGAGGATTTGATGATTACGAAATTCAGCGTTCTAGAGAGCTTCAGAAGTTCATACGTGGTGAACTTGTGGCTGAAGGCTCCTACGTTGACGTACATAGCAAAGGAGACGACTCCCAAACTGGTGAAGAAGATTCTCGATCTCAGGAAACTGAAGACGATGATAGTTTGGGAGATCGGCTTACCGGGGAAGAGTTTGAAGGTAATACGTTCAACCATGAAAAGGCTCAAAATACACTGTTATCCAATATATGGATACGCTAATTTACGGCCAGGTCGTTACTAGCAGTTTATCGTTTCTTAGACAGTATCATTTGCTGTCTCACCGTTTCTTTTTAAAGGAGTTGTGCCGCATAAGGATTTTCGGGTTCAAAGTCTCGCCGGATCGTTTTGCTATCCTTTCAATCCAGACAGTTAACTCTCATAAAGTCGCCCCATGTACTCCAGATTACATATTATCATTTGGGTACTAGCAACCTACTAAAAAATACAAGGGAAATAGGTAGTACTCATGATCGAGTGTACTCCCTTACTACACCGGGAGGTTTTGCGCAAAAAGGTAGAAGTATTTCACGGGCTGGAGTACCGAACAAGGTGGAGGGAACTGTTATTCAGGCATTTAAAAGGCCCTTGTAAGGTTTTTTTTAAAGTTTTTTAGTGGGTTAATCAATACAAGGGCATTAGAACAAGGATGCGGTGTGCCTTCAGTAGGTATGTAAAACGGATAACAATTTTTTGGAAGATGTATGAAAGAGTTATATTCTTGGTCAAAGGTGGTATAAAAACGGTACTAGTTTGGAACTTGGAGCAATTCAAGCCTTCCGGAGTAAAACTTTATTTGGGTGTCTCCCGGGCAATGAGTTATATTAAAAGTCGGTTGTTTGATGAGATTCTTGAGCCACTTACTAGTCTTCAATTTTACTTATTTTCTTTATTTACTTCTTTGCTTTTTATGAAGATGATGATCACCTTACTGAAGAAGAACAAGACGTTGATGGTGAGAGTGTCTTGGAAACTCGGCCCAAGGAACAAGAACATGTTGATGACAGCCACAGTGAAACGGAACACGAAGGGGAGGAATCTGAATCTATCGATCATTATCACGGATCTGCCAGGGAGACACGGGGTATGTCCGTGGACGACGAAGATGAATACGACGACTTCCCATTTGGTAATGTTCCGCATTATTTCCAACCTATTTATATAGATACTGCTCACGTGGAAGATACAGCACCTGAGCACTTCTTGTATTCCCAACAACAGCATCTCGGTACGGAATATAAGAAGGCATATGATTACATGGATGACAAGCCAGGCTTAGAGAAACCGAATTCCATGGAAACACAGCCTTCGGAACAAGAAGATTATGATGTCAAACACATGGAAATAGAGCAAGATGAAGCACTGGAATCCATGGGTCATGATAATTATGGGTTAGGCAGAGAGGCGCGAGGTATGCTCGATGACGAAGATGTGCACGATGACTTCCCATTTGAACATTCCGCTCTTTATTTCCGACCTACCTACACAGATACAATATCCCGGGAAGATATAGAACCGGAGCATTTCATTCCTTCAAATGAAGAAGACCATGTTAAAAATATCGAGAATTTGGATGAAAATGCTGATGGTGATCGTAGATTTCATGGTCATATGCGAGCTTCTCGGGAAAGTCGTGAAAATACTGATGAAAGAAACGGCCATGAGACAGGAACAGCTTACGAAGGAAACCAAAATCCGGAAGGATCCAATCACTACACAATAAGAAACCCGCGTGGTGAAGATGGTGACAGTGAGTCCTTTGGTAGTACTCACGATGATGTTATCGGCTTGGTGACCAGGTTCCGCACACACATGGAGCCCGAGTATGGAGAAAATGGGGGAAGTCACATTGTGTCCCCTGATGATGTCGTGGACAGCGGGGGTGACAATGAAGACTATGAAGACAATGAGGTTGTCGAAGACGAGCTTCGAGCCTTCGAGGAAATCAAGGCTTCAGAATGGGATGAAGATGATGGAGACAATGGAGACAATGAAAACAGTGAAGACAATGAAGACATTGGGAATGATGAAGACGATGAAGACGATGAATTCGAGATTCAAGACGTTGGAGGTAACTTCGATGAAACCGAATCCTCAGATTGGGATGAAAATGATGATGAAAATGGGGACGATGAAGACAGTGAAAACAGTGAAGACTATGAAGACAATGAAGACGCTGAGGATGACGTCGAGTTTCAAGACCCTGGAGGTAACCTTGAGGAAAACGAGGATTCAGATTGGAATGAAGATGATGAAGAAAATGAAGACAATGAAAACAGTGAAGACTATGAAGACATTGGAGGTGATGAGGTTGAGGATGAAGACGATGAAGACGAGTTTCTAGACTCTGGAGGTAGCTTCGAGGAAACCAAGGCTTCAGATTGGGATGAAAATGATGAAGACAGTGAAGACGATCAATACAAGGAAGTCGCTGAGGATGATGAAGACAATGGAGACGATGAAGACAATGAAAACCGTGAAGACTATGAAGATAACAAAGACAACGAAGACAATATAGACGTTGAGGATGACGAGGACGATCAAGACGAGTTTCAAGACTCTGGAAATAACTTCGAGGAAACCGAGACTTCAGATTGGGATGAAGGTGATGAAGACAATGGAGACTATAAAGGCAATGAAGAAAATGAAATCATTGAAGACTATGGGGACGATGAGGACGATAAGGACGATGATAAAGAAGTTGAAAAAGACGCGTCTGGAAGCGATTTCGAGATAACCGAGGCTTCAGACTATGGAGACAACTATCACGCCTCTAGAGATGACCTCGAGGAGAATGAGGCTGTTGAGTGGAGTGAAGGCGACAAAGGCGACGTTGAAGTCTTTGAGGGTGAAGCCAAAACAAACGTGGACACTGCATACGATGTAAGCGTCTCTGAAAACCAAGATTATGAACTGGTTGATGATGTGGCTCATGCGAGACAAGCCTCCCAATATGGTTACAAAGAGTTGAAAGGTGGAGGAGGGAGCCACATTTCAAAGGATTATGAGCAGTGACCGAATCACTGACTTATTTGATAGGGGGAGGGGAACTCGAAAGGATCTTGTTTTTGCTTACTTTGAACAAAACTGAGAGTAACATTCTTTGAAAGTATCCGCATCCGACCAAAACTTCTAACTTACTTTCAGACACTGATGAACACTGATGAACATTACAGACCTCAGTCTTGAGCAGTTACTTCACCGTCCTCTATTTGTTCTCCCCACAATACCAATTGTTTAAACCTCAATCATTTCATCTCAAAAACAAGAAAATGTCTAATATAAAGCTCAATGATTAAAAGAAAATTCGCAATAAATTTAGCAATTCTCGGCTACGTTATTTACAGAGGAATTACAAGGAAGTTGAGAGACCTCTTCACTGATCGCAAAACCACACCTAAACCAATCACATTTGGTTATCAAAACGCACCAATGGTGAAATTAAGGGTGGGGTACCTCTGACATCTCTTTGTAAAAGCTAAGTTGGGATATCCAAAGGCTTGTTTCCATATAATCGCTACGATGCCGCTATCGCTACAAATCTAGAAAATGTTGAACAATCCTTACGACTACCGGTTTCCACAGTGATCACTACTATCGAGGACATAGAACTATTGAGACCTAAAAGTCTTTCTACTAAGTGATCGTTGTCGCTACTCTCGCTTTGATCACTGTAGAATGCTTTCCATATGATCACAACGATCGCTGAACTTTTTTTGCAGCCATCGTTCGTGTTGTAATCTGCTGAAGCCAAAGGCTGAAGCTGTGAATGACAATTCTCACGATACACCTTAGGGTGACACTTTCTGCTTGTTTCCAGATCACTTCCAGAGTCATTTTGCTGGCTCGGGAAATGGGATGGACACAAACGAAGAGTAAAATGCGCTGAGGGTTTAGCTAGGGCCACGGTCGATTGCAGCGATATTTAAGAAATAGCAAACATTTTCCGTTTCTTAATCGACTTATGGAAACACGTGTGAACGTTTGGGAGAACGAAAAATGCTCTGAGAACAAGAGCCGAAGGCGATTGTTTCCACAGCTTTTGCTAGTTTTGAGTTCTTCTTATACTGTTACGATACCAATTTGAGAGTAGATGTACTACCAAGGCGTGGATGTAGTTGCGTAACACCTTTTAAGGGTGCAGTAAGTTTCGTTACAGACTAAGTTTGCAGCTATCCAAATTAATTCTTAATTTGGCTAGCAGTGTCCAGATTAACTAATAATTTGGACAGTTCCCTGGCCAACTTAATTAACAAGTAATATGAGTACATCCTAGTCTAATTTGGTAATAAGTGGCTTCAAAACATTCCTCTGAGAGCCAAAATGGACTTCGCCCACGATCTCTTCTAATCTTTTCAGAATTTTTTTCAGCTAGTTATTTCCAAATTGGACAGCATGCAGTCCTATTACATATATTAAAAAAATGAGTATACTTGTAATATAGATGTTCATTTCTCTTGGTGTCATAACTTTCCGTGGAGATAAGGTTTTCAGTTCTTCTACCCTTAACTATTTTAACCGATATCTATTCCCAAGATGGTTGAAATATGAAAGTTCTCGAATATACCTCAAATTATCTGAAACCTACATGTTCCTACACTTGTTTAACGTGCTGGAACAGAGTGATTTCCCATTACGCCACGCCGATGAATCGGCGGCCATGTTGGTGTCTCAAACCAATCATGTGAAAGGTGAACTTTTTTCTTCCGTAAACACTTTCTTTTGTTCTAATTATAAATTTGCCTGGCTTCTGGCTACGTGAGTGACAACGCACTTTAAAAATAGAAATCGATTAACACAGGAAGGGTCAGAAGAACTAGTTTAGACCTTCACTCGACCTTCAAGCCATCAACACTGAGCCAGCATAATGTCAACACTACGCTTATTTTTGTGAGATTCAAGCAATGAAATATTCATTGAGCTTTGCTTTAGGCGTTTGTCCGCGATTGAATGTATTTCCAAATTATCGTGAGTTTATCTATAACCTGAGTGTGTGGTAGACTTTAAAGAGCGTTTGTCGACCACGTTGAATGCACTATCTGCAGGGAATGGCGCACTCGAGACGCACAACCTATTCAAAAAGTCATTTGTTATATTGTATTTGGCCTTAAGCTAAATACCTGGAGTTTTCATTTATTATCTCTTTAACAATTAGATTATGAGCTCGAGAATTTTATCACGCATAGAAATCGAGAGCGGATGATCTAATCGTTTTAGTGTAAATCTTCTAGTCGTTAAAAACTTTATCTTAATCCTCTTCAAAGACACTGCGAAAACGCAAAGAAGCAGCCGTGATTCTGTTAACAACTGCACACTGCTACGCTACTCACTAACTACAACAGAATAGATATTGAGTAGCGTAGCCAATCAGATAACGACATTCGTGATAGAACGCTGGTAGATTTATACTATTAAAATATGCATGCCAGATCGCGTGTGGCTTACCACGGTGTCAAAACCGTTCGATTTCGTAACTCAAGACGGGAGTAACACCACAGATGAGACTGCTATCTATGGTCAACACACCAAAAATAACTCCCCAGGCATCCGCATAGAACAGATTACAGGTTTTGTTTTTTTCGTGTCCAATGATGTTGCTTTTTAATTGATTTATCATGCTACATTTCGTGTCGGTTTGTTTAGCAAGACGACATTAACTCACTTTTAATAGTCAAAACATATCGTACTCAAGTTTTGTTTTTTTAACCCTCTATCTGAAGAGCAATACAAAGGGCACTTAATTGCTATCGTCTTTTCCCTGTTTTTCCCTCGCCTCGAAGGTTTGATTTATAGGTGATTTTAAAATGTCATTGTACCAGCTAAATTTTTTGAAGCATTATCGCCAAGCACTTCTAGCAGGTGACTTTTGAGGAGTACCTCACACGCATTTGCACGTTAAAAATAGAGAAACAGTCTCTATGGTTCGGGCATTATAGATTGACTATAACAATTTGCAGGAGAGATATACTACCTCCTGTAAAATTTTACTTAGCTATATTGGCGCACCTATTGGCGTGTTATTCCGGCTCTGTCAATATTGTCACCAGAGACCACACCCACACACAAATCGTTTCCGCAGTCAACAAATTTACTCGAGCGTTGAAAGTTATTCAAGTCACGCCAACACGTATTAAACCCCAGAGAAGATGAAGGTTTTGACATCATCCCTTGTTGGCCTTCAAATGTCCCTTTAAAGGAGTGCGTGTTTCGGCGAGGCATTAACACTATATCAGTGGCTGGTAATTAACAAATAACCTGATAACGGCCGGACTGATTACGTTATCAATCCAGGCCAGTGGGCCGGAGGGACTTAGCTGTGAACTGTAATGTGGGTCACCTTTAAGCGGGCACACAATTTGCAAGGTAATTATTGACCCAAACTTGAATTAGCTCTAAAATAAGCATACAAATTTAAATTTCTAGACGATCCATGAATATTGTGATTAAGTCTGCCACAGAGGATCTACAAGCTCGACTCTCTTTGGGCAAACTGGTGTTTTTACAGTAACAGCAGGAAATCTGGCAGAAATGGACTCCAACAAGACAACGTCGAATTTAACTGCCGAGGCTTCAAACATTGCAACACTGACCATAATCCAACTGGCATTCTACTCAGTGATAGCAATCATTGGAACAGCCGCAAATTTAGTCTTGTTTGGTGCTCTACTGAGAAGGAAACATCGAAGCACAAGCGAATATTTCATCCTTAATCTGGCTGTTACCGACCTTATGACTTGTGCTGTTGGTATCCCGCTAGATATGGCCGTTATTTTAATCCAGCACTGGCCATTTGGGGCGTTTATGTGCAAAGTTGTGTACCCATTTCAGACCGCTCTGATTGCAGTTTCTGTGGCTACTTTAACTTGCATGGCTATTGAGCGGTACAGAGCGATTATGACGCCGTTCAAACCAATGTTGACAGTAAGGGTTGTAAAGATAACAGTATGTGTAGTTTGGTGTTTATCTGCTGCGCTTGTGTCGCCTTACATTGCCATTCTTAAATACAAACACGATGAGCTCAGCTGTACCGAAGCGTGGCAAAGTGACAATCACCCGAGAGTGTTCACAATGTGCGTGTTTTTACTCTTCTATTCTCTGCCTCTTTGCGTGATAGCTCCTGCTTATATTTGCATTGGATTCAGATTGCATTTAGACGACAAGAAAATGATACGATTTGACAAGAGGCAAGGAGCTGGAAATCGACAGTTTCATAAGCTGGTCAGGCAGCGCACAAAAACCAATATCATAATCGTGAAAACATTTTTATTCGGTGCGGTGGCGTTTGCCCTGTGTTTATTGCCTTATCACGTTATGTGGTTGTGGCATGACTTCGGTGATGGCGCCCAGTGGAATCATTTCTATGATGCGTTGGTTTTTGCGAACGCTTTGGTTTACTTCAACAGCCTGGTCGATCCGTTTATTTTTGGGGGTACAGTGATGCGACATAATTGGCGAAAAACGTGTGCCGCCTCGCCGCTACTCAGATGTTTAAACATTAGCGTAGATAATCGGCGAAACACAAACAGGAACAGATCCCTAAAACAGCACCGCTGTGACGCTTTAATAAAACAGCCTTGCTATAAGCTGTCAAACAGGGACCATGAACGCACCTCATCTGTGTGATCACGGATCATTAAACCGGTTATGAGGTTTTGTTATATTTCGCTCCGTAGCTCGCTTGAGTTGCTAAGCTGATCTGGGAAATTAAAATCAACGTGGTTTAATTCGAGACTCCGAAACTTTAGACCATATGTTGGTGTTTGGTTTCTAAAGGCACAGATTAAACAGGCACAAATTTTCCTTTTGGAAATGCTGGTTGTGTAAGATACAAATATTTTTAATGTCGAATGTTGAATGTTGAACTCAAACAGTAATTCAAACATATACAAATATTCTTATTCACGTCTATGTAAATATCCACTAGAATTTATTCACTGTTAATAGTCGCATACCCAACTAGGCGCCGAATTTGTCAGTTAACTCATCACGTTAAGTTTTTTTTCATTTGACCCTTTTCTATTTTAGCTCTATACACCCAAAGGTTAGTTGTACCTGCGTCAGCGGAAGCCTGTCCAAGGCTCTCGGCTGGTTGGGGAACGCCGAAGTCAGTAGCGAAGGAAAAAACGTGGGAAAACTAAGGGGTGGGTGACTAAGCCTGTTTATCCTTTTCTCGCCCGCTTACTTGCCCGGTTCCAACTAGCCTAGCAGGCATATCAGCGCTTTGCCTCCTCCTCCCCCGTATAACGCCCGCTACTCATGCTAGGTCCCACCAAAATTGAGGTCTCGTCCATACTACGCAAGAGAAATTTGAAAACGGCGTTTTCACCCCCAATACGCATCAAACGTTTTCCTTGCACGCTACGCCGGAGAACACTGATCGCCAGCGCCAGCGCCGGAAAAGCTTGAGGGCACCTTTGAGGGTTAGGGTTAACCACATGATTATTAAGATGCCATCGCTTTCGAAAACCTTTGTTTTCAAAATGTTTTTGTTCCACAGTAAAACGCAAAGCCATCGTTTTCAAATTCCTCCGGTTTGAAGAGCGTTTACGAAAAGCTCCGTTTTCGGTCAGGATTAGATTGAACGGTAGGCCTAACTGTAGAAATAAAGCTGCGTTTTCAAATTTCTCCTGCGTAGTCCGGACAGCCCCTGAAAGCCTGGATTCGTGCCATGTTTAAGCACTATACTGAATGAGGGGCTATGTGACGTGTACATGGTATGTCAAGTAATTTCTTTTGATATACAAAGAAGCCTTCAAATTGAAGGAAAACCTGAATATATTAGGCTTCAAAGGAAAAGCAGTTATTAAATTGAATGTAATAAAGCAAAACCAAACTAATCACTCTGCCGGGCCGATCACAAATTACACAGACAATCCAATGAACCAATCAAAACTCAAAGCAATTACATATAACGGACGCTAAGCGCGGGAAAACGTGTGCGCGCGAGAGTCACGATTGTTTCTGGGTGTACTTCTGATTGGATGACAAAGTGACGCGAGTTTTTTTCTTTTTTTTATATATAAATCAATCGCTTCGCGTAGTAATGCAAAACCAAAGCAAACACAGGTCGAATCACGTCTGGTTTGGTTTTCGATTGAACCAATCGCCGTGACACAAAACCAAAACAAATGCGAATTATAAAGGTCGGCCCACACGAGGGGACAAGTCCCTGCGACTAGTCTCCTGAAGAGTTTACACGAAGGGACTGGTCGCAGGGACTTGTCCCACGAGCAGTGCACATGAAGCGTTTTGATGAACAAGTCGCAGGGACTTGTCCCAAAAATTCAAACCAGTTTGAATTCGTGGGACTAGTCGCAGGGACCAAATTTTAGCCCCTGCGACTAGATTTTGCAGCAAAAATCGCCAATTCACGCGATGGGATTTGTCCCCGCGACTTGTTGCAGGGGCTAGTCCCCTCGTGTGTACTGACTTTTATAGGTGCATCTCCTGACCAGAGAAGTTCCAGAGTGGAAGAAGTACCGCAAGTAGCCTCAGTTATCCGTTAAATGAGCTTTTTTTTTTTTAAAGAAAAGCGCAAATTTTCTCCTAAACTTTCGATTCTTTTTCGCCATAAATCGGTCCAGTTGACCATTCTTAGCTTCTAACGAGCAAAATTTGGCTCGATGAAGGAATTCATACATTTTTGGTTAACTTATTCATAGTCGTTCACGACAGGCATTTTCTGTTGCCATGCTTCCTCTATGAGCGTAACTCCGTGCTCCACAATTGAAACCAGCACAAACAACCCAGAGTCCCCCACTTTGCTCTGGCGGACGAAAGGCTAACACTCGAAACGTCAGCCTCACAAACTCGCCACCTGACGGTTAATTTGCCTTTATCGACTTCATACTGATAAATCAAGCGTTTCGCACGACGCACTACTTACTGAAAAGATCCCTCAAGAAGACTACTCTTTGACGAGGACATTTCAAAAGTTCAACTGCGTGCCGAGCCAGTAACACTTAAGCTCTTACAGTGGACTCGGACAAATAAGAGCGAGAGGAGTTGTTGGAATAGATTGAGGATTCTTAGCATTAGGTGCACACCAAAGTGCTAATGAACGCGTTCACCATACCATATGGTAGTTGAAAATAACGGCTTTTCCAACATGAGACAGTGGGCTTCCTTTATGCCAACTGGTGATTAATTAACCAAGATATTTTTCAAGAAAGAGACATCTGAACATGTGCCTTGGCGGAAAAGAACAGGGTTACACAACACTCGTGATTATTAAATGGTTTATTTCATTCACGTTTAATTGAAAACCAGTATACAACCGATCTGCTATTGATACAAAACACTTTCACTAAACACGTGTCACAAGACCGTTTTTCAATTAACAAAGTACAATTGCTTTTAATTAAATACAAGCTGTATTGCAACTAAGTGATTACTTTATTCCTGAATTATGAACTTCCACAGAAAGAAAACTGTGGAAATAGAGTAAATAATGACGGTATCTAAATGGTTGTCGAGTCTGCAATGTGGGCCGTTTTCGTCCAACCTCGATTAATTTATCATTTATTTTCTGAAAGTCTGACTTTTAAAACCATCATATACCACATAGTTCCTATGAAATATCTTTTCGGCACAATCTATGGACGTTATTATATAAAATCAGAATGCTTCTCATAAAATTATCAAATTATAAATTCATTCAAAGGGAATTACTGCAACCGCAATGACGCGGTGTTTTAGTTTTCTTGTATAAAATTTTTGCTTATCTTATTCTTTCCAAATTATATTTGACTAAACATTCTTACATGGTAGAAATTAGTACGTCTTTGCTTTTATAAAGCTTGTTACACTCTCTTTTAATAGTTGCCTTGATATGTTTAGTAACGCCGCATACACATCAAGGAAAAATACTTGCAATATATCTTCAGTTCTTACGAACGTGGAGAGTACAAACTGGATAGTAACAACAAACTTGCACAGAGCTCATGTTTTCAAAAACTAATGTTTAAAATCTTCATCTGCTTCATAACTTAATTAGATCGCTGTACTGTCTTAACTATTTTAGTATGTATTTTTAACAGGAAAGAGACAGATCTGGAAACGGTCTTTCTTCGCAAAATATCAAACTTCTCGTCAAAATCCATAGTTCGCTTCTAATGCCTGGTTTGAAATTCATTTGGTATTAGATAAGCTCTCTGTACTCAGCAGTACATACTATTTTTATTTGCATACAAAAATATAAATTAATAGATATATTTTTTCCCCGGATCGTTGTCAACTTTGTTGCCACTTGCGAAACAAATGAGGAGAAGACTTTTCGTTTCCCCGAATTCTGGAGCTGCTTGAACAGGTTAAAGCATTTGTCACTCAGATTGGCATATAAATTTGTCAAATAAATTGCTGTAAAAATATAAATCTTATTGTCTTATCATCGTGACTGTATTTAGAAAAGTCATTCGAAGTAGAAGTCTTCTATGGGAGCTTGGTAGTCAAGAAATTCAGCGTAAAACTTCTTGAAGGCACGTCTGTTTAAAAGAGTGAAAAACAATGATTAATATTCACTTGGAAGAGCTGGCTTCTTTTTACTGCCCGCCCAAAAAGGGAATGTTGAGAGACAAGTAGCAGGACAAGAAAAACGTGACAGTTGCACGATCACGAATCTACGGGAAAAATAAAAAAATCTCATCTCATTTGCATTATCTATTCTCAAGTTGATGGGATTACCATGTTAGTAACGATAAAACTTTCCAATTATGTCAAAAACGATACCAAAGCGCGCTTTATTTGTTAACCAGTTTCTCTACATATAGGTGGGCAAGGCTCTCGTTTTCCAGATAGAAAGACAAAAATAGGCTAAAAAAAAGAAACAAGGAAACTAACAAAGGCGTTTATCTTAAGGTCTTACCCCACGGCATTCGCCACTGGCTCGGTTGAATATTCTGACATAAACACGTGACAAGCAAAACGGTGATCTTCAGGATGCTTCGTGATAAAAGCGAAGAATCTGCCATCAAGGAGAAAGAGTAAGAGTAAGTGAGCGCACAAGCTCGCATTAAATTTCGGCGAAAAACAAAAAAACTCACACCGTTTTAGAGGTACACGCCTGGTGATAACATTACGCGTATCAAAAACGACTTGTCCAACTTACCTTGCATTTTGTGGATGACAACCACAAAACGTTACATTCTTTAATGCAAAGTAGTGACATTGTGTTGAAGATTCCTACAATGGCAGATAAAGAACCAATCAAGACGGAACATTGCAGTTAATGTAATTAGAACTCTACATCATTAAAATTTACAATAAGCTAGCAACATTATCAATAATTACAAACCTTTGAGTCTTTATCTAACAGCTTTCCTAATTTACGTTTGCTTGATTTCTTGCCCGATACAGAACCCTGGGGTAGGAAAACAAGAGAAAATAATTTACTCTACAAGTCGTGCTCACATCCTGCAAATAGAATTATAAGAATGCCAAGTTAGAACTATGAAGCTCCTGTAATCATAGGTTACTCTACTTGCTCCTATGTGAAAATGAGCGCTCGAGACACCACAGTTCCATACTAACCACATAACTACTGCAAGTTACAGAGGTGACAAATTCCTTCAATTCCCAGTTTTCTTCAATTTTTACACCAAAATTGGACGAGATTTAACTCTGAAGGACTTCGCTCAAGTTGTCCAAACGTCAGTCACCAACAACAGTTCTTGTCAGAATTACCCTTACCTTCACAATCACAATATACAAACTACAATGTACACATTGACAAATTAATCTCTTATGGTACAGTAATTAACACCTGTGGAATACAAAATGTATAAACAGCCACATAATTACCTAGAATGATAGGTTAGTACACGATGTGTAGAGTGGGTAATGTCTTTGTTGCTTTAGCCCCTTGCATGCATTGCGAGTCAATGGTATTAGACACAGTTGGTGCATGTGTAGTAGGTCAATCTGTTCTTTACGTCAAAAAGATTTCGACCTAGATTAATTTGTTTCAACCTTGATTAAATTTTTCAAATACGTTTTTCCCCTCTTTTGGAGGGTGGTGGGGTCTTAAAAAGAATAACATCCACACCTACCCCTCTCAGTTCTAACCTACCCTATCCTGCCAGGATCACATATCAACCCCCTAATCCTACCCCCACCCCCCCTCCAATCATTTGAACACCTGATTTCAGATTATGTAGTCCACCTTCATCCCCACAATTCTACGCAAGTAATCACTACAAATTTCCTCATATTTGTTAATGTAATAAGTCATTGGTCCCAGACCCACCCTTTCCCTTTGACACAAATTAACCTAGGTTGAAATAATTTGTCCTACATGTATACCTTTCTTCCTTCAGCCGCCTGTGGGTGTTCAATTATCTTTATTCCTCTTTCACTTACATCCAGAATACAAGCTGGGGGCTTGGAAGCTGAGGTCAGTTGATGCTGTTTAACAATCTACATAAAAATAAGTGTTTTCCGATGAGAGATTGCATTAGGATAAATTGACAATTTCGATTAAGTTTTGGTTGAAAAACAATGTTTTCATTCTTTTGTTCTTGTTAATCTGCACCTCATTTGTTCTAAGGGTTAGTAGTCTCCTACACAGCTGCTATTTGGGTCATCACGTGCAAGCCCCCCACCCCTCACCCCACTTAAGTAATGGCTACATAGAAGACTAAAGGGCTAGGGGCATTTTTTGTGTTCTATATTCATTGTTTTGTTTTGCAAGCTATAAGTAACCTTGTAAATGGTGCAGGTTGCACCTAAAGTTTGAATAGACTACCTCAATAATAATTAAATAAAATTCTATGCTTGAGATAAGAGATAGTGTCATTAGAATATTCAAATAGATAATATATTTTAAATTACTCATAACATATGATGCTATGAATATTTATAAAATTATCATTAGCTTTATACCTAAGAACAAATAAAGTTTTTATGGATGAGAAATTCCTGCAAGTAACATTAAAGTACCAGGTTTGTACCAAATTGTTTCATCTTTTTCCATGCAGTGTTATGTTAGCATTATAGACATGTATCTATTGCAAAGAGCTCCAGCTACCACAGACTCTGCATACATTATTCTTAAAATGCTCATTAATCCAGCTACAAACTCTTATACTGTACCTCTTTCATAGCATCACATATGATCTCATTTCCCTTGAAGCCATTTACCTCCACTGACCCAAGAAACCTAACATTTACGTTCAAAAAAAGTCACATGGGATGATGCTATCAATATGGTCTGCAGCACATGCACACATGTAATATCATCTGTCTGTACATCTTTACCGCCCATAAAATAATATTCGTTTCACAATGCCACGTCACGCATCAACAGGGGTTTCATTAAGGGCAGCACTGGGCAAATTGACTAGCTGTGATGATGATTTTGCCCGGCTGGTTTGACCACCTAGCAGACAGTTTTTCCTACAAAGAAGTTCAGTTGAAATAGTTTTGCCCGCCTCTGAAAACCAGTTGCCCTTCTGCTGAAAACATTAATGAAACCCCTGCATCAAGCACATGTGCTGAGGAACTAATATAAACAAGTATAGTTATCTGTACATGGGAACATTTTGTGTGCAAATGTGTTAAGTAAATGGATGGTCCACTTTGTTAAAGAGATGACTAAGACTTGATCCAAAAGATTCCATGATAGCAGAATGATCATAGAAAGCTCTAAAGAAATCTATAATTATGCTAACTGCTCAGTCATTTCTGTAGAGCTGTTATCAGTTTAGAAATTATTGGGTCAGATAATTGGCACACGCCTTAGTGGCAGTTTTCTAACTTGGGAGTACTTAAACGACCCTCACTTTAGAAGTGACCAATATAAAATATAGACATATCAAAAATATTTTGCAACATGGCTTGCGTCAATTGTAAATCTAAAGCCTTGGGCAGCTGGTTAGGTATTTTCTGCAAGCAAACTTTTTTGAGTCTTGCACAAGAATTTGAGACTCTGACATTGACTTGCAAAATATGATGTCTGCAAAAACCCAGGAATTGTGACTATGCATCGCTCCTCAATAATAAATGAATACTAAGTTATTTATCATGACTTATATTACCTGACACTGAATTGATTTACTTCTGCCTCATTAACAGAATTATCTACAACAGAAAAAAAAAGATTCAAATATACTACCTAAAAAAAAACAAAACTTGTCCAATAAAGAAGTTTGAAGGGGTGATTTCATCCATTTCACAGTATTACACAGAATTACTCTTATAATTTTTATGGTCTCTTGTAAGATTGTGCAAAAATAATATTCAATATGTACCAAACTTGATCAGTCTCCTTTGGAGTCCTGCATTTGTGACACAGAATGTAAAATTGAGGGCTGAAATACATGACGCCGAGACCCTTACTTTCAGTGAAAGGTCAAATACGCATATATAGCTCTTAATATAGAAAAAAATCTATAAATTAAGGTAGTCCAATATGATAGTTGAGTGGTGATTGTGCACATATTATGACTCTATATCAACATGACCATTCAGTTTTGTATATTTAGGTAACATCCCTGATGCACTCTTGAATCAAAGCTAAAATTTAATTTGATAGTTTGTTTCAGATTTTGTTTGAATGTGTGTAATTTCAAGGTTACTACAGGAATACAGAAATCAAAATTAAATTTACCAAAGTAAGCACAATTATTAATTACGAACAATTTTGCCTGTCAAAATATGATTATGTCACATGTGATTGATATACAATCACTGTCACTTGTATCAATGTAGCTATTAACCAGATCAAAAATTAATTTAATTTAGAACAGGTTCAAAGTACAATTTTCACTTTCTTTTGTTTTTCTTATAAAAATGGTAAATTCACCTTGGACTGCACCTCCTCGCAGAATATCAGAGACGTAACGTGAAGGAAAACATCCCGAATCTCCTGTTCGCAAGTTAATCCCTTCAAACCACAGATCTTCACATTTCCTACTGACATAAACCGCATCCCCAGTCTCCAAATTCACTTCGTCGTCATGCCGGGCCACGAACTTGTACACTGCAATGTGAGTTTGTTTTGTTTTTGATCTAGTGAGGTCATCTTCAGATGACAAAGAAGAAGTGGTGTTACTGCTTAGTGAAGAAGACCTGCTCAGGCGTTTAGAATTTAATGTTTCAGACGGTTGAAGTAGCGACGAAGTCGATCGACTTGGTGTGGAATTATAAAGTGATTTCGGTGTCGCCGGTAGAACTCTCTTACTCCGTTCTGTTGCTGTTGGTTGAGTTGACGGGCTCATCGGTTTCCGTTCGACGGAATTTCCGACAAAATGAGACTGTTTAGCATATCCGTTTTCTTTTTCGCTCAAAGTTTGGCTGGTCATTTTGTTGGCGTTTATATCATCCGTGTTTCTAAGGTTCAAAGATTGAAGCTGTTCTTTTACGCTCTCTGTATTGCTTTCCACAGTTTCGTATTGTGAGGTTATATTTCGACCAATTATTTCTCTTTTACCTTTTTCAGCTGAATCAGTGTCCACAAGTGCCGAGGCTGCTGAGTTCAACATCGCCTAACAAGTTGACCTTTTGAAGTTCGTGCCTGATCTCGAACTATCAAATATTGATCACATATTTTGTGTCTTTGCGCAACCATATGACTTCACATCTCTCCGGTTTGAGTGCTTGAACACGCAGCCTCCCCCTTTTCACGTCATCTGTCGGCTTAACAACAACAGGGCAAATACCGATAGCCGTAGGATGACTTTCACATACAAATACAAGGATCAAAAGTCTTACATTTATGTAAATATCGATCGTCCGCATTCCGCTAGGTAACCAGGCCTGAAATAGACACTAGCAACCCAGCAGTCCACTGTAAGCAAAGCAACGGGAAATGCAAATGTGATGCCTTGTTGGAGACTAATTGCCGGTTTATGGGCCGGTGAAAATGCAGGCTCTGCCTTATTTACAGCTTAGAGAGTCTGAAAAGCCTGTATCTTCGGAAAAGAAGAATTACAGATTGAGCTTGCTTGAAGCTTCGCCTAGGACAGCTCAACATACCGATGGACAGTCAAGAAGTGGGAACTATGTCAACAGAAAGGTGAGTGAATGAAGTGTTTGACAAACATCGCCAATATCTGTTAATGAAGAAATCAACTTAATTAAAAATAATCCGTTTTAGATTTACCGAGAAGAATTGTTTTTTTTTTCGTGTTTTATTCCGAGAAAGGATCAGTTTACTTTCTTTTACTTTGGAGACGTTATCACAAAATTTCTCGACTCGACTGATGACATGCGACAAGTGTAAACATTCAGATTCCTTGCAAGATTTGTTGGTCTCTGTCATGGTAAAGATACGCAGAGATACGAAACACAGTTCGCGTAGTTCCTTCAACCTAACAGTAATGTTGTCCTTGTCAAAATATTACTTCAGAAGTCAGTTCAGTTTTAGTTCTGAATGTTGTATGTAAGCTTAAGCTTAGTGACATGTCATAACACGTGAGCTTTTAATATATTAAAGGTAATGTTGAAGTGAAATTTTAAGTATAAATCATACATAAATATATTGAGATATGTCCTTGTGGATACTGGATATTTTTCTAAGGAAAATTAATGTAGCATTATCTACTAAAATAGCAATAAACATAGAAAAGCTTTGAATTGTTTTTCTAATGTTCTATTTATAACATTTTAAAATGTTTTTTTGAATGGAGAAATATAAGCTTAAATATTACAATATTTAAGCTCATGTAGTTTCAACTGGAACTATAATATTGCTGCACCGTATCTGAATTGGGTAGGAAAAGGATGTTTTTATATCAACTTAAAATTGTTGAAAGTAAATTAACTGCTGATTTGCATTTATCAGCTGTAACCTAACCCCTGTGGATCCTTTATTTGCTCTTCTACATGTGACATACATGTACACTGTGCAACTCGACATGTGCAAAGTCGCTCCAGTTAAATTATTGCTGCAGCTATTTCAAGCATTACGTTTTCATGACAACCGGTAAACATTTTGGTCTCCTACCGATGCCTTCTCTTTTTGTATTTGACATACTCCAAATTATAATGATAAAAACTGAACATACCACCATTTGAGCTATTGTTCATTGAAAGCTAGAAAGTTCTATTTTTTAGAATGCTGTTATTTTGCCGAGTAGTTCTCATATTAATTAATGTTGGCTTTGTGCCAGTCTTTAAACATACTAGTTTGTGCACTGTTTCCTTCATGCCAGTATTAGATAATTACAAACTGTACATGTAATTCAATAATAAAGTAATTCAAGCTACCATTAAGTTATAAAGGGGTCACTCATGAGTTTAATTGACGACATACTCATTGAAATCTGTGAAGTTACTAAGGTATTTATGACCAACTATACAAGATCTTGGAAACCTGAGATGAGTACACTAAATGGTCAAATATTGGGTGGTACAATGAAATGAATTAAGCAACCATAACCTCTCGCTTTACTCATTGTCAATAACAACTGCAAAGTATAGTAGATTGCTGGACAGAGGGAAGGGGTGCGCTACATTACAGATTTGCTCATTAATAATTTGTATTATGACTTGCCCTAAGAGTTTGTCAAATTGTGGCATGACTCTTTGGCAGTAGCACTTCACACTTAATTAAAAGAGTCTGAAGCCACAGGGAGTAATATACAACACAGTTGAGTAGTGTGAGAGCAAATAAAGGAATGAGAAGAATGTGAATAGTTTACCTGTTATTCCTTCCAGTATGAATTGTGTGCCAACTAATACAGGAAAGACTGCTATCCACTGGTTTTACAAAATGCTTTCCTAGCTGCTAAATTCATACCAAGATGATTTTTTGATTTCATATATAATAGACTGACAGGGTAGACAAGTTCATGTACAAATATTTTGAAGGCAATTTAAAAACTTGCTAAAAATTGTCAGTAGATTTCTTTGCTTTGGAAGTTTGCCTTAAAACTTGGTTGAATTTGTGCTTGAGTATTTTCCTGACAGTTGGAGAATTTTAACATCTTTTTGAAAGTTTTGCTTCTTGCCACATGATCGTACTAGCTGCTACCCTTTGCTGATACATGCCATTCAGCATGTGCACATGCTCCATGCCCTTTTTGACATGTTGTTGATGCAACAAACCTTCACAAAGCCCTTTCTCTCATAAAATGAGGTCAGATCAAAAATCCCAGGGGTGTGTTTCTGAAATTATCCCTTAATGATTTAAGTAATATTTGGTCTCTTGTAAAAAGTAGGGATTATGAGATCATTTCCAATCATTCCTATGATTACTCTGACCTTGGCAAAACATACTTAATCTGAAACGTTTGTCTTCCTCTACATTAGCTCACCTGTAATGTTCAATTTTCTGTTCAAATCGTTTGGGTTTTATGCTTGGGGTGATTTTCTAGTTGCTCAGTTGAATGGGTTCGTCACCCAAAAATCTGATCAAGCCACTTTAAGTTTCACCTGAAAGGCATGTTATGCATGGAGATAGAGAAAATGTGTCCTCCCTCCTGTCATTGAGTGACATATGAGAACTGAGCTAACACTGAAATTTTATGTATAATGTATCTTTCAGGAAAGTTCCAGGGAGAGCAATGCACTATTTGAAGGGACCAGCAGCATATACTTTGGGGATATTGCACCATTTCGTAGTCCTGTGCACTCGCCATCTACAAGCAGAATTTTAAAAAGACCACCAAGGATTCAGAATAACTCATCTCTCCCCACATGGGTGGAGCCCCTGGGTGTCTGGCTAACCAACAAACAGGTAGTTATACCTAACTAGAGTGATAAATTTTCAGTTCTAGGAATTGTCTGTACCCACCTCATGGGAGGTCAGTTGAAAATTCCCAAGGTGGAGTTTGGGTTTCTAAAGCCAATGTTTTGAAAGGAAAGTATAGGGCTACACTGTAACAGGAATTTTTAGAGAGATGCCATTGTGGGGGGTGGGGAGGGGGGTAGGCGGTGCAAGTTACAAATTTTATTTTATGAAATATGAGTGCAGCAAGTGAATATAATAATTTTTTCACATGAGATCTAATAAAATTCCCATCTTTAAGCCACTGTGGAATTTTCTTTTTATTATATACTAGAAGAACCATGAAAAAGCGGTTAATGATGTCATCAATATCTTATCTCAAAATCTTATCTCAGGTCCTGATGTGGTTTCATATGAATTATAGGAGTGGTGTATTTTCCAGTAAAACTCTTGTTTCAATATAATGGGAGATCATATTCTAACATAAATTTTTTATTCCATTTATTTCAAATGATTATCAGTAACACTAAATGATTATTAAGGCATGAGTTTAATAACATGCTAATTTTTTATTGCAGAAGTGCAACAACTATGAGACAATCACAAGAAATGTTGAGCTGCTAAGACGCACTAGTGATATGTTCCTGGTAACAAAGTTCTCTTGGTCTTAATTACTAACTTATTATTAAAGATGATTTCCAGTCCGTGCTGCACACTCTTGAGAGTTTGTTCGTTTTTTGTTTTCTGTTATGAAAGACATCACAAAATGTGAACATTTCACAACTACTTAAGTGAGTAAATTCAAAGTTTCATGCCAACTGCCATTATCGATGCCAAGTTTTATGCTTCGTTCTTTCTCATATCCACTGATAAAACAACTTCGCAGCTGTAAAAATCAATGAAGATGTTGGAAAAGGAATTTAAAAGGCCTCAAAGATAAGGTATGCAGTTCGTAACAAATAACATCAATTTGTATTCCATCGAGTGAGAACTTATATAATGTTTATAAACATTAGGGTGCTGAGACTGCACTTTACTGACTTGAAATCATCTTTAAATAACATTAAAAATACAACTTTTACTCATTTTTTGCCTGGTCTGAATTCTGCTTACCATAATTAGAAGCTTTTCAGGGTACACAAATAATTAAAACAATTATTGGACAAGGTTGAGCGAAACAGCATGATTTGTCAGTGGCAAGCTTTATTGCACCCCTAAAAGATACCACTTAAAACAGAAAACGGACTCAATTGCCAGCTGTTGTTTAGAAATGGAGTCCATGCTAGCAGACCAGATTCGAGAGACCAGCTGAAATCAAGACTAAAAATGAAAATAAGAACATTTCTTTTATTAAGAGTTTTTGGGTGCACCCTAAAAGATACTTTGACAGCTAAAAAAGTGGCATTTCTTTATCAACACCCTAAGTGAGACCAAAATCTTTGATTTACACCCCTAAGTGAGACGACAAATAACCCCAATCTTTTCATATGGGAGCCCTCCCTCTTCCCCTCTCCCCAGGATACATGGAGGACAAGATATTGTCAAGAACAAGATCTCTGGTGAGGTATATCAGGTGGGGAGAGATCGCAAATGGACAACCTTGGATTGTCTCAGAGTCAAGCTACATTTTCCTGTAGCAGTAACTCCAAATTATAAACTGGGGCAATTAGTAATTAATTTAGTAGTTAATACAGACTTTTTTTATTATTCACATAGGATCCCTGTCCACACATTCCCAGATGCTCCCATGAACGGACGTTGTCAGCTCTTCGGCGTCAACGGCAAAGGTTCAAATTTGAAGAAGAGTGGAAGAAACAAGAGGTATGTGTCAGGGTGTCAATCAGTTCTTTGATGGAGCTCTTGTAACACACTAGGTTTTAACCATCAGCTTCTATCAAGAAGATGATGGCAAATTGACTACATTAGAGTATTCTTTACCCTTGATTTAATTTATAGACATATTACAGTTTTTGTGGGAAACCCTTTACAATCCTGACAGCTGGAGTGATAAAGCAATTGAGTGGGATTTGCCCTAAGATTTATAATAATCTCGTATCTCCCTCCCATGGGATCTGACCTAAAGATCTTAATAGCTTTTTCCTTTAAGTAACCAAATTGGCTAATAAAGAAAGAGTTTAGTAATCAATACATCTAATGATTTTTTTTCAGCGTCACATGCGAATCATTGAGAGAGTTCAACAGATCCGTGACATTTGGGAACGATGGACAAACAAATCCATTTCTGCTGGAGCAGAACATGAGAGTAGATTGAATAACTTTAGAAAAAATCGAGGTAAGGCTTACAGTTCTTATTGCTGTACTAGCACAGTAAAACCTCTATTAAGCAGACCTCAAATTAAGACGATGGCTCTCCCTCTCCTTACTGAAAGTGTACCTGTTTGTTGAATCACTCGTCTCTCCTCCTACCTGGGCCGATACTGAGTGTAACAGTTTCGACCACGCCTACAAGTGGAGCCTGGACACTGTCGCACTGTGAAACCAAGGCGTTGTTTCTTACTTTGAAATTATTATGTAAACAAGACCACATGCTGTACAGTGATGTGAAGTATATATGAAATAATTCATATTGGAACTGCGGTTGTAGATGAAAGTGACCTCGCTCCCAATGTGTGGATTCATAGCTCAGTTGGTAGAGCATCGCACCGGTATCGCGGAGGTCACGGGTTCGAATCCCGTTGAAGCCCGGATTTTTTTTTTTTCAGGCTTCTTCTTTCCAATTGCTTAAATTGGAAAATTTACTGCGATGATCATTCTTCACTTTAATGCTGTACAGTGTTGTACTTAATGTCTATTCCATGGTTTTACAGTCACCTTATTCAAGGTTTACATTTTTTGCACATTTTTTCTTCCGTAACAGATTGTTACACTGACCCTGACGACATGATTAGACAGAAAAGAGAAGAAAGGCTGCAACGGGAAAAAATGATACGCCTTGAACAAGAGAAAAAGAGACAAGAAATTTTAGAGAAGAAACGGTTTAGACTTCCTAAAATAATCGTCACTCAGTACTTTGATATCTTTGAAACACGGGACGAGCCTCGGGCACAGAGCTCAAAAAACGAATCTCCGGGTGTGTTGCCAAATTTAGTAAACATCCCGTGTGGATCTGAAAGCGAAAAAAAGCGCGAAGAGAACGATACTGAATGTCAAGGAAGCAAAGGCGATAGACTTGAGCTGCCCGACTTAGAGAACATTACTCAAGAAGGAGGTTATGTTGAGGAATTAGCCCAAGCTGATGAACAATACGAGTCGCTCTTACCTGAACATGAAAATCAAGTAGATGCCACAAGTATAACTGATGCGAATGATTCTAATTCGCAAGAAATAGATCATGGCGCTGACGTGGAAAACGTTGCATTAGAAGACGGAAGTGAAAAGACCATGGAAGTTGATGTGTCGCAGTCGGAAGTAGCAGCTGAACCTGAAAGCGAACCAGTATTGGAAGATGTAAACACGAAGACTGATGAACTCGATATTCTAAGAACAGAACAGGAAAACATTCCAGGAACAGAAAAGGAGAACATTCCAAAAACAGAACAGGAACCTTTGGACATCAGCTCACCTGAGCAAAATGAACAGTACAATGCTGCCAACGAAAATGGCGAGAGAAAACTCGAAGGAAATGAAAGTGAAAGAAGAATTGAAGAGAAAGAAAGTGAAGAAGAATTTCAAAAGAAAGAAAGTGAAATAAAGGTTGACGAGAAAAAAAGTGAGATCGAACAAGAAAAAAAGGAAATACAAATTAACTTCCTCTCACCTCCTGCTGTCATGGCAGATGAAAATTTTTCTGATCATGGGTCGATTGGTGACGCAGACGATACAGGTAATTTTGTAATTTATTATATGACTGACAAATTTACTTCATTGTAATTGGACGAGAGCAGGCAAATTTATGGTTAATTTGCATTGAAGTGCAAATTTACGCGCGCGTGTTCGTAGTTTTCTCCCCCAATCTATCATAAATAAGTATTCGTATGAAGGTCCATGAAAGCTCGGGCTATTGAAGAATTAACACTATTCGTGGTATTTGGAAACGTTTTCAAATTGCACTCTCCTTTCAAATATCACTGGTTGTGTAAATCCTTAACTGCAGTCGCATTTCATGCGATTACCTATACAAAACAAATCACTGAATTCTGTTTTATAATGAACTTTACAGTTTCTCTGAGAAGGCCTTAATGATTTTCCACATGAACACGGAGCAGCACTCGGAGGGGAGCCTTGTGCGGGATACCAAGGATCGTTGGCAAAAGAAGCGCCTTCTTTTTGAATTTATTAGATGCGTTGTTCACATCTTGATCAATAACTATTTCTTGAAACATGAGAGACGGTATAGAAATCAAATCTTCGCATTATTTATTCATTTTGCCTTGAGAATGGTGTCACGATGACGCCGAAACGTCGGCTCTTAACGTTAATATTTGCCTGCTTATATTGTTCATGTCATTCTGTTTTCTACTTTAGCTTTCTTGATGGCCGCGTTTGTTCCAGTGGCATTAGGCGTTGGCGATGGGTTGATACCCGACGATGCCATGCGAGCTTCGTCTGTGCTAGATCGTTACCATGTCCCTAGTCAGGCGCGGCTGAATAACACCAAACAGGGGAAAAGTGGTGGAGCCTGGAAACCAAAACTCAATGACAAGAAACAGTACTTAGAAGTGGACCTGGGAGCTTTAACGAATGTTTCGCAGGTTGGTGTGTGTTGCCATGCAGTTCTTACATATTTGAATCGATTTATGGAGATTTCTTTGAACCAAAAGTTTGGAAATTAGAATTACTCCTACCTTGTAAAATCATATAATCAGGAACACTTACAGGACGACTGTCTGGGTTTGAGTACTGTTGGTTTTAATGCACATGAAAGCGGACATTTAAGTCATTATTCATTGCGAGAACTACCCGGTACGTAGGACATGGTTCAGTAGAACATGAACCCAACAGACCAGAGCTAAACGGACACGTCCCATAAGCGGACACCGCTCTTACGAGGACATTATTCTTGGGCCTGAGGGTGTCTGAAAATGGGAGGTTCAACTTTTTTTTGCCTGTACTGCAGGTCGCCACGCAAGGTTATGGTATTTCCAGTGGAGGTAAGGTGCAGAAGAAAGACAAATGCTGGGTGGAGTCGTACACGCTCTCCTTTAGTACAGATGGCTCACAGTGGCAACAGTACACAGAAAATGACGCTGTCAAGGTAATTCTTAGCATAGATGTCCAGAGATGCCAGTTAAAGGCCTGTATAAGTTTACAGGCTCTTCAAAGACAAGACACTACTCTAAGACCTCTTCCAGGCCTCGGGTTAGTTGCTGAGCAGCGCAAAGCATGACGAGTGAGAAAAAAAAAAAAGAGAAAAAAACAAAAGAAAAAACGCGGCCTTCTTCAGTAGCGCTAATCCTCAACTAACTGAACGCCTAAAACAGGCTGACTGCATAAGAGAAAACCCGTCTGGGATTTTCTTTGCTTGAAATACTTTTAAATGTACTCCTTTTGTTATGAACACTATGTATAGTTTCTCCTAAGAAAAACAAGAAAAAAGTTAAGTACGCATTTCACGAGGAGATAACAGCTGATCAAGGATGGAAAATTGGTTCGATATAAAATTGAATTTTACCATAATGGGTTGTGAGTTAAACTGTAGTTCTACAAGCAATCACTTGTATACTCAAGTGATCAAAAGGGGCTGTTTTTGTCTATATACTAGTTGTGAACACGTAAGCTTAAACATTAAGGTTAAAGAGCCGAAAAATTCATTCTATTGTTATTTTAATAGCAATAAGTGATAACTGCGTTTCAATTTGGAGACCTGGCTAGGTTTCTAAACCTTAAGTTGAGATGCAGATTTTTATTCGATTAAACTGACGCAGAAGAGAGTTTTGAACGTCAAGTTAAACTTGAAACTATAAATTTGAAATTAAAATTAGTATCGAAAATGTTATATCGAATTGTCTTATTTTGCAGCTTTTAACTAAATATAAATTTCAACATGATAACGCAACAGAGCACAAAACGATGGCAAGTAGGTAAACAATAATTTATATTTAACCATGATTTTAAAAACAAAACGATATTTTGCTCTAAACCGTTGGTGTAAAGCATCTAAACTAATTAGTTATGCAAAACGAAATACTTAAACAGCTTATCTTAACGAGGACATTTAAACAAGTCAGTTGAGTCAAAGTCACAGACAATTGAACTAGATTTTCTAACGTAGTACATGCCAAGTGATCTGCAAGTAATCAACCTCCTACATGTAGATTGTTTTATTCAAAGAAGCGAAGTAAAAGACCTAGAGGGGACAGACGCAATGCCTCAATGTAAACTCAATGCTTAGCTCTGCACTTCTCTCTGATACACAACTGTTTTAGTGTCCCCAGCTGAGGTATATTTAACCCTTGAAATGCATGTATCATTCTCTATTCTGTGTCAAGTCCACGTGTTTGGACTCACTCAGTTAGTACGATGTTACTTATTAAGACAAGCATCGGGAATAACGTATCTGTAAGGTTTGTGTACACGTTAGAGTTTGCACTGGCAGTCATATTCTCTTGGTGTGGGAAGTAAATGAACTTTTTTTCATCCCAGGTTTTTAAGGGAAACAGAAACAACAACTCGGTTGTTATAAATAGTATTTCAAACCCAGTGCAAGCAAGATTTGTGCGGTTCATACCACAGACGTGGAAAAACAGCATTGCTATGAGAGTGGAGGTGTATGGAGAAGTGACAGGTAAGACATCAGTTTCACTCATTACATGTAGGCCTTACTACAATAGGCCATTTTCGAGGTGCCTTTTGCCTCAGGATCAAAACGAGGCTACGTGCGAAACCATTCATATGAAAATGCCTTTGGCCTACAGGCTCATTTTCATGTAAATCAAACTCATTTTCGTGTGAAAGGTTTTCCACGGAGACTCGTTTGAAGTAGAGACAAAAGGTAATTCGGAAATGACCTATTGTGTAAAGACGGAGGGCGGAGAGCGCCAACACCAAATGTAGGAGAGAACAACAGGAAGGCACAACAGCATTGGGGTGGACAAACATAAACTGATTTTGGTTTTGTTTTTCATGCTGTTGCTTTAGTGGTTTGCTTTGAGGTTTTAAATTTGGGAGCTTTAAGTTTTATTTGATGTCAATTAAATGCCCAGTTTGCTTACCTTAATACAGCTCGTTTTCCTGTACTTGGCACAGCACAATGGAGTCACATTTGTTTCTTGTTGGCTGATAAAAAATTATCGCGTGTTTGCTTCTAAAAGGTTTCTAGAAAAACTCGCTGCTCATTTCACTGAATAGCAAGCAAACTTGGAAGTTCAGTGAGAACCGAAATAACGATATTATTACATACAATAAATAAATCATACATACTCTGATAACCAGTTGACCCACGATAAGTAGAGTTGGTCTAATCCACCAATCGCAACCCGTTGATGTCAACTTTGAACCCGTTGAAGCAAACTTCTTTGTTGCTTGAGACTTCCGCTAGCTGAGATAATGCAAAACGAAGTTTTTGTTTTACTTTAGACAGCGCACGTTATCGAAGGCGTGTGTCAACAATTTTTTTCTTTCTTTGACTGCTGAATTATCAAGCTTAGCGAACACGGTGTAACCAAAACCAAACAAACTCAAAATTCTTTCGATGTACTTTTACAAGAAACGCTCTGTTGCGACAAGAACACTTTCATTGTTTCCGCTAATGGACTATTAATAAAAACAAAAACAGGAAGCAGAATAGTTGTCAAATTGTTGTGCTGTTCATTGGCTGAAATTATGGACAAATAATTTGGATTCAAAAGGACAACCAAGCAAATTAATTGTATTAACCCAGTTGAGGATACGGTCTTTGTGAATCAATCGCCTTTTTTTCTCTTGGGTGCTAACATCGTGGTCTTTTTTCTCATAAGAACCTGACATGTCGAGGAACACTCCGCCAGCGCCTTCACCCATAGAGGAAGAACAACAAGAAGAAGACCAACGCACTCATGAGGTGATCTTAGAAGACCAAGAGGAACCACAAGTGGAAGAATTTGTTTGTGGCGATGAGAGCAAGGAAGTGGTTGACGAACAGAACGCCTGGGAGGAAGAGACAGAGTATTCTGTAGTAGAAACTGCGTCACAGATGGAAAGTAAAGGTATGAAAATCGAATTGAAGCAAGAAACAGCAACAAATGTGAATAACAAGTGCAGAAACTGGATAAGGGGCTAAACTAGCTAGCAGAATTGTCTTTTAATGAGAAGCCAACTATGAGAGTCGGTTACAGCCCAGTGCGATTCAAAAATACCGTAAATCACTGTGATTTGACCATTTATATGCGACATTTTGAAAGGGCATTCAAAAAGGAACAATCTAAAGGTTTCGTTTGCTTTCAAACTACATCCTCTATAGTGTCTAACCCTAAAGAAAATTTGGTTGCTATTATATGATTTGGTGACAAAGTGGCCTCTAGTCACTGCAAATATACAAATTTGGTGTAAGCGAGAGCCAGAGGACATCATGTCTGTCTCCCATGGTTATACCCATTAGAACCCCTAGAACGGTCGGAACAGTGCTGTTGTTCTTAGCTACTGCTCCATGCTATAACTAGTGTGAGGTTCAAAATGGCCTGGTAGAGAAAGCAGGAGTCTGTTGTGTAAAATTAGTGTTGTTTTCACCCGTGACAAGACATTACAGCGTCAACTCAACCATGCCAATTTGCGATCTCGTGGCTTTCGATGGACGAAACTTGGTAGCGACAAGATCACTTAAAACTGTACTTTAACTCCGATCGAGGCTTCAAGTAGAAAAGATGTAGTGATCAAAAACCTCAGAATAGTCGAGAGGATGCATTTTGAGAGAAATTCATGACAGCCAAAATTGGTTAAAACCTTTTAGTTTGTTCATTTTTGCGGTTTCTTGCAATGAAAACTTTTAACACAATTATCATTCTAGACATATTTTCTGGTTTTCACGGATGGTGTTTGGCGAAGCGAAAAGCGACATGATGCTACTGGTCACGTATAGAAAACAATGATGTAAATATTTCTCACGACATGCACAAACTTATTTTGATTGTACTCTCATGCATCTTGGCACAGTATAACTAGCCTGACTTCTCATTCATTTTTTTAGTGGCCGTGGTAAACCCCAGTTCACCATCGATAATCGATGTTGTAGTTCAAGGGGAAAAGGTAAGTTCCTTCAAGCTTTTCAGAGTGTACTGTAGGACTATATAAACAATGGAAGCGCACTTTGGATCGCCTTTATTCACTAGGATAGAGAATCGACTGATCCCTTGTAACTGTGATATGACCATCTCATCAGGTCTTCATTTAACTTAATATGGTTTGAGGAATATGAGGCTATTTTGATAAATCTCCGTAGAATAACCCAAAAAACTTCCGACTATTTTCACGAAATGGGATAATACCAAGAGTGCTCCAAAGCTGTCGAGTCAGCTCATCACCATGGGGGCAAATGATATAGAGTTATATCGAAATATTACAAGTACATCAACGATTCCTTGCATTTGTTGCCTGTATTATAGACACAATGCATTTACTCGGTATCGCATTTATTCTCTATCTCTTAAAACTATCAGCAGGTAATGGATTAAAATCAATAACTTTACAAAAAAAAAANAAACTATTAGATCATCTATAAAGAGCTTCAAAGTGAAAAATGGGAATATTATTATTCACTTCAATCTTGTCCAGACATGGCTCTCTTGAACAAAATCACGTAATACCATCGCTCTGTAGCCAATCAAAGGTAACGTACCATCTTGGTAACGAGATTGTGAATAGTGTAACATTAACGATTCCATCTTTCAGCACACGCCTAAAAGTAAACGAAAATCTAAGAAGCCCAAACAAGATAAACAAGAGGAGTCTGAGAAGAAGAAGAAAAAGAAAAGGAAAAGCAAGAAAGTTAAAGAGAAAAAGGTGAAAAATCCAGTTGAAACCAGTCTCATTCGGTTGGATGAAGCCGAGGAGGAGGAGAGGGCCTCGTCTCCAGAAGAACAAGAGGAAGAAGAAGAAGAGGAGGAGGAAGAGAGAGAAGTAAACACACCCTCCCTCCCTGAAATCCCTAAAAGACCAGGTATGTCTTGTTTGTAATATATGTAGTTTTTAAGGATGATCTAGATGACCCACTAACCTGCGGGCTCCTCAGGGAACTCATTAATAAAAATGACGGAGAGCTACACAGGATATTTTTGGGTATGAAATGGGTGATTACGGTTAATTACTGTGTTCTAACTAAGAGATTTGAAGTTCAGCATGAACAGCTGTTATTCTTGGAGGGGGAAGGGGGCAGTTCTTGTAACTAAAAATAAACGGATCGAAACTTACTCGATTTGGCCAATGACTGTTGACAGACTTTATACGAGTCTTAGAGCCCATACCATCACGGCCAAACTAACCAATCAGTTTCAAGGGACCAGACTTATGTGCAACACCATCAACTGTCAAACTCTTTCCACTTGAACCTGAGCTACACATCAATCACCACAAACGGAAAACAGTCACACTAAAAGAACTATCTTATTTCTACCCCAGAGAGTGTTACGCAGATACCACCGGCTCCTAAACGGACCTTTAGCATGTTCCCAGTCAGAAAAGAGAGCACCCAGGAGTCGTCCAAACCACTCAGGCGCCGTGCACAGACTGATGACAGCATTCGCAACGAGTTAATACGTCAGCAACTGGCTGAAGACAGGAGAAAGAAACTTCAAGCAGCGTTAGGCAAGCCGAAGAGAGATATTCAAGCGCAGAGTCCTGTATTTGACAATTATGGTGATTCTAGTGGGTTAGGTAAGTAGTGCGCGTGCTTCTTTAGTCCAGTGGATGACATGTTCATTTCTCGTTGAAGTCGCTTTTTCAACTGACCGCCTCTGATTTACTCTGATGCTAATTCAGTAATCTGTGAATTGGGAAGCTAGTCACAGAAATGGGAGTAATTCAGTTCAGGTCCCATTTGCTGACATTTATTCGTCCATTAATTTGGATGTATTAAGTGAGCGTGAACGCAATGCTATGGGGCTTGGTAGAGAACTCATTCTTGTTCGCTTGTAATTGAGGACATAAAAAGAAACCAGTTGTGTACAGAGTAGTACAGGAACGACTCTCATAGCCGTCAGGAAAGCAAAGACAGTAATCCTACTAAGTCAAACACCTCAAGACTCCCGACATAGATCTCTAAGGCCAGTTGAGGTTAACTACCTGTGACTGTTGATAAACTAGCAAGTTTATTTTCTCGTCCTGTTTTTCCCTTTCAGATGACTTTCTGGCAAAGTACTGTATCATAAGTGAAGGACAAGCTAATTACTATCGTCGCATTTTCAAGAGTGTAAGTTTCTTTTTCGCATTTTTGACATGCAGAGGTGTTTTACATTTCTTTTTATTCATCGTTAAGACAAAATTACATTTACAACACAAAATCATGTACACAGAGAGATTGTCTGAAAAAGCCCAACAACTACTGTTATTAGCAATTGATTCATTTTTCTTAGTTGTTTAGCTCTTAACTCCTAACGGAGCACCGCCCATTAACAAAGGTTCCCCAGTGAACCCAGCTTTGAAGTATTTCTTTATGTGTTCACCGATACTAGCTTGCGTGTGGACCATGTTAATACGTTGGCCAATCAAAGAGAAAGAGCTTAACATAGATAGAGCATGAATAGAGAGATAACTGAACAGGCATTGCGCGTGTTCGACAGTCATCTCATGTGGGTTATCTGAACTCGTTAAAAACTGATCTCTTTTATCGTAGTTTGATGAGGACAAGGATGGGGTTTTGTTTCCTGAAGATCTTCTAGAAGCCCTGGAAAGCGTCAATTCAAACTTGCTCTCCGACTCTCATATAACTTACATCTACCGAGTAAGTAATTAGCGTGTCTTGTGTGGCATTTCCTCCCCCGGGGGAACTCCCATATGAAAAGGTCGGGGATGCTCGACAGAAAATTTGAATTAAAGCGCCAAGGGAGACAACCGAAGAAAAAAGTAAAGAGTTTCTGATCAGCGTTGCTTAATCAAGAGCTAACGTAAAACACATGTAGCCTGAGGCTAAGATGTAGCCGTCGCGTTTGTTCTCGTTTCAGTGAAGTGTAAGTTAACCAGGGCAAGAAACTCGGGCTCCTGTTGGGATTTATTTCGTCAGCCTGCCCCCAACTGCGCGGCTTTGAGGTCTAACTCGAGCTGGGTTGACACAAGGAAATAGGCAGATCAAGAGCAGATGAAGAACGAGAGATGAACTCAGAGAAAACCGGCTTTTTCTTGTCCTGCCATTCACCTTGACTAAATGCTACGCGAAGGGGAATCGGCTGCACCTGGAATCTAAATGAAACACCATCACGTGTTTTATCTTGAATAACGTAACAAATACTACCCTGAACTAGTGTTTTCTGACCATGTTCCTTTCAATCTCTAGGTTCTAGAACTGTGTGATTGCAGCTTGGACTCCGGAGTAGATTTCAAGTTATTTTCTGTGATTGCTGCATTTTCTCAGCGTGTCGCAGTTCTAGAGTACGTGGTGGTTTCTAGTAAAATGTGTTCTTTTAATCCTTTTTTGTTTTTTTTGTTTTGTTTTGTTTTTTTTGTTTTGTTTTGTTTTTTTCAACCAATCCACAGCTAAAACGTCTTGTATTGATTTGTTTCTTATTACTATTTTAACAGCGAATTTGCAAAAATCCTTATCTCGAAGCTGGATTTCAGAGAGTTGGATTACAAATTGCAACGAGCAAAGGTAGGGCAACATATGTATATTGCAAGATTACTGGAAACCAGCGCAAATTTTGCTTAGACAGTGTTTTGTTAATGGATGCTGTAAAACCCAAACCAAAGCTATCTGAGGCTTGAGACTAACGATACCAACGCGAATAGGGTAACGAACCACTAGGAACTTTAAACAAAGGCGCAGTAACAGGTGCCGTTACGAGAAAAGTGACATGTGCTGAATCATGATTGGACGAAAGGACACATTCTACCTTGTGATTGGCCAGAGCTGTATGTACGCTTCTCTTGTGATGCCAAATTATAGCCACCATAGCTAGTTTGAAATTCGAAAGCTAGCGTTTCGATCGATCCTTAAGCCCCGTCCACACTGCACCGGGTAAATCTGAAAACGCAGCTTCATTTATACGGTTAGGCCAGCCGTCCACAATAACCTGTCATGAAAACGGAGCTTTCTCGAAAACGCCCTTCTTCAAACCGGGGGAATTTGAAAACGCCGGTTTTTNACGATCACATTCTACAAGATCCTGTTGGAACTGTTGTTTACAGAGACATGTTGACGGTTTAGATCACGATCACAAATGAGACACAGACATACAGGCGGGGGGACACAGAAGCTCTCGTAGTAATCTGATTCTTGTCGTCCAATCAGTTAGTGCCAGTTTCTTCGTTGTATGGCTCACGTTCTGTTGCTTAGCAATCCGTCACACGAAACTTAGAAAACACGAGATTTCGAACAATGTCACGTGTTTGCCGACTATTTATTTGATAGTGACGCTTGGCTGGAACTAGCTTAGTCTGCGAAGAAGGTTCTTTCGTTGGAGTTTTTCGCGAGCGGCGGAGATGCGACCTACGAACAAACAAGAGAGCCTGTTCTCATTTTTGCTCTCAAGCTACAAGTAACTTATCCTCTTGACAGCGATGGATGACTAGGCCGTCTGGGCGTTCTTCTTATAAGCCATGTGACACTATTTACTAGGTTTAATTAATATAATTTTCTATTTAAGAGAGAGCCTTTTCCCAAAACTTGCAACATGGTTGCCTTTTGTAAGAAACAGTGGTAAAAATAGGTCCATAAAATGTACATGCGGCTAATGCCATGATGGCAACTACTTACTTGCGTATTGCAAGAGAAAATTGGATGAAAATATAAAGCAAACCACTGAAAGGTTTGATGTTATTTTTATTATTTTATTTGTTAAAAAGTTAAGTGTCTGGCTGGCCCAAGACGCCGGTCAGGGTTCGGACACCGAACATGCGACGTAGAGTTCAGCGCAGTAACCATTGGGCTACTTCGCCTTCTGGTCCTACTGAGAGGTTAATTAATGCATATCAAGACAATTATGATCGGTCTGAGTAAACAAGCGTCGCAATGCCTCTCTTCTGGGCGCTCAATTCAACAACTGTACAATATAACACCACCAGAAAGTCGCGAGACTAAAAAGAGCGTCACCCTTCAGTTTTAAGTGCGAACAAGAAAGAATCCAAACCTTAATTTGCTGCACTTTATATATACAGTTTAGTTTCTGCCTTCGCCAGCTATGATTGGTTAAAACGCTATGTATTATCAGATTTTGTAATGTGGACGATAGACTGGGTTCTGCGCGTGAAGAATTCGATCTACTGTCTATAAAACCGTGTTTTATTGTCTTTTATAATATGGATAGGACCCTGCGCGCGCTCTGATTGGTCAAAAACCCATGTTTTATCAGAGTATAAAACATAGGAAAAGCGTGTTTTACTGTTTTGAGCGTGTAAAATCTATATCATAAAGCAAATGAAGTAGCCTAAGCCGTGTATTACACTATGACAAAACACTCCGGACATTTGAAACACTCGAGAAATGTAGAAAACACTCGCCTGCGACTCGTATTTTCTACATTTCCCTCGTGTTCTCAAATACCCGCCGTGTTTTATCGCAGTGTAATATACGGCTCAGGCTTTTTTATTTGTTAAGTGCGATTCAAGTCTATATCATAAAGCATTTTAAGAGGTTAAAACCATGCATTACACTGCTGGCTTAAAGCGTTCATAACTGGAATTTGGGAACATTTGGCCCTATTTTTTGCATTTTTCTCGTATTCTCAAATTCCCGTCTTGCTTTCTGATACTGTATTACATGCTTCTTACTTCAATTTTTATCACCTTTTCGGTGCACTTCGGATGAGGAGGTTACCATGAGATGGCCCCATGAGATCAGCTTGAAATGTTTTGTCTTGCTTCTGGATGGAGACGATTATCAGAGAAGGCGCTTGCACAATCGTTTAACCTGTTTTTGTTTTTATTTTTTTTTTTATCGCGGCGAAACTTAATATGAATTTGTATGACCTATCTGATAAAAAAATCTCACGATTTGTCAGGGGACAGTTTTATTATAAAATAAATATTTCAGCCTTTCCCAACTCTCAAAGAAATCCCGTTCATACCCTTAACGGTTTGAGCAAATGGCGCGTAGAGACCGTGCGGTGATAAAGAGAGGAAATTCCATTGGAAGAGGAAATGAATGAGACGAAATGCGAGATTTTAGTACTTTCACTGACTCCATTTCAATAGTTTCCTTCCCACAGTCTCCCCCGTCACTTTTTGAGTAGCTGTCCACGTGGCTCGCTAGTCCTGACACTTCTACTTGTTCATTTCCACTTCAAGTCTTGATGCACCAAACGAGCACCATTGTCTCTAAACTCCGGAATCACTTCGCAGACGTAGTGACCAATCTCTTCAGTTCATCACAACCAAACATTAAATTTTCCATGTCCTCTCTGAGCATTTTTTTCTGTTTTACCCGCGCCTCCCCTCCCTTCCCGTTTTGTTGTGCTATTTCCCACTAATCTTTGCGAGTGTATTTCGTCTCCGCCATTGTGCACGTGTGCAAGAAAAACAGAAGAAAATTGAGCGCGCGCCACTTTCACAGGTTTGTTCTTCATCAGCCTGACCCAGCGATATTTCTGAGGGTGAAACGTTGTTAACCTGCCTTTCCTTTTTTTGCTTGTCGCAGCCAGGAGGCGGAATGAGGAGGCGTTTTGTTTGTTGACGACCTCGACCTGCACCTGTAGTCGTCCAGAATAAGGTAAAGCTCGTGTTTGATTGCCTAGTAGTTTAACTTAATAACTACTAGACCAGTTAACGAGAAAGAAAATGTTCATTGCATATGTGTACATAAGAGTTTCCTTTGCCTTCGTAGAGGTACATTACCTGCTTACCAATAGTGATGAGGTAGGGGATAGGGGGTAGGGGGGGACTCCTCATTCAATTTTTTTTTTTTAACAATAAGCTTAAGCTCAAGTTAACATACCTTAGGCTTACCTAGAAAATAAAAGTCGTTCAGTGATAAATATACGTTGTACCAGCTCCAAGATGTTTTCTGATTGGAGGAGAACATGTCACATGTCTGGGTCAAAACTCACCAACTCCCTAGGGAAACAACTACTTTAAAGTGATCAGGTGGTACTACTTGAAACTGCAGCAAATTTGTGTGCCAGCCAGCGTCAGGCAAACAATTTTTTGCAGTTTTTCTTTCTATTTTTGGGTTGGAAGGTAGCACAGAACACTCAATGACTGGCCCTGCAGGAAACAGTGAGTTTTGTTTCCCCTCGACCTTAATGTTCCTCTTGGCTTCACCTCGGGGAACATTGAGGGTCTTGGGGAAGCAAAACTCATTGTTTTCCTTGGGGCCAGTCATTAAGTGCTTAATAAATCCATTATGAGAAAAAAAGTTGAGTCCAGCATGTTTCAGGGTGCGACAGAAACTAACATTTTTGCAGTACTTAGAACCAATGATTGAATATCAGTCTTACCAAGGTCACAGTAGGAAGGACGTTTCAAATTAGTGGAACACTAAATTTGACAAAAAGTGATCTTTAAACCCAGCAACCCGATAATATCATTTTTGAACAGAGCAACAAAACAATTTCTAATTCAGAGTCAGGAAACAAAACATTTATACCAAATGATGAGAATAACAATATTATTTTGAGCTTAGCCGAACGCCACCCTGCATGAAATTATTTCGTGCAGAGTGACTTTCTGCTTAACTCAAAACCTCTTGTTCTGATTGTTCAAGAAGCACCAAGATGTTGGGCAATTTCCTGGGGCATGAATTTTTTTTTTCACCTTAAGGTTGTACGTGAGTATTAATTTTTTTGGTGTGCATTATAGCTTGTGCATTGATTATTTTAACATCAAAAAATTGCTTAGTAGAAAGTTCTTAATACTAAATTTTTTTTCATGGCTCCACTTGCTTGATTTTTTTTCAGCAGTTTTGCTGTGCAGGAATTCTTTTTTTGTAATTGCCCAACACTCCATCAAAAAAGTAATGGGCCATCCTTAATAATGTTGTTTTGAGCTAAGACTAAAAGTCACTGTGTGTGAAATTATTTCATGCAGAGTAACTTTTTGCTTATTAAGGTATCAGTATACCCCAAATGACCTTCATTCGTTGGCACTGCTTTATGGTTGGACGTCTGATGCATATATTTACATATATTAAAGTATATATTTTCTGAAAGCTTATGAATTGTAGATTATGAAGGTATATTCATTAAAATATGTAGTGTAGTGCCCTATTTCCTAAAGTACAGAGGTTTACTAATCAAGTTCGTTTACGATTTGATTTGAGTGGGAGGACGCAATGAACATCGCTATGTCTTCTTGACACCTTCTCTAAAAAGCAGTTAAACTTTGATGGTTGATAAAACATGCATTCTATTCACTAAAATAGTCGTAACTTTCAAAAGAAGCCAAAAGTAAAAACTCGCTGACACCGTTTTTTGCATGATTTCGGGCAACATTCTCTCCAAGTTTTAGTGAAAAACATTGAAAACTCGCTGGAAACAATTTAAAATGTGCTCTTCACTTGCTGAAATTTTTGTTTTGAGATACGAAGGAAAATATACTTTAGGGCATTCTTCCAGTGTAATGAGATAATTAGTACAAAACGTGTGAAAGTAATGATGTGTTTATCGACAAAGCAAAGCCTCATTTTACTTTAACAATATCTAGCTCATATCAATTACAAAATAGTCTCAAATGTTGCCTCCAACAAGAAATATCCTTTGCAAGATCTGAATAAAATAATTTTCGTTTCTGTTTCTTCCTTTTGATTTTTAAAACACCTTAGCTAAGAGATGCTGTAGACAACGAAAGAGCACATTTGTAAACAACTTGAATGAAATGGCCACAAGAATGTGATACTGATTGAACTGACATGTTACTGTACGTTACTGCTTTGAATGGCGAAAGCTCCAGTGAAGTAATGCTTAGAGAATGTCAAACATCTTCCTCGTCCAGTGCATGCAACTTCTCCTGCTCAGAGCAGGATCGAACCTTTGTTACTAGAAGTTAACACATCAGTCCAATTCTGATCGAATGTCTTTGAAACCTTCCCCCGGCCTTTTCCTCTGTGGTGCTTCTTCCCACTTGGAAATGGACAGGAACTTTGATGTTTTTTCAATGACAGATTTAAGTTTAAATCAACAATCTACAAATGTAGAACACTCCAAACAACTTGTTGACAAACAAATGTTCGACAATCGTACATGCACGGCAATTGGTCACACAACCTTTTAATGCAAGTTTACTTCTCATGGCAACCTGTTGACAGCTATCAATTAGAGGTAATTAATGCAAAGAAATGCTTTTCTTTCATAACTTTGCTTAATAGAATCAATTTTTTTTCATAGAAATGTTTTTGAATGAAAGATCGCAATGAGCTCTATCTGAACAAGAAGATCTGTTAGATCTTATAACCGCGCTTTTAAAATTTAACTGTTTGTTTAGCACTACAGTGGAAACGTAGTGCACATTCCAAAGCAGTCCTTGATGATTCTTTTCTTACTGTAGACATCACATCACTTGATCAACACAGACTCTATTATTGCACCATCAGTCCTAGCCGTTGTGAAATTTCTGATGATGTAATGGTCTTAATCTTGAACTTTCTTCGGGAAATGTATGGGCATGAACGATATGAACAATAAGATAATAACACTATTAACAACAGCTTTCTTTCTTAAAAGTCACAATGACATTTAATTGTTTTTTCCCTTGAGTAAAGGGCTAGAAAAGTAGTCACACGAGTCATATAATTCAAGAATTGTGTAATCCACGGCTATCTTTAGTACGGTGGTTATTTCCCTACCAATGACGTAATCCTTGCATGTTCTGACAAGTTCTTTGCTTGGCTTGCAAATATTTAATTTTCCTTCTGATCTATGAACTCGCTGCGATGAAACAGCCAAAGAATTTACTCTATTTGCCTAAAACCACAAGAAATACTCGCAAAATTGCAAATAAATTAATAACCGTCGCTTCTGGCGAAATAAACTTGCAAAGTAAACACAATCTTATTTGTCATGTAGTGAAAGTGAAAACTGCAACGTCAGCACATTCCATGGCTGACATAATACCTTTTTTTAGCGTATTTATTATTTCCTTGGAATCCAGCGCTTTGATAAGACCCAAAGAAAATATATTTTACACACAAATAAAGGAGACAAAATCTGTAACATTGTCTGTGTATTAATTTTTTGAAAAGCTTTTGGCGAACAAACATCACAGGTTGCGTGGTTCAAAATTTGGCCGAGAGGAAGTTTGAATCTGGTCACCGACAAAACTAAAAAAAAAAAAATAAACCACCGGTAGAACATGAACCGTGCTCGGCCCATGACTGCGCGGTTAAAAAGCGAAAAACAATTTTTTTGAAAAATGGTCAATTTTGGGCTATAAAAAAAGGTAAAGTCTGCATATGAGCCAAGTGACCCACTAGGCCGGAGCTTATCCAGTTTCCTTAGCATGAAGCGACTAAGAGTATCTCTACTCCCTCCTGGATGGTATGCTAGTCCATCGCATGGTTATCCCCAGCATTAAATTTGCCAGTACCCATTTATACACCTGGGTGGAGAAAGGCACTGTGAGAGTAAAGTGTCTTGCCCAAGAACACAACACAATGTCCCTGCCAGGGCTCGAACCCGGACTGCTCGATCCGGAGACAAGCGCACTAACCATGAGGCCACCATGTCTCCACAACTTTGGGGTATACTGATACCTTAACTCAAAACCTCTTGTTCTGATTGTTCAGAAACCACTGAGTTGTTGGTTCGACTTCAGGTTGAAGTTGTTACTGTTGAAGTCCTTTTTGTGTACTTTCCTTTTTTATGATCTTTTTAAAAGGCATATCTTAGTTAGAGTGGGTATAATTTTATTAGTTCTTTTCCCCCAGGTGGCTGATAGGGCTAGATTGGGTATATCCTTTAACCCTAGGGCAGATCTAGGGGTGTTCAAGGGGTTCAGTTAATCCCCCTAAATTGAAAAAAAAAGAGACATAATAACACTCTGACTTGGCCTCATAATGCTGGAAATCCCAGTTCCAAGGAAGGATACCAGCGGAGCCCCTGCCTACAGGGGACTGCCTTTGGCAGTCTGTATCTTAAACCCCCCTCTCTAAAATCCTGTATCTGCCCCAGAATAGTAGTATTAGAATTTTTGCTTTAGTGGCAACTAATAGGGGACTTTAATCTTGTATTTCAGAAGAAATGTAAACAGGAAAGAAATTGAATCAAAACCTTGACAATAAGGATGACGTAAAATTAGTCCATGGCAGGTAAGCAAAGTAAATAACAACTCTTGATTAATCAAATATTAAGTGATTGTTGGTCTTTTTCATGACTTCCAAAAATGTTCCCCCAAAATGATAATTGGGTGATTCCAGAAAGTATCCATAGCTATACCGCGGGTGGCTTTTGGGAATTCTGAGGGCAAGGGGGGTTCTTCGAACTGGAAATCCAAAGGCATGGGGGTACTTACAATTGGAATTCTGAGGGCATGGGGGGTTTTGTAGAGGGGACAGACAAGAATGTGAAAGCACAAATGAACTGACAACACTGTTGACTACCACAGAAAACATTGTGTTCACATTCATTTAGAGACGAAAAGCAATAAAATCTGCATTGTACATTGGGCTCCAGAGGCCTTAAAGTTGATGAATTTCTTGTCCTTAAATCGTTTGTGATGAATGCTGACCCACCATGTTTGTTTACCTTGTGCCAGATACATAGTCATAAAGAAACCGCTTTAAGGGCATCTGAACAAGTGAATATCATTCGTAATATCAAAGGTAAATTATGCAGGATATGCAATTACTATACAAAACAATTGAAATTTTATTCTTTCACTAGTTTAGCTGAAAACTAGTTGCAAAATTGCAACTGAAGAGGAGGAAGTTTTAGTCACTGAACATATTTTAGTCATGAATATATGTGATCGTATTGGTCACAACTTGAAGCCCTGTAGACAGTTGGTAAACTTCTGGGAAGATGTAAAAGCGTAAAATCACTTTCACTGAAAGTGGTAGGGTGTCAAACTAGGATTCCAGATGGTTGAAGTAAAAAGGGGTCTTTCGGAAGGGAGGGGGGTTAACAATCTTGGAATTCGGAGAGCATGAGGGGTAGAGCATTTTGGAATTTCCAAAGGGTGGTTAAAATGTTCATGCTGCCTGCAGTAGGGTATGGATATTTTCTGGAATCACCCATGTTGTTTTTACTTTGAAAATGGTCATAGAAGTATTGATATCGCTTATGAAAAATAGTGAGTAAAAAAAATTAGGATTATATAATTAACTATGTGAAAAAGTGTTATTAACTTATAATTAACTAGACAAGTGTGCATTTTGTTTAAAATACACCTTTCATTGGTAATGGAAATATCCATCCTTCAAATAATTATTTTCTTGTACTGTCACTGAGCTGATTTCATAGCGTGTATTATTGAGACAAAAAGAGGATGATTATGAGTATCACAAGAATTAATTTTCACTAGACACAATGCAAGCTGACTGACTGATGGACTCATGAATAGACTGACTGACTGACAGGCTGACTATTAGACCAACTTATTGACTAACTAATTTACGGACTGGTGAGTTGACTGCTTAGCCCAAGATTAACTTCACCTAAACTTCATTTAGCCACATTGCAAGCCTGCAAATAACAGTCGCTCATTGGACAATTGTCCAGTAAATTTGAGGTTTTGACAAGTAAAAACTTTGCCTGGTCAGATACTCTGACGGGACATTTCTGCTATAATGAAAAATGTCTTAACTGGCAGTTTGTGGCCGAATATGGAAGAAGTTATATTATACTGCCATACAATACTACGCAGAAGAGCTTTGTTATCAGTTGCATTTTTTCTATTTTATCATGCGCAATGCGTTGTCTCTAATGTCACGTTGAATTGTAAAACATGCCACATCAGCACCACTATTCAGGCTACGTGTTAATTTACATTTGCGGTGACATTGTGAAAGATTGTGAAGCCCCATTTTGTCTGAATTACGTTCGTCTGAAAAACCACGAAAATCTGAGGTCTTAATTATGTAGTTGTTTGTTATCTGTAAGTGTTGTGGAATTAATTTTCAGGCATAATTTGACCCCAACAAAATATTATGCAAACTGAATACGCGGCCCAAGTTCTCATGTTTTGTTTATCGACTTAATCTGTTTGCAATTGCTGTCAGAACTTTAAAACCTCTAAAATGCAACCAAATGTTTTTTCCAGTCCGTATGATCAAAAATCAGCGTTATAGCTCTCCATAGTTTTTTTTTTTTGAGTTATTTTTTTGTAAAAAAATACCTCTTAGTCGGCACGTTGGGTACGTTATGGACTGGTCAATGGATGAGTGATTGAGTGAGTGAGAGATGTATGTATGTCACACCAATCAGAGTGGATCTACTATAAACAACCAATCAAATTTCTTGTTGTAAAGGTAAATGGTACATGAGAAGATTTGATCCCGATACAGTTCAGAACGGCCATTTTTATTCTTCTATAAAAGAGGAAAAAGTATTCATATATTGGGTTCACTTCGACATTTTCTGTGGATTAGGCTGAGAATTTTAGTTATGAATGAGATGAGCCTTGAGGTTTGAAACAGTTCGTGAGTTAGTAGTATGCAAATGGGCGAGATATTTTCATTTTTAGTTACAAAGGTAACTTGATACTTTTGTTTTACACAAGGAGTAAACTCAATTAGAGGTCACAAATCGTCGCTTCTAGTTCTTAGGACATGTTTTAGAGGAGACAAGACTATTTAGATTTGAAAGAGTTCTAGCGTTTACAATAGTCAGTGCAGGTAACAATTGTTTTGTTCTTGTTGCATGCAAATTTAAGGAGCTATTTTTATTTTTTTAGTTACAAAGGATAATTTGACACTCTTGCTTTTCACAAGGGAGTAAATTCAATTAGAGCTGACGAATCATCACCACTCTTTTCCACGAGATGTTTGCTATCTTTAGTTACAAATGGTAACTTGACACTTTTGTTTTTTATATGGGAGTAAATTCAATTAGAGCTGACAAGTTATTGGCTATTGTTTCCAGGATATTAAACAAAAAAGAAGCTTTCATTTCTGGACGGTTTTTACATCTCTGCAGTAGCAGTTTAATAGTTTTATTTGATGACATTCATTTCAGTCCGATATTTTTAAAGGTAAAAAGTATGAAAACTGCTCAAATGTTCTTTGAAGACTGCGTGGCACCAAGTTAAAGTGCAATTTAATTAAATTAGACTTTCAACGTGTCAGAGAAGGTTTTTTTCTCTTTCTTTCTATTTTCGGTGAAGTTGTGTTGTGTTGTGTAAAAAGGGTAAACTTACGACTCGTATAAAACGCGAAAAAGTCTCTTAATTAACTTGAGTACTTTTTYAGCAAAAATTCTTCTTGGGGGTTGGAAGGGCTATGTGATCGGTGAGTGAGGGAGTTATGCATGTGCGCTTGTCGCACCAATCACAGTGCGGGTTGTATCAAAGAACGAATCAAATTGCCTGTTAGAAAATAAGATGGTATCTACATTAATCTGGAGACATGTCAGATTACTGTAGTTTGTTCAGTCAAACATTTTATGGCTTACTATTTAGCTATCTTACCATGACCGATGTAACATCGCATGTAGATCATAAATTCCCAGTTTCTTTCTTGCTGTACATCGCAACCAAAAAAACTTGTCAAATTAACCAAATCATAACTGTAAACAGTTCCATGAATGCTCCTATCTCCGGCACTTCACACACAAAAAAATAACTCTTGCATGCCTTGCGTGCCTATGTTTTGTATCTGTGGTTCAAACATAGTTTCGTACCACAGAAAAGTTTTGTGCAAAGCGTGAATGTACAAATTAGTCATGCTTTCTAGTCATGACCACTTCAAATTCCAATTTCATCTAGTATTCAGTTGACTCCGAAGAATATTTTCAGGGTAAACTTGTTGTCAGACAAAGTCGAAGAATTCATTTCAGCCAAGTCTCTGAATGTTATTGTGAGTTTTTATACTGACAAGCTGTCCACGCAGGAGATTGTTTCATCGTTTTTCCCATGGTTTTCCTTAGACGTCGTGGAAAACTTGATACGTGGGAAAATATGGAATACAAGTGTGATCAACTGAGTAAAGGCAAACTAGGGGTACAAATGTTTGTAAATTTGTCAATTTTTTATGGGTAGAATAATACCTGACTTAACGTAAAGGTCTCCTTTCTGGTGCTAGCTATTATCAATTTTGCACTCCATTGGTTTTACTTTTGAGCCATTCAAATTTGCAACGAACAGTTTGATGAAGGGTCTACAATGAAATACCAAAATGCCTCAAATGTCTCTTATTCTTAGTAATTATTTCTAATGACAAAAAAAATTTTGTCCAACCAGACTAGCTTTTTGTCAGGTCAAAACTTGTCCTTGGCCTGACAAATGACCTGCTTATAGACAAAAACTATTTGCAGGCTTCACATTGAAATCTCAAAATATCAAAGTGTTCAAGGTTTTCTGACTTTCACAGTTAAATTACATTTTTATCTAAGAAAAACTTGTGTTATAAATGATTTGTGCAGGCTCCTGTTTTTTAGGGGTGGACCGTCAACTTAAGAGATTGGAAATTTCCACTAACATCCCATCAATGCCTCATTAATTGTTCATACTCTTGCTCCCTTGAATGCACTGCTCTAATCTTTGATTACTACTCATTTGCATATAGAGTAGCTGCATGAGTAAAGTAAATTGAGGTTCCAAAGGAGTAGCACTTTGACACACTTCAATATTGAGACAAAATCCAAAACAGGCAAATAATGTAAAACAGAGACTTGTACAGAAATGTAAGCACTACACTTATTTAATGTTTGAGGCAAAAAATTCGTAGTGTTCTGTCTTGTATGAAATGCAGTGCAAGTAACCTTTTCAACCTGCTCTGGGTAATTATACTTCCAGATGGGAACTTTACTTTGTGTCAGACCAACACCTTGGCCTGTATATCTAAACGTTGCTAACGTAAGATTTACAGACATTTACGACACAAGTTGATTACTGAGTTAATTTTATGCTACTGGAAGCTATTACAAATGTCGATTGTTTTTAGTGATAACTGTGGCTGGCCCTTCATTTCACAAAAAAAATGGTTGCGCAGTGAATTGTCAAATTTTAGTATTATCTGAAAAAAAAAATTCCTATTACCAGCTGGGGGCTTCTTTTGGATAGTGAAATGCAAGCAATTAATTAAGAATTAATCAGTTGCTTGCAATTATTGATGGACTGACTGACTGATAATTGATTAAACAGATTTAGTAAGTTGACTTACTAACTGATGGATGAACTGATGGATGAACAGATAGACAAACAGACAGATGGACAAACGAATGGATGGACAGACAGACTGACATCTGAACATAAATGTACCAGTTGACAGGTTTAAATGACAGAACGAGTGTCTGAATCACTCACTGACTGATTGCCACCCCCCTCCCTTCCTGTAACAGTTACTATATGTAATTGACAAGCATTAATAAGACATGAGCACTGTTTTGAATAAATACCTTTAATTAAATGGGATGTTTAATAGATGGTAGTAAGTGAACTGTCTTGTAAGTTAAGCTTGTAAGTTAAGCTTAAAGTAATAAATGTTGTTGTTGTAAATGTTGTTAAGCTTGTCACTGAGAGTAATTACATTGTAATCTTGCTTCTCCAGATCAGATGCCAACAAGGACAGTGGATCACAGCCTCAAGCAGCAGTAAAACTTGCTGTATGTTCTATTTTGCAATTCAACCTTTGGAGGAGCCAGGTAAACAGCTCTCGAATAAGCCAAGTTCTGCTCAGATTTGTTGACTTCAGACATGCAATCTATTCTGCCTTGTCCCATTTGCATAATGAATAAGAAGAGCTCTCATTTAAACAGTGCAGTTTTCAAACCAGTAGGAAATGAAATTGTTTTGCTTGTAAATTATTCTTTAGCCAAACTGGTTCCAAGATTGTACTCAATATGGTTTGAATTTTTACTTGTGAAAATTGTTGAACTTGATGGACGACTGTGAAGCTGAATTCACTAATTGGACTACTGTAATGTTTGACTGGTTGATTCACTTACAGGCTGATCTTTTGACCAAGTGATTCACTATGTGTATTTGTCAGAGAGATGAAACTATTATTAGACTCTGACTGATTTTTACATGATTTGCTGCACGATGGACATACAGTGGAATCCTGATTTTTCGAACCTCCAAGGGAAACAAAAATTGGTTAAAAAAATTGGAGATTTTGAGAAATCGGAGGTAAAATTACAGTGTTTGACTGAGGAGAGGGAATGACTTTTGGTTCGAGTTATAGGGAGGTTTGAAAATATGAGGGTTTGAGAAATTGGGATTGCTCTGTATTGACAAAGTGACTGAGTACTGAACTGATTGATGAACCAAGTGAAAAACAGTCTACATCTGTAGCTGAATTTAATTATTTATTATTACTCAAAAGCTAACGCTGGGGATTGCATCAAGATTTTAAAATAAATTGTCAGATTAAATGCATCAAATTAAGAGATTGACAGGCAACTGATTGAAATTTATTGGTGCCTCACTGACTGGAAGCTGATGGATTGAATGACTAGAGATTGATTGATTGATTATCTGATTGTTTAATGGTTTTTTTTGAGAAACTGGCAAAGAAATAATTCTAGAGATTGAATTGGCAAATTTCACACAGACAGACAGACAGACTCACCAACTGATCAACAAACAAACAGATTACTGATTAGCAAACTGACTCACAAACTACATAGACAGATATACTGGCAAACTGTTCGACCGGTTCATTATTTGATGAGTTGGTCCCCTGATTGACACTCTGACAGACAGAGCCACGTACCAATGGACTAACAAACGGACCAGTTATTGGTGAACTGACTCACAACCAACCATTTAACCAGTTCATTAATAATTCATGAGCTAGTTGCCTGATTGACAGACGGACAGACCCAACAAACGATCGACCAACAGACAGTCTAGTGATTGACCAACTGACCTACAAACTAGATATAGACAGATATACTGGCCAACTGTTTGACCAGTTCATTGATTGCTGAGTTGCACCTGACTGACAGACAGACAAACAATCAGAAAGACTGACCCATTTCCGGTCAACCACCAAAAAGACTACTGATTGGCAAGGTGACTCATCAGCTAAATTTTAACTTCAGTTTTTTAAGAGAGCCTCTGTTTATTCATGTGTTCATGGGCTGCACTGTGCAGGGCTGTTTACAGCTCCTACAAAATGTGTGATTTTGATACAGAACATTGCATGTCTGAGTTATTTAATGCAGTTGAACCTCCCTTAGTGACCACCTTGTGAAAAGTAGCCATCTCGAGTTTCGTATACGACTACGTTTTAAAGTTCCCAAAATTGTCTTATACAGCCAAGTTACTAACTTTTTTATAAGTAATCCCGTGGTGATGCAAAATTCATAGGTGGTCTCCTATGGGTGGTTCAGTTGTATCTTCAATTTATTTACTGTAAACCTCATGGGTACATTTTCCTTACCTCTCCTCCACTGAGTCGAAAGTTATTTAAGTCTTGAAGAACGTACTTTCAATTTTTCGTGTTGTCGAAATTTTTTACTTTTGCATCAAGGTTTTGAAAAAAAAAACATCATGAGATGTCATTTGACTAAAACACTTATTTTTCTGTCACTACTTCATCAAGCAACTGTGGAAGGAATGAGGAAAGACCGCATTTTTTAGAACCTATTTTTGCTTGAGCCTCTTTGGAAAAAAAAGAAAAGAACTTAAAACAAATTAACGTTTCTCAGTTTTCAGCTGATTTCGGGTGTTTTTATAACCGCTGATAAACGGCCTTTCACACAATTGTTTTGAACAATTGAAATGCACAAAAAAAATTACACGGTGCGTACAAACAGCAAGCAGAAATTTGCATATCTACATTTTGTTTTTACTAGTTGTTTTGCATAGATTTGAACTGTAGGTTTGACTACAGTTTTGCCGTAATCTGGAATGATTTTCTTCATGTTAAGCAGTTCAAAAATTGCGGAATTGAAATTGCACTTCACAAATTTGAGTGTTAAATTGAAAGGTTGGTAATCATACAGTTGCTGGAGTTGTTTTATTTTGAGCGCTTAATTTATCGTGCGCACAACAAATTTATTTCGGAACGTTTTCTCTTTGATCTATGAGCGAATATAAGCAGGGCAAACACCAAAAAATATTCAGTTCGTATCCGGCTTTAAATATTCTCGATTTTATCGGCGATTATTTGGAAACTGGCTTTTAAAGGGAAGCCCAGTGGAGAGGTATTGGAAAACGTTCTCAAACCAGTTCCAAGAGGGGCGAACATTTTATTTCTCCATACCGTGTCAATATATTTCCAAGATAAGAGTAGACGAGTGATAAGAGTACTTGCGATATTTTCTTGATGTACAACCAAATTCTCATATCAGAGAAACGTCGGGAATTATCAAGGAGAAATAATATGTTCAGCTTGGGACATATATAGGTGTTTACAGTAAATGTTGAGGTCTCGTTCAAACTTAGCGGTGCGCTTGTACACTGGTTTTAGTAAACGGTTTGTTTCTGTTCCAATGTACGCCATAGATACGTTTAAAATTTAATGTAGAATTTTAAACAACTCAGTACACGGCTTTTCTAAGGGTCGTCACGCAACCAGACGCGACACCATGTCACGCTTTTTTCCTTTGCGTGACGACCTCAAGAAGGGTTGTATGTGAAGAAAAAACTGAAAGAGTCGGTAAGAAATGCTAAAGAGACGTATCTGTGGCGTACTTTGACATGAGAAACGAACTGTTTACTGAAACTAAGTGCCAATCGTACTGCATGGTTTTCTCAAGACCTCTCCAGAACTTGGCTTATTCCAGAGAGTTTATCTGGTTCACTCAAACGGTTGGATTGCAAAATAAAACAAAACAGGAGAAAAGATAACAATATTTTATTGAAATAAAATTGTCTCTGTTGTCCATTACTTTTATTAAAAAAAATAAAAATAAAAGACCAAAAAAAAAAAATAAATCTAGCCGAATTCACCCCTGCTTTTGGGTTGCTTCCACTCTGCTCATCCGAGTTGATGTTGTTTCTTTAGTCCTCATTTAATATTCCAACTTTGAAATCCTGCTCTGTTTTATCTGATCCCTTCTCCCAGCCGGGCACAGTTGAACACTTAGAAGAGTTGACCGTTTGCTCCCAAGTGGGATGGACAGCGTAAAGGAAAGTGAGAGTTTGCTCCCTATGCCTCCGGGGTCTCAGTCTTAATTTGTCACAATACCACACTCGAGTAATTTTGGAATTAATAAGTTGGAAATAAATTAAATGCCAAATTCGTAATTTGACTGAAGATGCTAATTCGCAAGTCAATGCATCGAAAAAAATAGTGATTTGCCAGAGTGCAAAAATATTAAATAAGCTCGCCCTCCCGGAATATTTTGGATGAAAACCTTTTTAAAATTGGAAACTTCCGCAACCTGGACAAGAAAAACCGAAGCGCTAAAGTATGGCGCTCAATTTCAGTGCATCACCGTTGAAATCAAGGAAAGAATTGAACACAGAATCCGCCAGTCTGACCTCCCGACCAAACCACCGACCGACCGTCATTCCACAAACTTCACCAAAGAGCACAAGTCACTAAAAGTCTCTCACCTGTGAAACTACTGCGGTCAGGTTTCTCTTTAAATTTGGATGAAAGAAATCGGTGATTTAAATAAATTAATATAGTGCGAAGGTTTTAGTTATTTTATCTTATTCAGCTTGTTTGTTTGTTGTCCCATTGCACATCACGTGATGTGACCCTGGAGAGTTGTTTTTGTTGAATGCAAATCATTCCAGTGCGAATGAGTAAATAAATTTTAGAAAGACAAAAGAGCAATTCTCCAGAGAACATCCGTGATCTGAAACCGGCAATTAGCATACGAAGCTGAACGGGTCTTGTCATAAAAATAAATAAAACTAGTAAAAGAGTATGCCGAATTGCTGCCGAGAGCATTTGGCAGTCAGTAAAAGTCTTAAGTTATGCTGTCTTTGTTCAAGCGCGCGAAATATATTTTTAAAGGCTAAAAAATAGGAATTTGTTGATTAATTTTTGCTGTGGATGTCTTTTAATTAGCTGAAATTTCGACTTAATAAGAGAAAAAATCCAGCCGACTCTATCATTATTGTTGTAGTACGAAACGAAGCTAACAATAAGTTATTTTAGGTTACAGTAGTTTATAATATTAATATTTACGAAATTCCCATTGCAAGAAAATGTAGCGTCCTACTCAGCCGTGACTTGCGCTGTCACGCAACTTCTCTGCTGAAAAATGCGTGACTATCCAAAAAAACTACCACAAAGTAGCATGAAGTTAAGTGATTTTAGTGAATTTTATAACAAAAGGAAGGAAACCCATGGAAAAAAATTAACCTGGCTAAAAAGGAAATGAGATAATTTGGTTTTATCATCTGGGTTGATAATGTAAATTGGCCACCGTAAAGAGATTCAAAGGCTGACGTTTCGAGCGTTAGCCCTTCGTCGGAGCGAATCCTTCGCTTCGCTCCGACTAAGGGCTAATGCTCGAAACGTCAGCTTTCGAATCTCTTTACGGTGGCCAATTCACATTATCAACCCAGTTGATAAAACCAAGTTATCTTGTTATACTCCCCACCGACGCAGCACCACAGTCTCTTTAGAAACCTACCCCCTCTAAAAAGGAAATGTTCATGATTGCAAATTTTAATTGTTATTGAAAAAGTAAATTTAAGTATCAAGGAACGCTATATAGATTTGATTTATGCTTAAATAAGTTATAATTTTCGTCCAAAATTCAAAGACAAAAAAATTGTTGAAGAAAGCAAATCAAAGTGCTTAAAATAATAATATTCAATGCCACATGTTTCAGAATCACCCTTCAACAATAGGTTGATTAACTGTTACATGAAATGCTGCCGTAGTATTTAACAGTCAACCAGACTACCAATGAAGGGTTGTTCCTCAAACATCTATTATCAATATATCCGTTTCTCAAAACTAGCTGATTGCCAAAAAGAAAATTGTACTCTAGAAGCTTTAGGGAGACTGGGCTCCAGCTTCGAGAACTAAGGTTTCTGGGACTGTCTTGGTAACCAACGTGAGCTATGATTCGTTGGTGATCACCAAGACAACCATTGACTAATCACAGCTCATGTCTGGTTACTAACACAATTCCAGAAACCTTAGTGCCCAAAGCTGGTGCTTAGTATCCCTAAAAGATATAGAGTGGCGAACAAATGAATATTATTCTTGAAGAATTAAAAAACGACTAAGTTAAATAAAGTTACGTGAAACAGAAAGTGAAAAAACAGTTTCAAAATAATTTTTAAGTTGTGTGAAATGTTTTCATAAACAATAAAATTTCAAAATTAAGAGAAAACTTATGAAAGAATGTGTTTTTGTTTACAAAAAGATTTGATTTGTTTATAATTGGGCCTATAGGATTTAGAACATTAGAATTTTATTTTTTAAGTTTTAATTTTAACTACGAAAAGAAAGAAAACCTAACCCAGTAGCAACCCAATCAGAGAGACTCCAAGTGACCATAAGCTCAATTCGATGTCATTTGTGAAAATCCAATCAGGTCAGACTGATGAAATTCAGCACCCTCCTCTGTCCATGCTTTCTCAAGAGATGTACCTTCCTTGAGCCCCACAATTCAGCACTCCTGTTTTACATCCTTGGTTGCGGAACATTTCCTGATACATTGACTGCGAAAAAGCATCTTGCTAAGCCAAAAATGCCCAATTGATGGTGTGGTATTGTGACAAATAAAGTGAAACCCTAAAGACATAAAAAGCAAACTCTCACCTTCCTTCACACTGTCCTACCCACTTGAGAGCAAATAGCCAACACTTCCAAGTGTCCAACTATCCCCAGCTTGAATTACAGGATCAGATAAAATTTTGCAGGATTTCTCAGTTGGAATATATCAGAGGACATCAGAAACACACACCTTGTCAGAGGCAGAGCTTCCACAACCCAGCAGGGATGTTGATTGGCTAGATTTGTGTCTTGGTGTGTGTGCCACCTTCTGTCCTGGAATTAAATAATCATCTAACAACTCTCAGTAGATACATGCAAGCTCACTAGCAAATTATAAATAAACTACTAAAAGAAAAAAATGGCTGTTTCTTGGTGATAAAAGTAAAAAACTAAACAAGGTTTAAAACTTGATCTAGCCTGTTGATAGGCTGTGCTCAGGGTACTGAGCTAAAAAATCCTACAAGCTTTTTCTTTTTCTTTTCTTTTTTTTAAAAATAGTCATTAAAAAACCCAAGAGTGTTGAAAACGCTTAAAGGAAGCCTAGGACAGCCTACGAAATATAAGGACTTCTAGCACCAAGAAAGAACCTTACCTTACAAAAAGCAAATAAACATTGATGTTTATCAACAGTCCGCATTAAGTAGATCTTAAGCAGTGAGGAGCATCCAGATTTTTTTTAGATCGAAATAAAACAACAACAACAACAACAAAAAAACTAGTTTTAAAAGTAATAATGCAGACTGTTGATCTACCTTCCTTTAAGCTGAATATTGCATTATTACTATTATTGACCAGGAAAATTAAAATAAAACATGAAATGAAACCAAGACTTTGGAAACCGAGGAGAGCCTTATTCCAACAAAGGCTGTAAGTACCTAATGAAATGAAATTTTGTTTAACTTTAAATAGCTCTTTTCTATCTAGGTTTGTTTTTTCTCTTTTTCATATCATTGCCACTCTAAAACTTTTCCACAAAGAAGTAGTATTTTTTTTTGTGATTAAGGCTAAAAGAAAGTGTATCAATGAAAATTCTGGTAAGTCTTCACAGCAATAAATGCAGTCAAGAAAGTGAGGAAATTGAGTGGCAACGATAAGATTGACGGTACCTTGCTAATAGTTGCAACTAAGTTTTGTAGAGTGAAAATAAGTACTTTTCACTTCTATAGTTAAAGGTCTGCTAATGAGCTTGCAGATCTCCTTTACTTAATATAAGCAAAGGAAGCATTAATAAAAGTTTTTTTGTTAAAAAAGGATGATAACTTGCTAATATGAAATACTGTATTTTGAAGTAGCCTGATAGTAAATGGATGTCATTTTGCACCTCACAACCTGTTGTCATGACAACTGAACATGGAATGTAAAATGACTTCAGCTTACCCAGGCCAAATTTTGGAAGTGAAATAATTTTAATCCAAACAGTGTATAAATTGTGAATGAAAAATACTTCACTGACTCTCTCATGAACATGCAATTTATATTGGAAAATAACTGCTTCCCTTATTCTTAGCCTGTATCAAACCACCATCCCAGAGCAAAAGTACCGAGGAGTAACAAATTGCGTGTCCTGTGCACATGCATGCTAACTGTGCTGAGGCTGTCCAATCTCAGAATTGCCAATTTTGGATTTTCGAATTATTAACAAAATTCTGACAATTAATCAATGACCTTGTCCTGGGGCAGCAGTACTGCATGCATAAGAAAAGCTCTACTCAAGACTCTTGTGTTGGACCCTCAACCCTCATTTATATTGAACAAACAAGTGCAGGAGTAAGATTTGACAATGGAATCAAATCATCGAAATAATTGGATACAAAAAAGATACATGTACTATAATTTCTTGATTAAATGGTTCATTGATNTTTCAGTGCATCACCGTTGAAATCAAGGAAAGAATTGAACACAGAATCCGCCAGTCTGACCTCCCGACCACACCACCGACCGACCGTCATTCCACAAACTTCACCAAAGAGCACAAATCACTAAAAGTCTCTCACCTGTGAAACTACCGCGGTCAGGTTTCTCTTTAAATTTGGATGAAAGAAATCGGTGATTTAAATAAATTAATATAGTGCGAAGGTTTTAGTTATTTTATCTTATTCAGCTTGTTTGTTTGTTGTCCCATTGCACATCACGTGATGTGACCCTGGAGAGTTGTTTTTGTTGAATGCAAATCATTCCAGTGCGAATGAGTAAATAAATTTTAGAAAGACAAAAGAGCAATTCTCCAGAGAACATCCGTGATCTGAAACCGGCAATTAGCATACGAAGCTGAACGGGTCTTGTCATAAAAATAAATAAAACTAGTAAAAGAGTATGCCGAATTGCTGCCGAGAGCATTTGGCAGTCAGTAAAAGTCTTAAGTTATGCTGTCTTTGTTCAAGCGCGCGAAATATATTTTTAAAGGCTAAAAAATAGGAATTTGTTGATTAATTTTTGCTGTGGATGTCTTTTAATTAGCTGAAATTTCGACTTAATAAGAGAAAAAATCCAGCCGACTCTATCATTATTGTTGTAGTACGAAACGAAGCTAACAATAAGTTATTTTAGGTTACAGTAGTTTATAATATTAATATTTACGAAATTCCCATTGCAAGAAAATGTAGCGTCCTACTCAGCCGTGACTTGCGCTGTCACGCAACTTCTCTGCTGAAAAATGCGTGACTATCCAAAAAAACTACCACAAAGTAGCATGAAGTTAAGTGATTTTAGTGAATTTTATAACAAAAGGAAGGAAACCCATGGAAAAAAATTAACCTGGCTAAAAAGGAAATGAGATAATTTGGTTTTATCATCTGGGTTGATAATGTAAATTGGCCACCGTAAAGAGATTCAAAGGCTGACGTTTCGAGCGTTAGCCCTTCGTCGGAGCGAATCCTTCGCTTCGCTCCGACTAAGGGCTAATGCTCGAAACGTCAGCTTTCGAATCTCTTTACGGTGGCCAATTCACATTATCAACCCAGTTGATAAAACCAAGTTATCTTGTTATACTCCCCACCGACGCAGCACCACAGTCTCTTTAGAAACCTACCCCCTCTAAAAAGGAAATGTTCATGATTGCAAATTTTAATTGTTATTGAAAAAGTAAATTTAAGTATCAAGGAACGCTATATAGATTTGATTTATGCTTAAATAAGTTATAATTTTCGTCCAAAATTCAAAGACAAAAAAATTGTTGAAGAAAGCAAATCAAAGTGCTTAAAATAATAATATTCAATGCCACATGTTTCAGAATCACCCTTCAACAATAGGTTGATTAACTGTTACATGAAATGCTGCCGTAGTATTTAACAGTCAACCAGACTACCAATGAAGGGTTGTTCCTCAAACATCTATTATCAATATATCCGTTTCTCAAAACTAGCTGATTGCCAAAAAGAAAATTGTACTCTAGAAGCTTTAGGGAGACTGGGCTCCAGCTTCGAGAACTAAGGTTTCTGGGACTGTCTTGGTAACCAACGTGAGCTATGATTCGTTGGTGATCACCAAGACAACCATTGACTAATCACAGCTCATGTCTGGTTACTAACACAATTCCAGAAACCTTAGTGCCCAAAGCTGGTGCTTAGTATCCCTAAAAGATATAGAGTGGCGAACAAATGAATATTATTCTTGAAGAATTAAAAAACGACTAAGTTAAATAAAGTTACGTGAAACAGAAAGTGAAAAAACAGTTTCAAAATAATTTTTAAGTTGTGTGAAATGTTTTCATAAACAATAAAATTTCAAAATTAAGAGAAAACTTATGAAAGAATGTGTTTTTGTTTACAAAAAGATTTGATTTGTTTATAATTGGGCCTATAGGATTTAGAACATTAGAATTTTATTTTTTAAGTTTTAATTTTAACTACGAAAAGAAAGAAAACCTAACCCAGTAGCAACCCAATCAGAGAGACTCCAAGTGACCATAAGCTCAATTCGATGTCATTTGTGAAAATCCAATCAGGTCAGACTGATGAAATTCAGCACCCTCCTCTGTCCATGCTTTCTCAAGAGATGTACCTTCCTTGAGCCCCACAATTCAGCACTCCTGTTTTACATCCTTGGTTGCGGAACATTTCCTGATACATTGACTGCGAAAAAGCATCTTGCTAAGCCAAAAATGCCCAATTGATGGTGTGGTATTGTGACAAATAAAGTGAAACCCTAAAGACATAAAAAGCAAACTCTCACCTTCCTTCACACTGTCCTACCCACTTGAGAGCAAATAGCCAACACTTCCAAGTGTCCAACTATCCCCAGCTTGAATTACAGGATCAGATAAAATTTTGCAGGATTTCTCAGTTGGAATATATCAGAGGACATCAGAAACACACACCTTGTCAGAGGCAGAGCTTCCACAACCCAGCAGGGATGTTGATTGGCTAGATTTGTGTCTTGGTGTGTGTGCCACCTTCTGTCCTGGAATTAAATAATCATCTAACAACTCTCAGTAGATACATGCAAGCTCACTAGCAAATTATAAATAAACTACTAAAAGAAAAAAATGGCTGTTTCTTGGTGATAAAAGTAAAAAACTAAACAAGGTTTAAAACTTGATCTAGCCTGTTGATAGGCTGTGCTCAGGGTACTGAGCTAAAAAATCCTACAAGCTTTTTCTTTTTCTTTTCTTTTTTTTAAAAATAGTCATTAAAAAACCCAAGAGTGTTGAAAACGCTTAAAGGAAGCCTAGGACAGCCTACGAAATATAAGGACTTCTAGCACCAAGAAAGAACCTTACCTTACAAAAAGCAAATAAACATTGATGTTTATCAACAGTCCGCATTAAGTAGATCTTAAGCAGTGAGGAGCATCCAGATTTTTTTTAGATCGAAATAAAACAACAACAACAACAACAAAAAAACTAGTTTTAAAAGTAATAATGCAGACTGTTGATCTACCTTCCTTTAAGCTGAATATTGCATTATTACTATTATTGACCAGGAAAATTAAAATAAAACATGAAATGAAACCAAGACTTTGGAAACCGAGGAGAGCCTTATTCCAACAAAGGCTGTAAGTACCTAATGAAATGAAATTTTGTTTAACTTTAAATAGCTCTTTTCTATCTAGGTTTGTTTTTTCTCTTTTTCATATCATTGCCACTCTAAAACTTTTCCACAAAGAAGTAGTATTTTTTTTTGTGATTAAGGCTAAAAGAAAGTGTATCAATGAAAATTCTGGTAAGTCTTCACAGCAATAAATGCAGTCAAGAAAGTGAGGAAATTGAGTGGCAACGATAAGATTGACGGTACCTTGCTAATAGTTGCAACTAAGTTTTGTAGAGTGAAAATAAGTACTTTTCACTTCTATAGTTAAAGGTCTGCTAATGAGCTTGCAGATCTCCTTTACTTAATATAAGCAAAGGAAGCATTAATAAAAGTTTTTTTGTTAAAAAAGGATGATAACTTGCTAATATGAAATACTGTATTTTGAAGTAGCCTGATAGTAAATGGATGTCATTTTGCACCTCACAACCTGTTGTCATGACAACTGAACATGGAATGTAAAATGACTTCAGCTTACCCAGGCCAAATTTTGGAAGTGAAATAATTTTAATCCAAACAGTGTATAAATTGTGAATGAAAAATACTTCACTGACTCTCTCATGAACATGCAATTTATATTGGAAAATAACTGCTTCCCTTATTCTTAGCCTGTATCAAACCACCATCCCAGAGCAAAAGTACCGAGGAGTAACAAATTGCGTGTCCTGTGCACATGCATGCTAACTGTGCTGAGGCTGTCCAATCTCAGAATTGCCAATTTTGGATTTTCGAATTATTAACAAAATTCTGACAATTAATCAATGACCTTGTCCTGGGGCAGCAGTACTGCATGCATAAGAAAAGCTCTACTCAAGACTCTTGTGTTGGACCCTCAACCCTCATTTATATTGAACAAACAAGTGCAGGAGTAAGATTTGACAATGGAATCAAATCATCGAAATAATTGGATACAAAAAAGATACATGTACTATAATTTCTTGATTAAATGGTTCATTGATTGGAGTCAGAATTTTTGCTGCTGCATGTAGCTCTCTCACTAATATGCATTCCACAGAAAAAATTGCTTTGAAAGAGATATATTATTTGCTGGCCAGGAGGTCTGTATGGGAAAAACTGTGCCAGAGGCTGTGTTGAGCACAACCTGAGGCCCAAGGCCTCAAGCTGACTCGACATCTTGACAGGTTTTCCCTATACTGACCAACCTAGGCTGACAAATAATGTATATTATTATTCATATTTTTCTTACTTAATTTGGTCTTTAAGGAACCTTGGAGTCCTTGGAAAAGTGTTTTGCAAAAAAGTTCACACGTATGTGTGTTCTGCACCTAACATTGTTCAAATTTGCTAAAACAACTGAAATAAAACTACCAAAGAAAGAAGTCAAAATCTAGGGCAATCATCCATACTGAATAAAGGTACCATGTAAAGCATTTTGCAGTAGAGTATTTCCTTTCAGTTGGCTCTCTATAATTCCATGCCGGTTTTCACCCTCATCTAATGCAATCTGACTGATTCATAAGCCGCAAAATCTTTGCAAAGTGTAAGCTGTTTACCAGTTTATTTTGGCCTACTTTTCAATAGGTAAACTCATTGGACTTAATTCTTTGATCTTCAAAGAAATTTGTGAAACAATCGGCTAAGGGAAAACAAACTCTGTAAAGTGACTAATATTGTTTCAGCACAATTTGGAAGTTAAAACTGCAAGCTTAGGAGATTGAAAATGAAACAGACTTGTAAATAACAGGATGAACAGTACAGTTAACTATAATTAATAAAATTTTGTTGAGTTTCTCTACCAGCCTTGTTCGCAAGATAACGACAATGAAAGCTAACAGTAAGCTGTAAAAACATTGCCATCTCCATGGACCTTAACATAACATAAGGCAAACAACAAAATAGACACTGAATAATGCATACTGTAGTGAGAATGACATACAGTGACAAAGACTCTGAATCCAACCAATGAACCAATCAATCCCATACAGTTACTTCAATGTTCAGTTACAAACCAGATATACAGACAATTTTTTCTCAGAAAAGGCACTTGTTTGAACATTGGTGGCACACACACCTAACAATAGTATTAACATATGAGGTGGTGGGTTGCATTGGTGTGTGAATTGCACAGTTTTGGTAGTGTCTTAAGTTTTGGCTGTTGTGATACCTATTGTCTTAGTAGTAGATTTGAATGTCAGTGGCAGTCTTTTTGTTAGTTTGTTGACTGTCAGGTTTATGTTGAAGTACAGGTGTCAGGTCAGGTCCTTGTACGTATGTTTGCCATTACCAAGTGTGTCCATTTTGTTGTGATTAAGTCAGTCTCTCCCATAATGGAAGTAGAATGTGCTTTGTTGTTGGTCACTGTTAGGTGCTTTTCTTTTGTCTTTTGTCAAGTTCCTGAGAAGCATAGAGCCAGTCTACAAAGTTAGGTAAAAAGTTGTTGGTCAGTCGAGGGTGATAAGTCTGGTCCTTGATGCTGATCGGTCAGTTCCAGTGTGGTTAATGACAGTCGAAGTACAAAGTTAGTATACTGTGATTGGCCAGTTGTTGTTGGTTTTAATATGATTGTCAGTTAAATCTGTGATTGTTCTGTTTGAAGTTAACATTTACTTTGTTGGTTTGTTGAGGTCATGAACAAGTCATTTGTTAAGATGTAAGTACTGAAGTGTGTAACATGCAATGTTGACAGTTTCAGTGATCTATATACATGCACAAGTATTGTTAGTCAGACAAGTTTGTGTTTGTTCTGTTGAAGTTATAGTTTGCTGGTTGGTTTTGTTGAGGTCATTAACAAGTAATTTGATGAGTGAATGAAATGCAGTTGTTGGTATCAGTCCAGAATTGTTTGTTTTAAAATGTTAGTGACTGTATGCTTTACAGTTACAAACCAATGCAAGCCACTTTGAAGAACCTAACAAAAGGCTATCAAGCTAATGAAATAAGTAACTAACCTGAACAGGGGTTGTGGAACAACAGCTGGGTGAAAAACCTCCCCGTACGTCCACTTGCCCCTAGGAGGAAAACCCCGGGCCAGCTGTACCCCATGTTCAATGACCTCCCGGGCTGGGCCAATAATTAATAAGCGAATTTATAACTACAAAACTATTCATAAAATCACATTTGTTACATCTAAGTCTAGGTAAAATATTTTCATTTAACTACATTGAGTATTTAGTAAGCTTACTGATCTGTGCATATGTGTAGCATGAATATTTTGCAAGGGTTTATTTCGTGCTTTGAGATTTTTAGCTTAGTTTGTAAAAGTAAAGCATCAGTAATTTCTAGGAAAAATGTAGAATCTATAATTTCATTTCTAATCACCAGAAAAACAAGAAAACAAAAAAAACAATTGAACAAAATCTTAGCCTTGCGAACAGTTCATGCCACACATGTATTCCTTATAAGTTACCAATAACATAATTATTATATTATTTCTTAAAGGCGTAAACCTCTGACTCTCAATTACCACCTCACAATAAATTTACCAAAAACCATCTTGTCATTTGGTCCTGGTTGCTTCAATCTTCGGGCACAATCCTTAGTGTCTGGCCTGTTGTCCTTTTTCTGCTCTTGCCAAATCCAAACTCTCTTGTGATGTTCCTTGTCTAGTCAAACATCCTTTAATGAAACAACAAAATGATTCATCGGTAAAAGTGAACAGTTTCCAAAAGATATTGTCAGTCATCTGTCAACCAACTGTCTGCTGACTATTTGCCATTTGTTGGCCGTCTGTCGGCCGTTTGTCGGCTAACAGAAGGCAGACCGTTTTTCTTATGTTTCAGACTTAAGGTGGCTGAATACAGTTTTAAATTGCCTATGCCTAATTCACCATTACTTTTAAACTATGCTTTGGCACCCATTTTTTGCAAGAGTAAAGGTCAACCACAGAAGGGTTTATTCTTGCATTTTGGCTAAGGTGTGTGCTGTTGCCATGGCAACAGGGCTGGTTAAAAACAAGGCTTAAAAAATGGTTTGTTTTTTTTGAAAAAAAACAGTCATTAGATTTTTTTCATCATTTGCCCACTAAGAATTGACATTAAATCCCTTCTGTCAACACTATTCTAATAAAATTTTGACATAGACAATTTTTGTAATTCACCGTAAATCGTTTTCACTGCATGTTCTGTATTATTAAAAATTCCCTATGTCAGAATTCAGATTTTTTGTGATAGATCATTCATGTGGTTTCTGAACTATTTTTTTGCCAAATTTCTTGAAATTCTAATGATTGGATCGTTAAAAATTGGCAAGTTTCTGCAAAAGCAATCGGTCTCAATTTTTCGAGCAACTGCGCATGCGCTGCATTTAACTGGGTTCTTTTGGTAACAAAGAAAAAGCTGAGGATTGTTGGGTTCCTTGCATCGTTAGCTTTTCTAACATATCTTTGTAATAAAAGACTAAAGCCATCAATATACTGTGTTCAATAATAGAGAAAAATAGCACAGATAGTGTGGGTGTTGAGTAAATAAAATGATCGCTTTATTGATGGCATGTTTTTCTTTGCAATCCTTGTGCGCACGCTGAATTGCATCAGCAAAAGCACGTGTGAAAACTGTGTTCGGCCACCTTAACGTGGCTCAAAACAGTTTCCAGCACTTAGATTTTGATGGGTCGTTATGACCACTCTTTCTCACTTGATGCTACAATCCTGGTATCAACAAGCTGTCCCATCATTGGTGAACACGTTGTTATCGTTTTCGTGACACAATAGGTTACCATAGCAACAGTACGACCTCCTAAAAACACCTATGATTACAGCTTTAGGGGCTTATAATTCAAAAATGGCACGGTGAAATTTTTTCATATTGCCAAATTTTGATAAGCATGAAAAGATGCAACTTTTGGCAAAGTTTAAAAAAATTATGTCCACAGGGTTCAGAGCAACCTTAAATTTTGAAAACTTAAAGGTGGCTCTGAATCCTATGGACACCATGGACAGATTTTTTTTTTTAAACTTTGTAAAAAGTTGCATCTTATCATGTTTATCATCTTATCATGTTTGTAGCATCAAGTGATTAAGACTTGTTATCATGACCCATCAAAATCTAACTGCTGGAAACTGTTTTGAGCCACCTTAATTTGGCCGACTGTCAGCCAACAGTAGGTCAACAATTGACCAAAGTTGGCAATCTTTCAGTGACCTGTCGGCGATGTGTCGTAAGGCATGACTGAAATTTTATGATCATAAAAATTTACTAATTTATCACTTAAACAACTTTGTAAAAATGAAAAAAATTCATTTCAAAGGGCACACTCAGGCTTTAAGCCAGAATTTGAAAAGTAGCCATCCAAAATGTGCTATAGGGCCTGCTCAAATGAGCAATTTATGAGATAATACAGTCAAAACTCTTGAAAGCGGACACCCTCTGGACGCGAAAAAAGTGTCCATAACTGGAGCTGGCCGCTTACGAGAATGGTTCTCGTAAGCGACCACTAGAAGTGTAGGGGATAGATGGCTGCTTACGGGAGCCTATGCATGTAAGTGGTGTTTCGAAATGTAACCGGACGTGGATGACGACAAAACAGACACTGAAATATGGTACTGTAATTACTGTAAAATCATTGTGACGAATGGCGATGTGAAGTTGATTGATAAAAACAAGATACAGAGGTTGCTAATAGGACTTTCTTTTGGGTGTCCTGTTATGGGAGCTTAAAAACAAAGAAAAAGTCT